GAAGGGGTCATTTCGCACTGTTTCACGCGATATACAGGGTGTCCCAGAAAGAATGGATAATCCTGAAACACCTCATAGAAGAGCTATTGGGGACACGAAATAAAAAATAAATAAATAAATCTCAGGTAGTACCCAAATTACGTATTTAAAAAAAAAAGTTGATGTTTTCCATACTGCTGTGGGTTTCTGGAATATACAACAGCTACAAATAAATGACATCCATAGGTTTTTTGGTGTTATAATATTCTACACGGACTATACTAAGGAATATGCAGGAAATCGTATGAGTAGCTAGTGTATTTTTTTATAAAAGTTAATCTGAGCTTAAATTTTAATTTGATATTTTTACTTTATTTTTAATTTGGCTACCTACGATTTTTTTTTTTTTTTTTTTATTTCCAAACTCCAATAGCTCTACGATGAGGTGTTTCAGGAGGATTATCCATTCTTTACGGGACACCCTGTATAGGTATTCGTAGATAGATTTGTAATAACCACCGATGACTCACTCGCTGAATCATGCTGAACTTTTTGAAGGCTGTCTTAGTATATAGAATGCTTAAATTAATTAAGCGTAGAAATAGAAGTACTTCTAAGAAAACTAGTTTCGAATAAAACTCAACGATGCGTGTCTCGGTTATCGCGTTATTTGAAGCCAACATTTTTTTTTTGTTTATTGTAAAGTTTTACTTTGAATCATAATCAGTGAAGTCACAATTTGGCTAAATTTTCGCGTAGACGCACTAACGTTATCACGATCTATCTTACGCTACATAGAAACATGTAAGATTGAAACAATGGTTCCTTTTAGACGCAGACTAGCCCGTTGACTAACGCGATTTTTTTTCCCTACCTATACTGATAGCCTTGAGAGGCTATATCAGCGTTACCGTAGCGTGTAGGTGAGTCCTCAGGGCTCAAACCAGGAGGTGTTGCTAACACTGGCCCTAGCAAGAGCAGTGCTTCACAGAATCTACCACCGAATCGGAAATACGGCCCACTGAGAAGAGAAACTCAGTGGGCTGTCTCTATGGGTTAGTTTACTCGCCGAGCCCTTCGTCACAAGCGACGACTTCGACGAGAACGGTGACCGGAAACGATAAAATGGTGACCTATGTGCTTAGTGCGAATTTTCCCTTCGTTTGCCGCTAGGGGCGCTGATTCAAATCCAAACAAATTTGAGTTGATTTTTACGCGATCGAGAACGTTCAAAAACTTGCATTAAGCACACGAAAGCTTTATACAATACAATTTGAATACTACTGCCTCTTGGGATATGATTCAAATATCAGTCGCACTGGTATAAAAAATTCCTTCTCACTCAGTGGCGGATTAAATGTCCAGAGCGCCCTAGGCAATCACTTTATCGGCGCCCCTGTACCGGTCATAAAGGGCCATCATAATAATATAAATTTTAACTAGTTGTTTTTGCAATTACGATGGCGTTGTATCATCAAACCCTAGACTTGAATAGACCAGGACATTTAGCTCAGGTGTTTAGTTCTTAATCCTCGATATGTTATTTTATTTATTCATTTAAAAATTCTGAGCTCGCGCGCCCCTTGTAACTACACGCCCTTAGGCACGTGCCTAGTTTCCCTTACGGATAATCCGCCTCTGTTCTCAATATTCTAGAACCTACGCTACGTAGCAGAAACGAGCAGGATGGAGGTAATCGTATGGACTTGCAAACCGCGCTGGTACTTCAAATATTGAAGAGAGAAGGTCCGTTTTAATTGGGGCCTTCCGGTTTCCGCTGTCATTCTCAGAAGCTGATCTCACGTGAATCATGGAATCGTGGCATTTTGAGATTTCCTAAACGACTTACTTGGTACCGCTTTTTTGTTATTTTTTTTTTTGGTTTGCTTTTTATAGTCGTACTCTGAATCATGAGTTTGTACATGTTGCGAAATATTTAGTTTTGTGTTGTAATAATTGACCACGTGCTATCTGTGTACAAATATAAAATCGGTATACGTGTCCCCGATAAATTCTCAAAATAGAACAGATTAATTAAAATTATTTTAAATTCATATTTGTTCCAGCAGTAAAGAATTTAATATGCTTCACTTCTTATCATGAACACTTTTTTTATTCGAATTTTGTTTATTGCTTAGATGTGCCTTAGCTTAGATGTACCTGCCTGCGGGATTCGAACACCGGCACCGTCGCATCGCTTGATACGAATGCACCGGGCGTCTTATCTTCCAGACCACGACGACAAATGAAAAATGAGTTTTTTAATCTAGATTATCTATTATCAACATAGATGAATGAGCCAACCATGATGATGATAAATGGTTACTGCCGTTCTTGGGCATCGACAACGCCAAGACGCTACCCAGGGCTAGTTATAAAATTGTTATAAGATTTTCTTATGTTCACGTTCACAAAATCATCTTCATTAAAATAGGACATTGTTAAGTATCACCTGTGTGCTTAGTGCGACAGCGCCCCTAGCGGCAAACGTAGTTAAAAGTTCCAACTCCATACAAATTTGAGTTAACTTTTACGCTATCGAGAACGTTAAGAAACTCGCACTGAACACACTGATCTACTTTGCACTATTATCTCAGTTATCATGTTCGGTGAAGCTTGTATAACCCCTCGAAGTTAGCATAAACTAGCTTAAGTAGGTAAAAAAATCTCAATATGATTAATAATGTGTAATTCAGTAGAAAAGAACACCGCTTAAAATAAACATTGCTTTAATTGAATCACGAAACTGATTTAAAAGTCAACTTGAACATTTTTATGGAGTTTAATTTCTTCTTGTTGTTCGTCAAAGGGAAGATAGGAAAAGTGTTCGAAACTTATTTTATTACACCGGCTTCAGTATACAACGCGGTTAATATTAATGTAAGACACGGACTGTTTTATTTATGTAGGTAATAAATACGGTTATTTAAATATTATTTTACTGGTGGTAGGACGTCTTGTGAGTCCGCACGGGTAGGTACCACCACCCTGCCTATTTCCGCCGTGAAGCAGTAATGCGTTTTGTTTTGAAGGGCGGGGCAGCCGTTGTAACTATACTGAGACCTTAGAACTTATATTTCAAGTTGGGTGGCGCATTTATGTTGAAGATGTCTATGGGCTCCAGTAACCGCTTAACACCAGGTGGGTTGTGAGCTCGTCCACCCAAGTAAGCAAAAAAAAAAGGCTATGAGTGAAGAAAATTTGTTAGTCGGCTTTTTTAAGTAGCAGTCTCACTTATGGAGGTCCATGAGGGAAAAACGACTCTCTCTTACAGAGGTTTCTGTTTCTCGCTAATAGAGGTTTTGGGAGCTTAAAATGACGGGACCTGGCTATTACTCTCACTTATAGAGTTTTCTCACTTATCCAGTTCTCACTTACCCAGGTTTGACTGTATATCAAGATTTTTTAATTTGTATTTATGTATTTATTTATTTTAGGCAAAGGATCTATGAAACTGACTGCTCAATTGAATTGTGACATAACAATAAAATATCTGTGTGACACTACGTCATAGTGATTAGCGTCAGGCGATGTAAATGGTCTCCTCTTGGCTGAACTGTACCGTCCGGGCGGAAATGGAAAGGCTTTCAGTTCACCAGCTATCCTAATAGACCAAAAAAATACGTAAATGGCCAAACAGCATTACACGATATAACTTCAATTAGCAAATGAATCATATTTGTACCATAGCCATAACAAATTTCCAATCGAACAATTTTATTTTCACGTGGCATAAAACGATTCAGACCATAAATAAACAATCATTGATTGTTTTTAGGAAATTTCTTTCCATTAACTTTGTAGTCTTACTCTATTTTGCAGGCTTCGTCTGTTCATAACAAAGTCAATTAATTACCACTTCATCTGGTAGGAAATATTGATTAATCTACTATAAGGTTAGAAATTGAATACCAGTAATTAAATTTCTTGCGAATAGTACGTTTTATTTTTATTCCAATAATGATTAACGTAACCATTGTAATTAAATTAAAAACCTAAATCAATTAAAACGGATTCGTAGTGTCGAGAGAAAAATGTGGAGTGTAAGAATTTATTTCGTAAGAAAAAAATAACGCTTTGCTTTGTTAAAATAATAATGAAATTTGGTTTCACAATATTATAAGTGAGCAATGATAGAATAATGAAAACAGCGCCATCTAACAGACACATCACAAACTCCTTACTTGCTCGTAGTTTGTTAGACATCCGCGAGATATCACTGACGTGGCGGAAAACTTCTTTTAACTTAATAAACATTAACAATAACATTCTATCAGTTGTTGATAACAAATCTGTGTATTAAGATTAGAAATTTATTAAAATTTAAACTAATTTGTGACTAACATGAAATCTATTCTTTAGACTGTTTAGACAATGTTTTAATAAAACGCAGTTAAATCAATAAATGTTAGTATTGTGAACTGAACATAACCTCCAAGACATACACGGACAAAGGTGAGTTTAATGATAAAAATGTTAATAATCATAGGAATATTAGACTAAAACTATATGCAGCTACTCTAGTATTTTAGTATTATTATAGTGTTATTATATATTAGCATTATTAAACTTATTTTATAGGTACAAGCACCAAAACCTCTCTAAAAAATTATCCGAACTATTTGACCCTTGGTTGGAGTCACTTGGAGTTCATTAATATTTTTCGCTATCGTCTAATTATAATTACAATTCGTGCTGGTATCAATATATTTGCTCCGTAAATATTTAAGGTCGAGGTTTTTTTCTCTCCTTTCTTCCAGGGTTTTTGCTCCTAATAGGTAAATTGCTTCAATTGTGATTTTGACATTTTTAAGTTTTTTGTCGCAATTTTAAGCCGAGAGAACTACTGGTTCTGAAATCTAAATCGCTGAATGAAGTTATTTAATTGTGGACATATTTGAGAGCAAATTAAGGTACTTTACGTTAATTAATGAGATTAAATTTATAGATTCATTACAACTCACTTAAAAGAGAACGACATCTTGGAATACCATAGTTTTGTAGTTGAAAACGAAACTCACCTAAAACGTTAACGTCTATAAATAATGCGACTCGGACGATTCGACCGCTGATCAAACGTGATTTGTCTCTTTTTTTTCACACTGGACACCAGACGAAACGCAGGCATGTCCGTCGCAACTCACGTCCCAATGCCAACACTTTCGCACCACAACGAATTCAGAATACCATCAACACTGCATCCGACACTGAACGTAACCAGCCCGAGGAGTGTAACATTACCGTTTTAAAAACGACTGAAACATTTTCGCAAAACTGCGTCTGTATAGCGACGACCCACGCCGCCGACGACGTAATCTCGCACAGGATTAGAAACACCAAAAGGAACAAAGCAACGGTCATGTGACACGCATCAAGACTGGCGAGTTAGCATTGACTGGACTGCGCTCGGCTCTCGCAGGATGCGGCCTATTAGGACCGTCAATTATTGTATTTGTCGTAGTGTAACAATATGTCTCCTTAAGTTGACGGCTCTGAGCAGACGTGCGACAACTTTGGGAACGTATAAAGTTTCGGAGACGTTTGTGAGTCACGGTACATCCGTTCCACAAAAGTATTAGTCGCATAACATCTATTGCATAAGCATCAGACGTTACGGCAACGTTTAACCCTCAGACACAGCCCACTGAGTTTCTCGCCGGATCTTCTCAGTGGGTCGCGTTTCCGATCCGGTGGTAGATTCTGCGAAGCACGGTTCTTGTTAGGGTTCGTGTTAGCGATGTCATCAGGTTTGAGCCCCGTGAGCTCACCTACTAGTTATGGTTACGCTGAAATAGCCAATCAAGGCTCTCAGCTAGGTAGGAAAAAAAGCGACGTAAGAAGCATATACCAAAGAAATTCTTAAACTAGAAGAGGCCAGGTCGAGGGAACGATAATATGCCGAGACAGGATCTAGGCTTACTCACGCCTGTTAGTTCAATTGACCGGTTAAGTACCGGCAAAGCTCCAAAGCAGTCGACTTCCGCTGTTGTTTCACATAGGAACGAAATTATAATGTCGGTGTATTCTATCGATGCGTTATTTGTGAGATAATTATTCAATGATTTACTGGTGGTAGGACCTCTTGTACTTGTAAGTCCGCACGGGTAGGCATCACCACCCCGCCTATTCCTGCCGTGAAGCAGTAATGCGGTTTGAAGGACGGGGCAGCCGTTGTAACTATGAGTTCTTAGAACTCATATCTCAAGATGGGTGACATTTACGTTGTAGATGTCTATGGGCTCCGGTAACCACTTAATACAAGGTGGGCCGTGAGCTCGTCCACGCATATAAGCAATAAAAAAAATTACATTAAAATAATGACAAGTTTTAAATTTAATTTTAATGGAACAAACATTTCCAATTAAGTCTTCGTTATACTTCTTAAAACGACCACTGAAGAGCACTTTCCGATAACAAAATAATGCTTTATTAATCCGATGATCGAGAGAAAAATTCACGAGGCACGAAAAAAGTAGGTAATCCAACGTAGTCTAGTTTGAACAGGAGATATGAACCGAGGGGCCCGTCATAAGTCGTCGTCCGCTCCGCGGTGAGGTCGCCCCGATTCCTTTCGACCGATCTCGATAATGGATTGATGCAATGAGCCACTAAGGTCGGCAAATTGCTCCGCACGAACACGCTGATCCAATTCTGTATACCTACTACAGGGGACCGCAAAATTGATACGATAACAGAAAATTGTCAACTAAATCTATACTAATACTAACTGACCCGGCAGACTTCGTAGTGCCTCAATCGATAAATAAAAGACCTAAACTTTTGTATAAAATAAACTTAAAACAAACAAACAAACTTAAAAAGGAATCTGTCCGACGGAGGACACATCAAAGGAAAAACAACATTGATATTTATATTTAATTCCGAGCATTTTCATATTTATCTACCTTTTAAACCTTCTCTGGACTTCCACAAGTAATTCAAGACCAAAATAAGTCAAATCGGGCCAGTCGTTCTCGAGTTTTAGCGAGACTAAGGAACAGCAATTAATTTTAATACATATACTAATACTAATATTATTATAAAGAGGAAAGATTTGTTTGTTTGTTTGTATTGAATAGGCTCCGAAACTACTGAACCGATTTGAAAAATTCTTTCACTGTTTGGAAGCTACACTATTCCCGAGTGTCATAGGCTATAATCTTATTTGAAAAAAATTAGGGATCCTTACTAAAACTCCAATAATGTAACCCAAGGTGTAAAGAAATTACCTAAAATATTCTTTACATCGCGTGCCCTGCGAAAACCATTGATGATAGAATAAAATAATGTACTACGACTTATCGTTGAATTTTTTGTTAAAGACCCGAGCGGAGCCGGAGCGGGCCGCTAGTAATATAATAAATAGGTTTATTTTTTTAAATCTTCTTCCTATTCGTACACTCTTGACAGAGTGGTCGTGGTCATGCATCAGTCGGATCCTGCGATACCGATGCTCTCGTGATGCGATGCCATGTGGCACAGTGTTTCACAGAGTGAGAGCAATCGTTTATGTTGGAGTGAGTCACAGATTTTATGAGGTCGGTCCATCGTCCATTTTTTTAAATATGTATTATTTAATAGGATACCATAGACATGACGCGCGAATTCCAAAAATTATCTACTATACTCAAAAACATATACTTACATATATAAATAGCATTGACAAACAAATATACGAGACTAGCTGACCCGGCAGACTTAGACTTTGTAGTGCCTCAATCGATAAATAAAAGACCTAAGCTTTTGTATAAAATAAACATAAAACAAACAAAAGGAATCCGTCCGACGGGGGGGGGGGGACACATCATAGGAAAAACAAAATTGTTATAGCATTTTCATATTTATCTAACCTTTTAAACCTTCCCTGGACTTCCACGAATAATTCAAGACCAAAATTAGCCAAATCGGTCCAGCCGTTCTCGAGTTTTAGCGAGACTAACGAACAGCAATTCATTTTTATATATAGAGATTAGATCCGAGGACATGTTTCGGAAACGTTCTAGAATCACATTTCGACTACAAATGAGCAAGCTCAAAGGTGTGGCTGTCACGCCACATATTCCAACCAATCACAGCCGAGGCTTTTCTGAAACCGGATTCATAACGATACGAATCTAAACGCATGAAAAAAAAAATGTATATATCGAGTTACATCAGAGCTAACTGCTTAGCGTGAGGAATTCGTGATGTTTCCGTTACAGATAAGAGACGCACAATAAATAGAATGCCGTTAATAAAATAGCCTTGTAATACTAACGGGAGCTCACTTCGAGCTGTATTATCCCAACCACTTCGGATCGTCATAATATGCCCATATTATGACGATCCGAAGTGGTTGGGGAGGATCTATTCTGATTATTACATATTATTATTATACTATATTATATTATGTATATTTACTGGTGTCAGGACCTTTTGTGAGTCCGCACGGGTAGGTACCACCACCTTGCCTATTTCTGCCGTGAAGCAGTAATGCGTTTCGGTTTCAAGGGTGGGGTAGCCGTAACTATACTTGAGACCTTAGAACTTATATCTCAAGGTAGGTGGCACATTTACGTTGTAGATGTCTATCGGCTCCAGTAACCACTTAACACCAGGTGGGCTATGAGCTCGTCCACACATCTAAGCAATAAATAAAAAAAACAACGCACGATATGTACTCCAGGGTCCCACCACAGACTCGCATCACAGCATTTAATAGTGACATCGTAATGTAACCTTCTTAGAATGCCCAATTAAAGAAAAAGAAAAAAATTGAATTGGTATACTTAATCTATTCGCCCCCATTTCGACCTACCACTTCCCTCATGCGAAGGCATACAAACAAACATATTTGCTTCGTAGTATTTTAAAGTCAAATTATTTAAATTCTTAAGCGCGTTTCATAGTACAGGCATAGCTGTCATTTAATCGAACCATTCATTTATTTATGTATGTATGCATTTAATAATTGAAGATTTTTTTATAAATTCAACACTGGCAACAACGGTGTTACAAGAAACCAATTGCCATTCCTTAAAAAAATATAGAAGAAAAACAAACGGTATTTATCTATGCACTCGTCAAGATCTAAGAATGTAGGTCGTTGTTAATTGAGTAATTTGATCACGTTGCGGTGAGGTCGATGAGGAATCGATTATCCGGTTTTAGAAGTGAAAACTTTGCATCTGCATTTGCTTGAGGCATTTTAAAGGTACATTCAACGAGTGAGCACGAAAAAGGCCCAAACATAAGCCTATATCGCTATCGTATAGAGCAGCCTTTCTCAAAGTGGGCGATAACGCCCCCTTGTGGGCGCTGAAGGCCTAAAGTGGGGCGGTAAGAGATCTAGAAAAAAAAAATGGAGGCGTTGTGTACAGGCTTGGGAGGCGATTTGCAATTTCATTTAGGAGGACTCTTGACAGCGAGTGAGATCTCGCTATAGTGGTTTTAAAGCAGGTGAAAAAATGGGGACGCTAAAAAATAATTTATTTTCAAAATGGGCAGTGGACAAAATAGTTTGGGAACCCCTGGTATAGAGATACGATATAGCCAATGAGAGAATATGATAGAATATGATAGAATCAATTTCGCGGCTAACGCGTGTGAGCAGCACGTGTGTTTGTTTTTTAATTATAGCGAAAATGCAAAGGATCTTAGGATTCATTTTTGAAATCATATAAGGTGAATGCTACCACCATTCTGAGTGTTAACGCCTACGAATTTTTAAGGAGCAATGTACAAAATTTTTATTTATGTTTACCTACACGATTTTCACACTTCAAAAAATCGCCGCGCCAAGCTGACTTGTTCGCAACGTAAAAATTAAGAAAAAACCTGTTTAAAGGAAATACAAGTTCAGGATCGATTTAGAAGTTTTATTCAAGAAACTCAAGCGTCCAACACTGAGAAACAAATAAGTTTCAATTTCATTACGCGGTCGTACTTACCTACAAAAATAGGCAAAGTCCTGGTACCCGCCACGAGCTAACAAGTAACAACAGATATAATTTGAAAACATTCTATTAATACATTTAAAAAAAAACGCAATTATTTTTAAATTTTTTTTTTTTAAATATTGCAATAATCAAGATTTAAGATATGATTTAAAACTAGAAAACAAACTAAATTTTGGCTGTAGATGAAAAACGACGTAGCTGGTAGCTGGTGTTGTGACTATGGGTGGAATTAATTATGAGTCCGTCGACTTATTGTACCAGTTTTGATAAATATAAATAAAGTTCAGTTTGCGGTTTGTCGCCGAGCTCGGAACAGAACTCCCGTCCGAAGGTAGCTGGAATAGTCCCTTAGTCTACCAGTGAGTGAATAGGTAGAGAAAAATAATAGAACATGCATACTTAAATAAGATCTATAATGCGATACAAATTTTTGCACGTGCTCATAAGCCTTCGATAGCTCAGTTGGTAGAGCGGTGGACTGTAGTTGCAAGAGAACGGATATCCATAGGTCGCTGGTTCAAATCCGGCTCGAAGGAACTTTTTTACTTATTTTTTTTAATTAAGCAAACAATGTCTTTTCTTTAATATTCTACAAAGATACTCTCTAACTCTTAAGTAACTGTTCTTAAATAATGCATTTGTTTCAAACGATTATAAAAACAGTAGACGTGTTATACAAAAAAAAAAACTATGTAATTGTTCCAGTAAAAGTAGGGAAAAAATAATGTAAAAAAATGTGAAATGTTACCACGAACAAAAACTTTTGATCACTACTTTTATCTCTCAAAATTATTATGCTTTTTTCTGCATGGTTACACTGTTTTAACCCCGTCAATAGAGAGAAAAAAAACAACGAAAATAAAGCGAGTTAGGTATAAACACTAAAAAACTTTTTAAAATGAGATAATATGAACAAAAAGATCTGTTTCCGCCCGGGATCGAACCGGGGACCTTGTGCGTGTGAAGCACACGTGATAACCGCTACACTACGGAAACACATTGTGATTAATTTAAATAAGGAATCACATTATTTGTCTATTACAAAACATTTCATAAAAACTTACCTTCGTAGATGCGCTGACAAGGGTCGTAATAAAAAAAAGAAAATTCAAATTTCGTAAATAGAACGCTGGATACGAGCGCCTTCCCCGAAGGCGGTTGTGTTTGAATGATGGATATGTCCGACTCCATCTTTTTATACTAACGCAAATTGCGATCCTATTGACCACCCGCTGAATAAGCCTCATTACGTGGGTGTGTTTATGTCCCAGCAAATTTGTAATTTCGTTCACACCCTCTACTCAAGAAGATGTATTTTCATCGAATCGCGCCTGCGTCTGTTATTATTGTAATCGCATTGCACGTATTCCATTGCGTGTTTTAGCGCGATAAATGTCAATACGATATATTACGTTAGTCATACATAATACGTAATGTATTTAAAACATTTTTTTGAAATCCATAAAAAAATATTTTCAGTATCGGGCAGAAAATTTTTCGTGTCAACGTGAAATTTTTGGAATAGTTATAACAGAAATGAAGTTTAATGATATTATTATAACATAAAAATTTCTTAAAGTATAGTGTTTGTATTCACTCAATGATAACAATGGCGCCTCTGAAATAAATTACAATTTTTTTGTTTGTTTTGAATTTACTTATATTTTTATTAAGCCATGCCTGCACATAACACTGTCAATGTTCTACTTTACGTAGGTATAACGTTATGCTTCGATAAATTATGCACCAAACACGTAATTATGTTCAGGAACAAATTTGACGATAAAGAAAAGAAATATTACGTATACGGGTGAACTAACTCACATCTCACCTGATGTTAAGTTTTTTATTTTTATTTTTTTTTATTGCTTAGATGGTTGGACGAGCTCACAGCCCACCTGGTGTTAAGTGGTTACTGGAGCCCATAGACATCTACAACGTAAATGCGCCACCCACCTTGAGATATAAGTTGTAAGGTCTCAGTATAGTTACAACGGCTGCCCCACCCTTCAAACCGAAACGCATTACTGCTTCACGGCAGAAATAGGCAGGGCGGTGGTACCTACCCGCGCGGACTCACAACAGGTCCTACCACCAGTAATTACGCAAATTATAATTTTGCGGGTTTCACTTTTATTACACGATGTTATTCCTTCACCGTGGAAGTCAATCGTGAACATTTGTTGAGTACGTATTTCATTAGAAAAATTGGTACCCGCCTGCGAGATTCGAACACCGGTGCATCGCTTCAACACGAATGCTCCGGACGTCTTATCTTTTACCGGATGATTACCGGAGACATCGTAACTGCCGCCACTATAGCCTATAGACCTATAGACTTCAAGAATATGCCTCAATTGTATGGGAATATTAGAGTTGATTTTTATTGCACTATGTTATTCCTTCATAGTAGAATTGATTCTTAAACATTAAATACGTATTAAATTAGAAAAAATGGTAATTGCCCGCGGGATTCGAACCCCAGCAGAATCGCATCGGTCAATACGGTTTTTTTTACCTAATCTCATGGTCTATTTATTTATTTATTAAGTTGCACCAACAAAGTGATCATCAATACAAAACATTGACAAATTGACAAAAGTTCATGGCAGATGTCACCTCAATTATAGGTGCAATCGACAGTGCATTAACATAAGAAAAAAAATATACAGCTAAGATTTGAATACATTTCATTCATTGCTTAAGATTAATTTAATTAGGAGTCTAGGGAGACCATATCAGCGTCACCGAGCTAGTAGGTGAGCTCACGGGGCTCAAACCTGACGATGTTGCTAACACGAACCCAAGCAAGAGCCGTGCTTCGCAGAGTCTACCACCGGATCGGAAACGCGACCCACTGAGAAGATCCGGCGAGAAACTCAGTGGGATGTGTCTGTGGATTAATTTACTCGTCGAGCCCGGGTTCGACGAGAACGATGACCGGTGCTTGGGGTACATAAAAGCACTGCTAGTGGATCGGGAGGAGGTCGATACGAGTACACCGGTCGTTTTAGGCCACAACTTTATACCGAAAAACAAAACAAAAAAATTATTGTACACCTAACTATCCTGACTATTGTTGCCTCGAATCTATTCTGAAAATACATCCTTTGTATCAATAGAATTGAGATTTAATGTCATGTATCCACGTATTCCTTTAACCACTCAACAAGAGAATGTCTGCTCATCTTTTTTTTATTGCTTAGATGGGTAGACGAGCTCGCAGCCCAACTGGTGTTAAGTGGTTACTAGAGCCCATAGACATCTACAACGTTAATACGCCACCCACCTTGAGATATAAGGTCTATAAGTGTCAAGTATAGTTACAACGGCTGCCCCACCCTTCAAACGAAACGCATTACTGCTTCACGGCAGGAATAGGCAGGGTGGTGGTATCCACCCGCGTAGACTCACAAGAGGTCTTACCGCCAATAAAAAGTAATTAAAAACATAATTCTATTTCTAGAAAGAACAAGCAGCATGGATGAACCAAAAGTGGCCGTCGAATGTGTGATGGTCTCGTACAACTTCACCCAAGACCCTGAAAAGGCGAAGATCGTAATGGTCTCGGCATCGGGACTGAGGTTCTTCGACCGCTGGGTCTTAACTCACGGCTCGATCCTAGCTCCGTTGAAAGAAGCCGAAATATTCCAGCGCTCCAAAGGAAAACTGATCCTCAACGACGAATTCTACGCGAAACTACCAGAAGTCTACATTTCCGGACAGTACAGCACCCAGGAGAAGAACGTTTACGACAATCTGGAGGTGCTCAGCAAAAATAGGCACGCCCAAAACGGCGCTGACTTGGAGCACAGCAGCTATTTAGTACGGACGGTGATGGGCAGGTGAGTGTTTGTGAGCATGACAGAGGCGGATTATCCGTAAGGCAAACTAGGCACGTGCCTAGGGGCGTGTAGTTACAAGGGGCACGCGAGCTCAGAATCTTATACCTTTAAACGAGCAATTCTTGTACCTAGTCAGGTCATAAATTCTGTCACATGCTTAATGTAAAATAATTGAAACAAGTTTATTCATTATGTTACCATTCATATACCAAAATGAACTTAACAAAACATAGATTCTTATGACACTATGGTTTATTCAAAATGACCTCCGTGATTTTGAATACAGGCCTTCAATCTGCGCGGCCAGTCGTCTATCGCAGCACGAACGAGGTCCATGTCAATATCGGCGGCTGCCTCAATCAAGGATGTCTTGAGTGACTCCAAATTGGGATGAGGCTTTGAGCACGTCTTTTCCTCCAAGTGTTGCCATATCTTGTAATCTAACGGATTCAAATCTGGACTGGAGGAGGGCCAGTCTTCGTGCCGGATGAAGTCGATTTCACGCGCCGCCAGCCAGTCTTGTGTGCTCTTCGCTCTGTGAGCTGGCGCCGAATCTTGTTGAAATACCCAGTGCCTGTTATTGAACATGGTATGAGAAACAGGTTCCACAAGGTTCGTCAGGACTGTATTTTGATACACAACTGCATTCGTTTTTACACCTTTCTCACAAAAATGTACCTCTGTTAAGCCCCAATAAGAAACTCCCAACCATACCATGAGCGAGGATGGAAAATTACCTCGTTGGACACGCGGAATACGGTTGCTCGCNCTGCATTCGTTTTTACACCTTTCTCACAAAAATGTACCTCTGTTAAGCCCCAATAAGAAACTCCCAACCATACCATGAGCGAGGATGGAAAATTACCTCGTTGGACACGCGGAATACGGTTGCTCGCTTCTTCACTACTGTGTGCGTACACCTTATCATTTTGTTTGTTGTAGCTCTCTTCTACGGTAAAAATTTTTTCATCCGAAAAAAGAATTTCCCGATATTTTTTTCCCGCGTACCGCTTCAAGAAAGCGCGGCATCTCTTCAGTCTCAGGTCCATTAGACGAGCATTCAAACGATGTCCTGTTTTTCTTCGATATGTCCGAAGCCCTAAGTCTTCATTTAACACCCTTTTCACCGTGGTTCTGCTTAACCCCATCTGAAGGGCCAACAGTTTCTGATTACGTTTGGGATTTCTTTGAATTCGCGCCTTCACAGCTTTTATCACTGCTGGAGTCCTAACAGACCGAGGGCGACCACTTCTTGACCTGTCATCTACACTAGAGTCTTCATTGTATCGTTTGATGGTACGATAAACGAATCTTTTGGTTATATTAAAAATTTTCAGTATGTTAAAAATTTCAATTGGCGCGTAACCGCAACGATGCAACGCAATAACTGCAACACGGTCTTCTTTAAGAGTCCACTCCATATTTAAAAAATGAGTAAAATTCTAAAAGTATACATTTTTATTTTCATGAATAATTCGAAGTTCGACTTCAATAAACTTTTTTGTGGCCAGCATTCTAAAAGAAAAGTTTTTACTGTGTGACAATACTTATGACCTGACTAGTTATATATATATATATAATCTGAATCTCGGAAACGGCTCCAACGATTTTCATAAAATTTAGTATACACGGGATTTCGGGAGCGATAAATCGATTTAGCTACGATTTATTTTCAGAAAATGTTGTTTTATTCGTGTTTTCAATAATCAACTCTTCCCGACATCTATTGGCGAATAATAATACTATTTTTCTTAATTGAGGGCAACTAACTGCTTTAAAGACACAACAAGATGGTCATCGTCTAGTTTTTAAATAAATAAAGAAAATAACATATCGACGATTAAGAACTAAATGCTGCTCTATAATCTAAATCTTCTGTCGTCCCTCTTGATTCCTTCACAGTTATAACGTCATATTTCATTCACGCATTAGCGTAAGTACAAGGGTCCTGGTCTACTAAAGTCTAGGGTTTGATGATACAACGTCATCGTAATTGCAAAAATAACTATTAAGGGCATTTATGGCCGGTACAGGGGCGCCGATAAAGTGATTGCCTAGGGCGCTCTGGACTCTGGACCTTTAATCCGCCACTGGAGCATGGTATTCAATAGGCGAGCTAACGGCCTATTTAATGTTAACACGTTGACTTGTGGGGAGATATACGACAAAGGAAAGATTTTCCACCGAGCGGGTGATATTGCGCGGTAGACATACTGTCCGAATATTGTTGTTCGGAACTTGTATATATGTAAGCTTCTCTTGAAAATGTCGTAAGCGAGATTCAGGCATCTGTCAAATATTTTATGTTGTATGATGGCTACCGTCACAGACTCGTATAGGTTACCGGTGCCCTACAAAACGCACTGAAGTCATTATTTAGATTTCTTTCTTCGATCCTCTTACTAAGGCACCGGGATATCTAGTAGAATCCGGGAAAAACGAATCCGATGATATTGAGAATGAATTTATTTGTAAGACTAAAACGTACATTAACAAACAAAAGAAGGCAAAGTTAGGCAATCCAGACGCTTAGTAACAGAAATCTATATTATATACGTGAACTTTTTATTCCTTTTTACGAAAATTGCGCGGACGAAGGAGTACGAAATTTTCCACACTTAAAGAGAATATAGAGAAGGAGTGCAGAATGTGAATATTTTTTTAAATTATGCATAAAAAATAGATTAAAACAATAAAAACTATAATAGTTTAAAAAACAAAAAAATACCCTTTTATAGAAAATCCCACTAAACTATTATTTATTTTACAATAAAATCATTTTTTTCCTACACTATTTTTAATTCAAATTTATTAAAATTTATTTTCTATTTTTTAGTTGGATTTTCTATAAAAGCGTATTTTGTTCGTTTTTTTAAACAATTATTTATTTTTCATTTTTTAGTTGAATTTCAATTTTTTTAATTTTTTTTTTAGTATGGATTTTCATTAGTCCTAAGTCTACCAAATTTCGAGTTAATCCGACGTTTTGAAGGGAGTCAAAATCATGTTCAATGATTCCGTTACATACTAACATACATAAGACTGAAGCTAATAAAAGCGTATTAAAAACATTATTCCCGTTATATTTTGTATAATTTAATTATAACATTCTCCAGAATATGTCATATATGGCAATGTTCGGTTGTCGACCGATGCGCGTCCGATGTCTTCTACAACTGGTCGATAGGACACCGCGAGGCTGGTGAGGACGAACAAACGTCCCTGGGGCACTCTCTGCTCTCCGTATTCGTGCTGATCGATCTCGAGGGATGCGACCAAGGTAACAATCGCGTCAACTGAGAATATGTAGCACAAAGCAAAAAAGTAGACATCTCAAAAGTACTCCAAGCTTTTTTTCCTTGTTTTTATTGCTTAGATGAGCCGACTTGACCTAATAGGTGTATGGCTCTAATCTATACATATAAATAAAATTCGAGTGTCTGTTTGTAATATTGAAATAGCCTCTTTTTACTACAAGCATATGAATACACCAAAATACACAAAATACACAAAATACACCAAAATAATATTTTTTACAATTTTTGTCTGTCTGTCTGTTTGTTCCGGCTAATCTCTGGAACGGCTGGACCGATTTTGACGAGACTTTCACTGATAAGTAGCTGATGATATAAGGAGTAACTAAGGCTACTTTTTTTAGACTAGCTTCGCCCCGCGGCGTCACACGCAGTTATTGTCGTACCGCGCGCAACATGGCGGGCTTCGCCTATGAATCAACAATAAAATTTAATGTTTCCGAAACGAAGCGACGGCGGGTCGCTAGTAAAGAATAAAAAAAAAATTGCTCAGATGAGTGGACGAGCTCACGGCCCACCTGATGGTAAGTGGTCACCGTTTCTCATGGACGTCAGCAATGCCAGGGGCAGAGCCAAGCCGCTGCCTACCTCTCTGCCTGCCTCTGAGTAATCTCCGTAAGCCTCGTTTGAAGAAGGACATGTCATAGCGCTCGGGAAACACCGTGGAGGGGAGCTCATTCCATAGCCGGATGGTACGTGGCAAAAAAGATCTCTGGAAACGCACTGTCGAAAACGCAGTGGCTCCAGGTAGTATGAACGAACTACTCCGGTGGCTGGAAGTGCGATAGTAAAAACGAGATGATGGATTTTACTGGTGGTATGACCTCTTGTGAGTCCGTACGGGTAGGTAGAAACGCCCCGCCTATTTCTGCCGTGAAGCAGTAATGCGTTTCGGTTTGAAGGGTGGGGCAGCCGTTGTAACTATACGGAGACCTCAGAACTCATGTTTCAACGTGGGTGGCGTACTTACGTTGTAGATGTCTGTGGGTTCCAGTAACTATTTAACACCAGGTGAGCTGTAAGCTCGTCCAACCATCAAAGCAATAAAAAATTAAAAAATAAAAGAATCTTAAACCATTCCTCAGAGTCATATTGTTTTAACTTACCTATGTGTTACTAAAGTAATGATATGAAAAAGTACTTAAAGAGCCCTAGAATAAATACATTTAATAAACCAATAATTCGACACGTTTATTCCATTGAATTCTTTTTCGGAAAATTTCATTCTTCACGTGCCTTGCTTACTTCCCGCATGTATGTTTTAAATCTGAAACGAAGGGACATAAGAAGTCGTCGTGGCCTAAAGGATAAGACGTTCGGTGCATTCGTGTTGAAGCGATGCACCGGTGTTCGAGTCTCAGGCGGGTACCAATTTTTCTAATGAAATACGTACCTACTCAACAAATGTTCACTATTGACTTCCACGGTGAAGGAATAACATCGTGTAATAAAAATCAAACCCGCAAATTTTAATTTGCGTAATTACTGGTAAGGACCTCTAATGAATCCGCGCGGGTAGGTACCACCACCCTGCTTCTTTCTGCCGTGAAGCAGTAATGCGTTTCGGTTTGAAGGGTGGGGCAGCCGTTGTAACTATACAAGAGGCGTTAGAACGTATATCTCAAGGTGGGTGGCGCATTTACGTCGTAGATGTCTATGGGCTCCAGTAACCACTTAACACCAGGTGTGCTGTGAGCTCGTCCACCCATCTAAGCAATAAAAAAAATCATAATTAAAAAAAGCAGTCTTTACCCTTCACTCATAAGCAAACCCAGGCCGCTATGAACAGACTTTGATCTAATCACTTTCAAACTTCACAAGATAAGTAACATTTTTATTGTATAAAAGCTATCCCACTAATTTAATACGGTAGGCATTACTGTATCACGACAGACACAGGCAAAGGTCGTTCCTAACCTAGCTAGCACAATAAATCCTCTTCCCCCTATTTTTTTATTGCTTAGATGGGTGGACGAAACTGGTGTTAAGTGGTTTCCGGAGCCCATAGACATCTACAACGTAATTGCGCCACCTACCTTGAGATATGAGTTCTAAGGCCTCATTATAATTACAATGGCTGTCCTGCCCTTCAAACCGAAACGCCTTACTGCTTCACGGCAGAAATACGCAGGGTGGTGGTACCTACCCATGCGGACTCACAAGAGGTCCTACCACCAGTCCTTTCTAATTGCGTCGATAATCCTTAGTGCTGAACGTCCTGGCCTCTAATAACTTTCTCCTGGATTATCCTGCACCACTCCTACCTATCCTCGGCTGTGTTGATGACAACAATACGGGTACAGGTAGCAAAAGTAACAAAAATGTGATTAAACAATTTCACCGCTGGTGCATTAGCCCAAAAGTCACTTCGCAAGCTAACCTGGGATCTTAATAATGCGCCGTAGCTTCAAATACAAAGGCTACTAGCAAACAAAAGTATTCTGAAGGCATCCAAAACAATCTTACCGTCAAGCGGATCTTTGCGTAGAGTAAAATCATGTCTCCAGCTCCTAATCGTGTTCATGTGATTGGGTACATCAGGAATGAACACGTGACCGCAGTCGACGCCGTCTTTCTTTACCATACCGACAACTCCTAGAAATATTCCTCCCAGAAGAACGGCGTGGTACGAACCGATGTATGGCCCTAAAATTGGACCGCAGGCTAGACCACCTAGATCGAGAAATAAATGCAATTAATTTACAAACAATGAATGTTCCGCATTCGAACCCCTAATAACTATGAAAAAATTACTGACTCCGGCCATTCAAAAGTATTATAACACACAACCTTGTCTACATTAATGTTCTTATTGAGAGAGGAGGCATAATTTTGGACCGGATGTGAGGAAACTAAGTCAATTTGATCTCAAATCTCAAGATTTAGGGCGGTATTGGCGTTAGGAACCACTGACCATCAGTTAGGCTGTGGGCTCGATTACATAATGCAACATAAAAAAGCCCTTGAATGATTTATTAGGACTTTATCCAAACTTACCCAAGAAATAATTCAGTCTGTCATCCTTTTCTCTAAGTATCTGCGCTCCATTGGCGACCAGAGCGAAAGTAGCACCCATCAGGCCGAGAGGTATCGTATGCAACATGTACCTAAGTCATTTACATTATAGTTTGAACTATACATTGTGCATTGGAAGTATAGGAAACTACTAAATGAATCTCTCCCAGCCAGTATTTTTTTTCTTTTCTGACGGTACAAATGCGAACACGGTTTCGACTAATCACTTTCGCGCTACATTACCGGCTAACGAATTACTATAGGTATCAGTAAAATAGTTAGTAGGTACTTGTGCTTACCTAGTGTTAGTACAGAAATTGAAATTAGGCCATAATTACAGTGCACATTTTTTTATAGCTTTGACGGACGAGCTCACGGCCCTTCTGGTGTTAACTGGTTACCGGAGCCCATGGACATCAACAAGATTAATGCCGAATTCCACTTTGAGGCCTGAGTTCTCAGTCACAGTTCTATTGTACAACGGCTGCCCTAATCATCAAACTGAAACGCTGCTTCAGAGCAAAAATAGGCAGGATGGTTGAAGTTCTATAGCTCGTGTGGGCTTACAAGACGCCGTATCACCAGTAATGTTATGTATTACATAGTTTCTTACGAGGTTATGTAAAATAGGCTATTCTAATTTATTTTATTTATAAACTTCAAACTCGTCCTTAGCTACCAAAAAAAATTATAGAATATCAAAACAATGGTTATTTTTGTACGATCATTTGCGGTAGTGGCCGCAAAACTTTTTGACTTGGAAAGCAGAGGAATACAGACAGAGCCTCCGGACATATCAAGCCTTTACATACACCTGACAAAGTTGTAGAAAAACTGAATTAAAGTTCAATACAAATAGGAATTGAACGTGATCGGATTTCAATATCTTAATACATCTATGTAAATATAAATCTTCTGTCTGTGTGTATGTTAGTGAACTCCTCCTAAACGGGTAGACCGATTTTGATGCTTTTTTTTGTGTATGTTCCAATGAATTTGAGAATGGTTTAGATTTGCAATTCGGTCCACAAAAAAAATGTTTTTTATTTTTTATTTTTATTTGTCGTAAAAAAGTTTGAAATTTTCGGTTTTAGAACGGACAACGTCTGTCGTGTCGCTGGTTAGTATGTAAGACCAATACCGTTTCATAACTGCCTTGAAGCCGACCGCTTGAGAGTACATCAGTACATCATATGTGGACATAATCAATCCTGTTATGACTCCGTAACGGGTGGTCACCAGCGTCTGTAAATGAATTATATATCTCGAGGTCAAATGCACAAGTAGTTTTTTTTTTATTGCTTAAATGGGTGGACGAACTCACGGCCCACCTGGTGATAAGTGGTTACCGGAGCCCATAGACATCTACAACGTAAATGCCGCCACCTACCTTGAGATGAGTTTTAAAAGTACAACGGCTGCCTCGCCATTCAAACCGAAACTCGCGGCAGAAATAGGCAAGGTGGTGTTACCTACCCGTGCGGACTCACAAGACGTCCTACCACCAGTAATTAGGCAAATTACAATTTCCAATTATGTCTCCTGTTTCTATAATTTACAATTATAAGTCTCCTATCTATATAATTTCTAATTATAAGTCACTCGAACCCGTGGTCGTTAGCGCGAATGTTGCCGTCCTCTTTGTGACATAAGCCCGATGCTTTTAGACTCAATTCCTTGTAATATATTATTATCAAATTTAAAACATATTCTACCTTTTTCATTACGTCACATCCATCCGGGGTATCATAATATCTGTAATAATTACGTTTCGTTTTTCGATCACATTCACAAGGCATATTTAGAATATAATATATATATTTTATATCTAACTTATCCGGCAACTCTCTTGCTTCGTTCACAAATAGTTATTTCAGAACAAGTCATTATACGTCATTTATGTCGTTTTTTTAAATCGACCAAAAAGTTTTTAGAGCTGATTTTAATTAGGAATTAGTATTAATTATATACGAAATGCGTAGTTTATTGGCTACCTTAACATCATATTGTTCGAAAATTTAAAAAGTATATTTCACTTCATCATCAGGTTCGTTTTTAATACGCTTTTATTAGCTTCAGACGTAGTATAGGTATATGTAACGGAACTTTTGAACATGATTTTGACCCCCTTTAAAACGTCGGATTATTGGCATACTTATTAAGGACAGATGAACGATGATGAAAAGCGATTTAAAAAAAAATGGAAAATCAACTAAAAAATGAAAAATAAATAATAGTTTAAAAAAACTACCCCACGCTTTTTTACAAATAATTTTTTCTTACAATTTTTTTTAATTCAAATTTATTAAAATTTATTTTGTATTTTTTAGTTGGATTTTTTTCTATAAAAGCGTTTTTTTTTTTTTTTAAACTATTATTTATTTTATATCGATTGGCGTTGTTGATCCCTTAGTAAAGTTTTACGGTATTATCTTATGAGATCCGCTCTGGATCATTATAGGCTCTTCAAGCGCCGGTCACCGTCCTCGTCAAACTTCGATGAGTTCGACGTCTGAACTAGCCCATAGACAGAGCCCACTGAGTTTCTCACCGGATCTTTTCAGTGGGTGGCGACTTCGATCCGGTGGTACTGGTGGTAGGACCTCTTGTGAGTCCGCACGGGTAGGTACCACCGCCTTACCTATTTCTGCCGTGAAGCAGTAATGTGTTTCAGTCTGAAGGGTGGGGCAGCCGTTGTAACTATACTGAGATCTTAGAACTTATATCTCAAGGTGGGTGGCGCATTTACGTTGTAGATGTTTATGGGCTCCAGTAATCATTTAACACTAGGTGGGCTGTGAGCTCGTCCACCCATCTAAGCAATAAAAAGAATTAGATTCAGCGAAGTACTGCTTTACCTAGGATTAGTGTTAGCAAACTCTCTCATGTTGAATCCGTGAGCTCACCTACCGGTCTATGAGTAGCTGGAGTAGCCCCTTAAGCTACCAGTGAAAAGGTAGGGAAAAACATCTCAGATAGCGATATGGGACGACAAAACTGGATAAATGAAGCCGCCAGCACAAAAGTGGCCTATCCTACATTTTTTCATATTCGTGGTTCTACTATATTGCAATTTATTTAAAACATAATAAATTTTGATGCAAAACCGGCCTATCCCTAATTTCGCCCATAGATAACAGACGGCTTTGTTTTTGCGCGTTTTGTTTTTGCCTATGAGGCAGTGTAAACATAAATTCAGACCTCATTGTCTCCATACTTACTTATAGTAAGCTCAGGTAAGCTTAGGCCAATTTTGCGCTGACGGCTTCAAATATGGTGGATCTTCAGGCTCCAAAGTTTATTTTGAAGACAAAAAAAACTTGACGGCGTATGTTAAAGACACCTGTTAAAAAACTGCTACAGAATTCAAAACACTGAGACCACTATCGAGTCTGCTGGACATCGTGCATCCTCCGCCAGTGCGAGGATCGCAGCTGCTTGTCTGCTCCACGCCGTTCGGATGCGAGGTGAGTTTGCGACAAGTAAAGTACTAGAAACCTCCAGAACATTGTACACTTAATTCAAGAATCAAATGCAATTATTAACCACTAGCTGACCCGGCAGACTTCGTAGTGCCTCAATCGATAAATAAACTTTTGTATAAAATAAACTTCAAACAAACAAAAGGAATCCGTCTGACGGGGGATACATCAAAGGAAAAACAAAATTGTTATTTTTATTTAATTCCGAGCATTTTCATATTTATATACCTTTTAAACCTTCTCTGAACTTCCACAAATAATTCAAGACCAAAATTAGCCAAATTGGTCCAGCCGTTCTCGAGTTTTAGCGAAACTAACGAACAGCAATTCATTTATATATATTAACCATTTGAAATATCCAGCGCGATTACTTAAAATCTTTAAAATACTTAAAAGGATTTTTTTTCCTACCTACCCTGCCTATCCGCTGGTAGCCTGAGAGGCTAGTCCAGCTACGCGTGGACGGGTAAAAGGGTCATTCGCATCTACTGCAATAATAAATTATATCTTTGAATGAAGATTATCAGACCTGTAAGTCCCGAGTCGGTCGCTACGCTTTGTCTATATCTGACGCAAACCGAATATTGGGAAACCTTATGACAACGCAGCTCGCGGCCCACCTGGTGTTATTGGCCCATAGACATCTACAACTTAAATGCCGCCACCCACCTTGAGATATGAGTTCTAAGGTCTCAGTTTTTATAGCGCAACGTTTGCCCCACCCTTCGAACCGAAACGCATTACTGCTTCACGGCAGAAATAGGCAGGGTGGTGATACCTACCCGTGCTGACTCACAAAACGTCCTACCACCAGTAAAAGCAAGATACATTGGTTCCGAGTCTCAGTTTTTATAGTACAACGGCCGCCCCCCCCTTTTCCCCCGTTAACTAAAGTAAGTCCTCGTCGATCAGGCGTTCCTGAATTCGGAAACTATTGGATACATTTGCGGCGAGGTCGGGGTTCGGCCCTCCTTGATCCTGACCGATGCAGCCACTTCTTTGGGGTCCGAGGGTGGCGCTGTATTCGCTACTGGCAAATCGTAAGTACATCAGCAACAGCTTTCGCATCCCTAGATGACTGTGATAATGGTAGGTAGGCAGCGACCTGACTCTCCCCCTGGCATTGCTGACGTCCATGAGTGACGGTAACCACTCGCCATCAGGGGGGCGGTATGCTCGTCTGCCTAAAGGGTAAATAAAAAAATATATGCGAAGGCGAATTTTCTTCGAAGTATTTGAAGGTAGCTCATGTATAGATGATGCGTAAATTAATCTCGATCAATTGAGGGTGAAAAAGCATTTCTCATTAGACTACAACATGATAGGCAACAAAAAAGATTACGGGATTAAAAAAGATTAAAAAGATTAAAAAATATTAAGAACACGGGCTATTGAGATCACGGTACGCTTAGTGACAAGTGAAGATCATTTGTCACTAAAATGGAGATCACTTGTCACTAAAGTGTAGATCACTTGTCACTAAAGTAGAGATCACTTGTCACTAAAGTGGAGATCACTTGTCAGTAAAGATTTGATTGCAGTCGCCTTGAAAGCTGAGTGTCATCAACGGTCCACAAATAAAGCGTAAAAGTAGTGTTGGTCTACGAAACGCGGTAACCAAAGAAAATAGCAAATTATATTATTTCCAGGTTAAGTTTAATTGGTATAGTGGCGTGCAGTGTGTCTTGGTGTCGGGGTGAATGGGTGGGTCTGACTCTGGTGGCGCCGCTGATGACAGTACTGTCCGCGAAACTAAACATGGACATGGCCAACCTAGCGAGACCTCGGACCAGGGATCCGTTGATGACAGTTCTTAGTGAGTTCTGATTTTTTTCATCAAACAATTTTGGATCTTCGGTATGTTATTACGTCATGTAGATTTAGACAAAACAACTCCGTTCAGTCTTTCGACATTGTTAGTCAAAGTTTATAGTTATACAGTAATTAAATATAAAAAAAATTGTGGTGTCGTCGGACACCGAATAGGAACGAAGTTCTTTATTATAAAAATATTAATTTTACGTTCTATTCGAGGTATAAAGAAAATAAAACTGGAGGTTTCGCAACAACCCACGGTCATTCGGTAATGTGCGAACTTATTGTGGTACACTTAATTCACGGTTGTTTGCATAAGAGTTAGTGTATTGCGCAAACGAACGCTCTGAGATCGTGGTCAGTGAAAGATAAAAAAAAAATTGTTATTTTTTGTACGTTATTACAAAGTTAAGTCGTACATTGTGTGCATTACTAATAAAAATCTTCGTTACGGACGTTTTTTCCCGGTTAGGGTACCCCTCCGCATCGTCCCATAAGGAACTTTGTTCCACGATTTTATTTGGTATTGTTGGAGAATTTGTCAAAAATATACGTAAAGAACAAATTATCAAAAAGAGTAATTGAATTCGGTAAAACACAGCTACGTCATTAGGGACCCTTATTTTAGGATTTTTCTCGATTTTTGTATTTTTTCGGTTAAATTTCATTTTTAGCGAAAATTAAAACTTTGCAAACTTACACACACAATGTACATTGCTCCAGCATGTTGAATTCGACTTGTAACCAATGAATAAAATTTTTAGCGACTTTTTCTATTTATTATAGATATAAATAAAAATATTTTTATTTTCAAATTGTAGACACTATAGACAGAACGACCGTATTGGTACGTTGCGGTTCCACTTGGGGCTCCGGAGTGTATCTTGGAGATGGGTACTTCATCACCTGCTCGCATTGTCTCAACGAGGTAAGTGCTGCCAAAAATGTGAGGAACTTAGAATTGCAGTCTGGCAATACTTTGATAACTTCGCTTCCTGTAACCCAAAAGATGGTTTTCATTAAGCAGATTTTACCAAATTCTCCAGAAGAAATACTTGAAAACTTCATATTATACATACCCCTGTAGCATCTTACACAATTCATAGTTGAAATACTAAAAATAAAATTAATTGACAGATCTAGTCTGTATGATATATATATATATATATATCCGTATGCTCGTCTGCCTACAAGGGCAANCAATCCATAGTTGAAATACTAAAAAAAATTGATTGACAGATTTAGTCTGTAAATTATGTCATGAAATATATTTTCCCCTGTGTAAGTCTGGCTATAAAGACTAGTATTCATTCGGAGATGTAAAACAAAAGTTATAGTAGTAATAGTGCAGTATTACTGTATTACTGGTGGTAGGACCTCTTGTGAGTCCGCGCGGGTAGGTACCACCACCCTGCATATTTCTGCCGTGAAGCAGTAATGCGTTTCGGTTTGAAGGGTGGAGCAGCCGTTGTAACTATACTTGAGACCTTAGAACTTATATCTCAAGGTGGGTGGCGCATTTACGTTGTAGATGTCTATGGGCTTCAGGAACCACTTAACACCAGGTGGGCTGTGACCTCATCCACCCATCTAAGCAATAAAAAAAAAAAAAAAAAAAGTGACCATGGTAACTGCTTACCATCCATCAACAAGCTTTTGTCTATTTCTGTCACGGAGCGACCATGGCTTAAAACATGGGACATCCATCGGAATGTAGTTGTAGAGATAGATATACGACAAAGAGAACATCTTCCACCGAGCGGGTGATATTTGCTCGGTAAACCGACGGTCCGAATGTTGTTGTTCGGAACTTGTATATATGCGAGCTTATCTTGAAAATGTCGTAAGCGAGATTCAGGCATCTGTCAATTATCTTGCGTTGTATGATGGCTATCCGCCACATAGTTACAGATTTAATCCTGCCTGGGTCGTATCTTTTTTTTTCATTTCCCTTGTAGCAGACGAGCATATGGCCCACCTGATGGTGAGTGATTACTGTCGCCCTTGGACTTCAGCAATAACAGGGGCAGAGCCAAGCCGCTGCCTACTCTCCACAACCCATCTAAGGACAGAAATATTTTACATTTACTACGTCTTGAGGTGCCAAACTTAGTGCATTCCATGGTGTGTATGGGTTCCGCTAATCTCTTATGGGGGGCCTGAACTAATTTGTCCATATCATCTCACAAGACATACTTTTGCACAGTACACGAACAGGAGAGTGGAAATATACTGCCAAGGGATCAAGGAGCACGCGGTGGTGGTGTACCGAACTGTCCAGGATCGGCCTTACGATCTGGCGGTGCTGTACTCCAGCCCCGCGAAGTGGAAGCATTTGCAGGTGGCCAAGCTCTCCGACAATCCGGCTTGGAAAGGTACCACCACTTTCGTCAGAGCGATCGCGGTTGTCATTCAGTATCATTGCTGTGTCAGCCCACTGAGTTTCTCGCCGGATCTTCTCAGTGGGTCGCGTTTTCGATTCGGTGGTAGATTCTGCAAAGCACTGCCCTTGCTAGGGCTAGTTTTAGCAACGTCCTCAGATTAGAGCCCCGTGAGCTCACCTCATATAATATATAAATATATGAGTATATAATAATATATGGTCGAAGTAAATTAAATATGTATTAAAGATAACGTCAGATCTTGATTATATTTAAAGGGAAGGCACCAGCTTTCAAATAAAATTAAGCAAAGGATTATCAAAATTAATTTACCTAGAAAACAAACGAAAAAAATATTATCGGATTGAGAACCCCTTCTTTTTTTGAAGTCAGCCAAAAACAATACCTAGTGTGTGGTACACCAAATTAATTTAAAATTTTAATGGCGTTTAATGGTCGATATAAGACGAGTTAGACTAACAGAACAAGTTAAGGAGGTCGTTTTAAAGGATTCAATTAGGTCCGACTGCTGCTCAGACATGGTAACCACCGCAAACTTCCGGTCACCGTCCTCGCGGAACCCGTCGCTTGCGACGAAGGGCTCGACGAGTAAATTAACCCTCAGACACAGCCCACTGAGGTTCTCGCCGGATCTTCTCAGTTTCCGATCCGGTGGTAGATTCTGCGAAGCACTGCTCTTGCTAGGGCCAGTGCTAGCAACACCTCCGGTTTGAGCCCCGAGAGCTCATCTACACGTTAGGGTGACGATGAAATAGCCTCTCAAGGCTATCAGCACAAGGAGGGAAAAAAACCTCAATATGTAATTTTATTTATACGTGAATCTTAAAAAATCCTAAGTGTCGGTTTGCATTTTATTGTAGATCAAAGTATCATATGTGCTAAAAATATATATAGAATATTGAGATATTTACATGTGAGTCTATGCCGAGTATAGGTATTCAAAGTTCAAAATAACTTTCATGATATATGAAAACATCATTTTGGCCCAAAACGTCACATAGGAGATATCAAGCCGCTTTCAGACTACGCTAGACTATAGTGCCATATAATATAGCAGCGTATCCCGTCCCACAGGAGAGCAAGTGATGGCGGTCGGGTTCCCGTATTACAGTGAGCACTCCGTGGACTCGCTGGTGCCCACTATGACGAATGGCTACGTCAATAACGTCTCGCCGTCGATGATTCAGACCTCGTGCTGTGTGCAGTCTGGGTTCAGGTAAGGATGAACCAGAATCAACATCGATTGTTTTGTAGGATAGTGGGCTTGACTAACTCAGGGTAATTTTATATTGTGTTTTTTTTATTGCTTAGATGGGTGGACGAGCTCACAGCCCACTTGGTGTTAAGTGGTTACTGAAGCCCATAGATATTTACAACGTAAATGCGCTACCCACCTTGAGATATAAGTTCTAAGGTCTCAAGTATAGTTACAACGGCTACCCCGCCCTTCAAACCGAAACGCATTCTGCTTCACGGCAGAAATAGGCAGGGCGGTGGTACCTACCCGTGCGGACTCACAAGAGGTGTGGTAGTAGGTAGTAAAAACCAGTGTGTTTATACAATGCTTTATTTTCCTTGTATTCCGGCTTAGGTCAAACGCATACGGGAATGTACTGTAGCCACATTCACACCGAACTATTTATTGAGTGGCGTGATGTCCCCATTTTACGATGACTGAACCACTCGTGGAGGTATACGACAAAGGCAAGATCTTCCACCGAGCGGGTGATATTGCTCGGTAGACCGACGGCCCGAATGTTGTTGTTCGGAACTTGTATATATACACGCTTATCTTGAAAATGTCGTAAGCGAGATTCAGGCATCTGTCAAATATCTTGCGTTGTATGATGGCTACCGCCACAGTGGAATGAACGATCTCACGACGCGCCCGGTGTTAAGGCTGAGAACACAACGAGAATTACGTCGCTCAACTTGAAACTTTAGATCGAAGTCTCACCTGTATAATGGCAGCTATAGACAGACTACTGGTAACTACCCACGCTGGATCACAATACGCCCTTCTCCCAGTTACCTTGGGTCAGCGCAACATGTTTTCTCTTTCCATACTCCTCTATCATATACAATTTCTTTACTCACTCCCCTCTTACACATATCGTCTTTCACACAATCTAGCCATTTCTTCTTAGGGCGACCTTTTCCTCTAAAGCCTTCCACATTCATAGTTAAAAGTCTCTTGACAACCTCATTGTCATTTCGTCTCATTACATGTCCATTCCATCCCAAACGCGCGCTTCTCAGCTTCTCTGTCATAGGTGCCATTTTCAGACCGGTAATTGCGCAAAATATTTTTTTGCGATTTTCATTTTTATTCATTCATCGTGGCACTTGTGATCGTCTATTAAGTTAGTGTTTCGTTACAAAAATTTGTGCACGCCCGTGAGATTCGAACCCCGGACCAGTCGTATCGCTCGATTGCAAAATCATTCTTAGTAGGGTAGATTGAGAAATAAGTTTTTTTTTCTTTTTATAAACAACTAGCGACTCGCTCTCGCTTCGCTTCGGGAACTCTAATTTATTAATTTTATTATTGATTATAAAAATAAGATGGCAGATTTTTTTTCTATTTACTTGACGCTTATCGTTATATTTTTGATAATTCACACTATATCTTTGTAAATTATAGCCTATGCGTTATTCGGAAGTATAACCTATATTATTGTAAAGTTTCATTAAATCCATTAAGAAGCTTTTGCGTGAAAGAAAATATGTGTATGTGTATTGTGTACCTAATCAACAAAATAAAATAATAAAAAAATAACAAAGATACATCCATACATTCTTACAAAGTTTCGTGTTTTCAAATATTATTAGGATTTAGAATTGTAGTTTTACTCTATTTGTTGGTTATAATTTTGAAACTGAAAATAAATCCCGAAAAACAAATGATTAAATTTTCAGCGGTGGTCCAATAATTCGTCTGACCAGCGGCATCGAAGTGGTCGGCATAATTGTGAGCAATGCCAAGAACGACGAGAACGCGTATTACCCGTACGTGAACATGGCGGTGCCGGCCACGGCCTTCAAGGACTCCGTGCAGAAGTTCATGATCAGCAAGGGTAGGTGCCTACCTTCGTAACTGACTTTGATAAGAAATAGGATTTTCTGACTTTATTTTTTTTAAGGGATTTTATGACCTGGTAACTAAGACCTTTAGGTCATGTCTTATTTTAATTTATATTGTCATTTTTATGAAAAATGTCGCATGATCCGCAAATCAGCATGAAATGAAGATGATTAATTTGGGACATTAATCAACTGTGATGAAATTAAATAAAATGGGATGAGATGATATGGGATGAAATATAATCTCAGTAAAATGGTGGTCGTTTACGGAGATTTTTTCAGTGGATTTTTTGCAGGGCCCCGTAAAGTTAGGTCCAGCGGCTTTGTTTCATTTTCCCACATTTGTACACTTTCACAGATATTAAACAGTTAACAAACCACTGTTATTACACATTTAAACTTGAAGAAACACTAAATAGACAAATAAAACAAATCACACATCTTCATTCCTCGCGTTCCCGCCAAAAAGTCCTTAATTTTGTATTTGAAACGCTATATTGCCAACACTAAAATGTTATATTGAAAAATGGCGCCCTATTTCATCATTTCTGTTGTTGTTTACTAATTTATATAAAATTTCGCTTTCAGATCCGAACAGCCTTCAAAATTTGGAAAATCAAAGAGAAATCATTCAATCACAATGGCGACTGTTGCCGTACCGATCCAAAATATAAACCTAAACAATGTTTATATCCATTCTCATACTATAATAAATTAAAAAAATAATAATCATTTATTAAAATAAGCATTAATACCAGTAGTTTCCGTGATTTCGTATATCTAGAAATCGCAATAGCTCGGAGGTACAGTACCCGGCGTTAAATATTGCACACCGTCCTATGAAAAGAGAGGATCGGTTATTTTAGGCTTTGTATAATAAACGATGTGCAATATTTAACGTCGGGTACTGTAGTTTAGATTTCCCTGGAAAAAAAAATATTTTTCACAAAATATACCGCTTTTGCATCCTAAATATTCCCTTTATACGGATCTATGTAGTGAAAATGGGCAAGACCCGTGTTTATTGGTCCGTCTTTCGGCTATAAAAGTCGTGTGTATGTGGCTCAACTCATTTTGGTCATTCATATCGAAGAGGCATGTTGTTGGATAACCCTTTTTAAATATTTTTTTACACAATAAATTTTGTACAGCTTTATTTATTTATTTATTTTATTTATTTATTTATTAAGTTGCACCAACAAAGTGATCATCAATACAAAACATTGACGAATTGACAAAAGTTCATGGCAGGTATCATCTCAATTATAGATGTAATCGACAGTGCATTAACAACAAAAATAAATAATAGAGCATATATAGCTTAGAAGCTAGATCGGTATATAGGATACTTCTAAAGACATCATGACCCGGGCAACGTCGGGTGTATCTGCTATGACCAATACGACAGTGTGTTCGTTGATTTCTTATAAAAACGAATATACAAGTTGACGGGTCGTTTATGGTCCAGAGTGTGACACAAGAAATTCTTTGTCCCAGGAAAATCAACGTGTTTAATTTTGTTGTGAATTTAACACGGGTAAAACCGCGGGCCACACTTGTTCGACCATTTATATTAATACTTTTTTCAATAATTAATCAAGAAACCATAGAATTCATGACCTCAAGAAAATTTGAAACAAAAACCTCAAGAATCCGTGTTTATGTAGATGTCACGCAATGAATGAGATATTTAGATCAGATTCATAGTAGATGAAGTAACATAATATGCCAGTCTTTGATTCTAATCGTAGATTTTAAGCGCGAAGAAGCTTGTCAGAGTTAATTGTTATTTTTTTTTACAAACAAACACATATTGTATAGTATTTTTTTAATATGTTAGCATGATCGCTTAGGTTCGGACATTATGTTTCCGCAGCCAATTTTCAAAATGTGCCAAAGTTTTTTTTTTTTTATTGTGAATGTGATATTTTTTATTTCTTTTAGCTACCGAATTTAATTTAATATAAATATTTAGGTTAAGAACAACGTAAATTTTTTATATTTTTTTATTACATGTAGTAAACTTTTGTGTATGGCTTTTTCAATAAATGGTATAGTAAAATATTTGAGTATTTTTTTATTGCTTATATGGGTGGACGAGCTCATAGCCCACCTGGTGTTAAATTGTTACTGGAGCCCATAAACATCTTCAATGAAAATGCGCCACCCACCTTGAGATATAAGTTGTAAGATCTCAGTATAGTTACAACGGTTGCCCCACTCTTTAAAATCTTTTGGCCGTCGACCAAATAAATATGGAGTTTTTTTTTTGTGTAGGTACTACATACATCTTTCATACAGCGTTCCAGAGGACGCAGTTCCACATTGACAAGATGAGAAGACCAAATTACAGTAATTACGTCTTGAGATCAGTTTGATCAATCAATGGTTTTCAAATTGCTATTACAAAAAATAATTCCGTTTTTTTAATTAAACTATAACAAACAAAATCCATTAACGAATCGAAAAGTGTTCGAGTTATTATAAAATTAAGAACGAAAACTTTTTTAAGAAAAAATATATTCTTAATTCGGTCTGCGTCTAGTTCTGATGTCTGTCATTTGGTTGAAGTTGAGCGCAGTTTATAACTAGATAGAATAATTACATAGAAATGGCTCGTAAAGGACAAGTCTCTATTCAGGAATCAGTGGAAAACGACGAAGAGTTCGAGAATTTCATCCGGGCACATTACGATCAGCTCATTTGTTAGTAGAGAGAGAGAGAGAGAAAACATTATTGCACACCAAAACACAATTACCATCAGAAAACAGTCAACAAGCAGATACGTTTGTACAATAGGCGGTCTTATCGCTAAAGCTTATCTATTCCAGACAACCGTTTAATTACCCGAAATTCTGGACAGATAAAGATATAGCAGATATGTTGTGGTGTGCTATTAACAACATATTATTAAAGCAAATACATACAATCAATATATATATACCGTTAAACACAATATGAAATCACCATATGATTTATATTCCAATATACTTACATACACATAATAAATTAACAGTAAGGAGCATAACCAAACAAACAACACTAGGCGGATATGTAATGTTCCTTTACCATTCTTTTAAAGAAGTTTAAAGTTGGAGCACTTCTCACTGCATCCAGCAGAGCATTCCACAATCGAAACGCCTGCATGGTGAATGAGTTATCAAAGAATGAAGATGAATGCGCCGGCATTTTCAGTCTCAGACTATCTGATGAGTCGTTGCTAGTATCTTATATACCTTTAAACGAGCAATTCTTGTATATTAATATATATGTAATCTGAATCTCGGAAACGGCTCCAACGGTTTTCATAAAATTTAGTATACATGGGATTTCGGGGACGATAAATCGATCTAGTTACGATTTATTTTCAGAAAATTTTGTTTTATTCGTGTTTTCAATAATCAACTCTTCCCGACATCTATTGGCGAATAATAATACTATTTTTCTTAATTGAGAGCAACTAACCGCTTTAAATACACAACAAGATGGCGTTATCAAAAAAAAAACCAGCAAAGCTCGGTCATCATCTAATAGTTTATATAAAGTTGATGATTTTATCTATGCCTATATGTCTTGGTCGGGTTCGGTAGTGTCTACAAAGAAACCAGTCACGGTCCGAGAGCTCGTCTCATGACTTGCTTAATCCTTCAATTCTAACATTAAGTTTGACACCTCAAAGCTGGTACCAAGCCTTATCTCGCGAAGCCATCGTTTATTTCGCTTCAAAGGGTACCTTAGCCGTAAATCTTACTCTATTAAGACCTCTATTTTTTATCTCTCACTGTCCAAAGCCTCAGGCAATGGCTTATCGATAGAAAATGAGTACAACTGTCTATAAAATTCAATGCTGATTGAAATCGTATCGTAAATAACTAAAACATAAATATTAGGCATGGAAGTATACTCTGAGTTCTGTGGGTTCTGTCTGGCCACGGGCAACGCTATTAGGAAGGGGAAACTGGAAATCGGACAAGATCGAATCGCGATGGTCAAAGTAAGTAACCTTTAAACATTAGTCAATATTAAGATTTATTTTAATTGTATATAGCTAAATTAAATGTGATAAACGGGAATAGCCAATCAAGCAATCTTGTATTTAATTCGTTTAAGCATAATACGCACATAATACAAATAACTTTAAATAGGACAATTATTTCAATTGATTATTAAGTTTTAATTTTTACTGGTTGTAGGACCTCACGTGAGTCTGTACGGGTAGGTACCACTACCCTGCCTATTTGTGCAGTGAAGCAGTAATGCGTTTCGGTTTGAAGGGTGAGGCACCCGTTGTAACTATACTGAGAGCTTAGAACTCATAAATCAAGGTTGGTGGCAGCATTTACGCTGTAGATGTCTATGGGCTCCAGTAACCACTTAACGCCAGGTGCGCTGTCAGCTCGTCCAACCATTTAAGCAATAAAAAAAATAAAAAATTGATTAAGACAGACAACGAGTAGCTATTGCCAACCGCCGCTGCAAGAATGAAAGGTTCTAGAAAAGGTTCTAATGCATTTACGTCACTTTTCTCGAGTCGATCAACATATTCTAGTCAATACATGATTTATGATTCAGAGCATTCAATTATTCATAAATCATCAATACCAATCTTCGACAACAGTTACTGGAAGACTATGGAGGGTAGGGGTATGGAAGACATCCAAATGTATGAATACGTATCCCTATGAATAAAATTCGTGCATAATTAATGCTCTGTTAAGATAACGCGTATCCCTGCGAATAAAATTCGCGAAAACTTGCTCTGTTAGGATAACGCTTATTTGAAAGGTCAAAGGGCAACTGGTGATTGTATGTTATAATTTGGAAGAAAATATAACATGATTTAATACAATTTGTGAAATTTATAAAAAATTATAGCCTATGTAAACAGAAAAGCATACCTCACCAGAAAGTAAGTGTGCTTATGGTCACTCATAGATGTTAGCAATACCACGCGTAGGTACATAAAGTCGTTGCCTAACTATTGCTATTTACTTATTTTGTGGTAAAGACAAGAGGAAAATCTTCTGGTAGACAGACGGCCCGAATTTCGATGTTCGGAACTTTTTTATATAGTACTGGCGACCCGCCCTCGCTTCGCTTCGGAAACATTAAAACAAACATGAAACCAAAAAAAAAAATAAAAAAAAAATAAAAAAAAGTAGCCTATGTTCATCAGGGACAATGTCGGTTTCTAATGGAAAAAGAATTTTTCAAATCGGTCCAGTAGTTTCGGAGCCTATTCGAAACAAACAAACAAACAAATCTTTCCTCTTTATAATATTAGTATAGATATGTAAGCTTATACTGAAAATATCGTTAGCGAGATGCAGGCGTCTTCTCCTAATTAGTAATAATTACTTTCACTTCCTAGGCCTTAGCCGATAACATCACTGCTTTATCAAGATTTAAAGATAAAAGTGAACCCGTATTTCTATTCATATTTGTAAGTTATTGCTTTTTTCTACTTGGTTTTATATACAGTAGAATTCGGATATAACGACCTTCAAGGGACCGGCGAAACTATGTCGTACTAACCGGATGACGTACAAAACGGAAGGATAATTTCTTAAGTACATATGTTTATCCAACTCATGGAGCATGTGAAATTTTGCATGTCTAACTGTATAGGGAAAAATTGCTTTCTCTTGTAGCAGAGGTACATTCACGGGTATTCCCCGGTCGCGCTCAAGCTTGAACCATTGTAACAATGCCTTATCCACCGGCTCATGAGTAGAAGTTCTTACACGTTTGCATTTTAAAACATTGGCATTAAACAGCGACTCGATCTTATCTTTATTCTTCTTTATTGTAGAATGAGATATGTCAACCTCCTTTGCGAGGGCTGCATTTGATTCACCGGCTTCTAATCGGTGTAATATTGCACTTTATTCTTTAATTGTAAAACACTTTCGCTTCATAGAACTCATTTTGTCGAGCTTTAAGAACTTGACATAACAAGTGACAAACACTAACTGTGATTCACGCGCCAATAAAAAGGGCGGGGTGAAGTTGGGGCGCCGAGGAATTGGTAGGTTGTGTAAAAAACATTGTGCGTCGTTTTAACCGGACGTATCATCATAATATTCATAATTAATGGTCGCTATAAGCAGTTGGTCGCTTAAAACGGAGTTGCACTAAACGGTTATATTTTCTCAGTACCTAACTATGAAACCTAACTTGAGTAAACATTATCGTCGTTAAAAGCGGTTAGTCGTTATAAGCGAAGTCGTTGTATATGAATTCTACTGTATATACATTTTATGTGATATAAACAACCTAATGTAATAATAAGCCGCGTTTATCTATGGAGAGCCCCAAATCCTTAGGCAAATTTTTGAAGTCGTCGTGGCCTAAAGGATTAGATATCCGGTGCATTCGTATCGAGCGATGCAACGGTGAAAAAATAAAATCCGCAAAATTATAATTTGTTTAACTACTGGTGGTAGGACTTCTTGTGAGTCCACACGGGTAGGTACCACCACCCTGCCTATTTTAGCCCTGAAGCAGTAATGCGTTTCGGTTTAAAGGGCGGAGCAACCGTTGTAACTATACTGTGACTTTAGAACTCATATCTCTAGGCGTGTGGCGGCATTTACGTTGTAGATATATATGGGCTCCGGTAACCACTTAACACCAGGTGGGCTGTGAGCTCTTCCGCCTATCTAGGCAATAAAAAAAAACTGAACAACACCTGCCTAAATATGATTTAATCTATTAACAATCTCGTGACTTCTGTAGAAAGGTAAATTAACAAGAGCAATGTTTGGCGCCAACGGAATAGAGCTGTGCCGTATCATAGAGGAAGAGATGGGGCTCATGCAGCGGGAAATAGACACGGGAATCGTGAGGAAGAAGCAAGAGATCACGGAATTATTACCCGAGGAATCTGTTTGTATTCAAAATGCAGTAGCCACTATTAACTTTCCTCCATTATCGAACTGTAGTGTAGTATCACAAGTTATCCTATTTGATTGCTTGTTCTAATTCACTATTAAACTTGGTAATTTATCACTTAACTAAAGCAACATGAATAAAATGAGGTTTAAGTTTGAGTCCAGTTGCAACACGAGCCTTAGAAGACGGTTGGTAGCTTTATTTATTTGTTGCATGAATAGGTGGACGAACTCACAGCCCACCTGGTGTTAAGTGGTTACCGGAGCCTATAGACATCTGCAAAGTACACACCGTCACCTACCTTGAGACATGAGTTCTAAGGTTTCAGTTTTTACAATACAACGTCTGCCCCATCCTTCTAACCGAAACGCATTACTGCTTTACGGCTGAAATAGGCAAGGTGCTGGTACCTACCCGTGCGGACTCACAATACATCCTACCACCAGTATTACGACATTAACAGGAGCTTGACTATAGCCCTGACATTGCTGACGTCCATAAGTCAAGGTAATCGCTCACTACCAGTGTGCTTAGTGCGAGTTTTTTAACGTTCTCGATAGCGTAAAAGTTAACTCATTTGTATGGAGTTGGAACGTTTGCCTACGTTTGCCGCTAGGGGCGCTGTTCCAACTGCACACAAATTTGAGTTAACTTTTACGCTATCGAGAACTTTAAAAAACTCGCAATAAGCACACTGGTCGGCCATGTACTCGTCCGGCTATAAAGACAATAAAAGGGCATGCGCTTAATATAATAATTAAATTTAAATTAATATTAATATATCTATACATATAAAAATGAATTGCTGTTCGTTAGTCTCGCTAAAACCCGAGAACGGCTGGAGCGATTTGGCTAATTTTGATCTTGAATTATTTGTGGAAGTCCAGAGAAAGTTTAAAAGGTAGATAAATATGAAAATGTTCGGAATTAAATAAAAATAACAATTTTGCTTTCCCTTTGATGTGTCCGCCGTCGGACGGATTCCTTTTGTTCATTTTAAATTTATTTTATACAAAAGCTTAGGTCTTCTATTTATCGATTGAGGCACTACGAAGTCTGCCGGGTCAGCTAGTAAATAATAAATTTATTTTAATGTTCATTTCGAAGGCAAAGATCCAAGAGGATCTGAGATTGGAAGAAGAGTACAAAGAGGCCACAGAAAGACTACGTGTCTTAACTCTAGCGGCACGCAAGAAGCGTGTTGCGGAACGCATGGCGAGGCATGTGAAGAGGTTCAATTTCATCCTATTTTGGCCGCACTGCCATCAAGCACATTATGATCTATACGAAAAATGGGATATGATAAGTAAGTTTCGTTATGAAATCATTTTTTAAGTACCCAATTCAAAACTGTATGCTTAGGTTTTTAGGAACATTTAGGTACTACTGGTTTATCGCGCGGTTTCACCGGACCTCAAATTGTCTTTATAAAATCAACAAACACCTGCTTTTTTTTCGTATAAAACGAATACAGTTGTCGGCAGACTTGTCAACCAAAAAACCCTAATGCATATGTACATAATGTATATGTAGATAACACACAATTGTAATTTATTCGAAGAGCTATTTCTTTAAAATTTTCATTTACTTTTTCTTTAACATTTCTTTTTCAACGGTAGGCAGCGGCCTGGCTCTACTCCTGGCATTGCTGGAGTCCATGGGCGACGGTAACCACTCACCATCGAGTGGGCCGAATGCTCGTCGGCCTACACGATCAATAAAAATAAAAATAAAATTATATATAGCTTTGTGTTTCAAAAATGTCTACTCGTTCTCTTACAAAGCAAGATAATAAGTAATAATATTCCGTGCCTGAACCAAAACATTTTGCGGAAGAGCCGCAGCCGAGAGGACTCAAGGACCGTGGGTTGCCGACCACTAAACTAATAGCTCATATCACTCGTCGATTCATAGAACAACTATTTCAAAGATCATGTTAACTGTTTGTCTAAAATGGCCGCATTTTCATTGCCTATCTTTTAAGTCTGAAGCATTTTATGCTGTAGTGAAAAACAACAGTTGATCGGAAGTCTGCTTACAGACTAACTCGATCGATGTATTGTATTCTTCCGATCTAGTAGTAGTTTCATTCGCCAAATAGCTGCTCTTGAGTTCTTAGGTCTCCTTCGGAGGCGCTCAGGCAGCTGTTAGCAAATCCCACCCCTCCTGGACCGTGCTCGCCCACCTGTCCTGATGAAACTGAAAAGGCCTCCGGGCTATCAGTACATAATCCTTCAACCATAAATATATATCTATATACTAATATATAACACTACAGTAGATTTTACTGATGTTGTGTTATAACTACTGAACCGTGCATCCGATTGACTTGAAACTTGGTATCCATGTAGAAAATACATGTACTTAATGGATAGGCTAATATTTATATGAGTGTTGGACTCCCTACACTAGTTGCGGGGGCGTTAATGATGAGAATCTTTGTGGGGGTGAGAAATAATAATGTTAATGTTAAATGCCCAGCGAAGCGGACGGGTACAGCTAGTATATATATTTTATGATGAGTCGTGGATGTAATAAACTTCTTCTACAGCGTCTGACTGATCGCCGAGCTGTCCATGAGGCCACATAAACTTTCTTCTTCTTCTTAGTCGCCTACTTCATTGCTGAAGGTCGTGTCCCTGAAAGGCCTTCGTGGCTCTTTGTGGCTTCTTACAAAGAGCCACATAAACTTTACGCAATCGTAACGCCTAAAATAATAATAGTATGACAATAAAAACGCGTCATTGAAAGTAAAGTAAAAGTAGTTAACATATCAATTAATATATTTCTTAGATATTCAGGTTGCAGCTAAAGAGACGTTTAAATTGACCGAAGCAGGCGTTAAGGAAGCCTTGTACATGAGTGACGTGGACCCGAACGAGGCGTGTCTCCACGCGCTCATGAACGGGGAGGCTATGGTGGTGCTCTTCAAGATGTTCGATACGGACAACAGGGATTTTGTTAGTTAGTACTTTTCTTCTTTGTCTCCACCTTATCCCAGTAGGTTTTTTTAGACGTGACAACGTTTTATAATTCTATGGAGCCGGCTGCACGCACGAAAAAACATGACTCATGCGGCGTTACCTCGCTCTGAGGCATTCATGTTTTCGTCAAGTATGAAGTTCAGTGAAAAGTGAATGTGGTATCAATTGTTTATAGCAACGATAATTGCGATAATTGAAAAATGAAACCATTCCATCAGTATTTTCTTATGACGTTGTCACGTTCAACTACCTTCAGTAAACCGACTTTACAGACAGCCGATTTTTTTTTATTGCTTTTATGGATGGACGAGCTCACAGCCCACCTGGTGTTAAGTGGTTACTGGAGACTGGAGCTCACAGACATCCACAACGTAAATGCGCCACCCACCTTGAGATATAAGTTCTAAGGTCTCAAGTATAGTTATAACGGCTTCCCCACCCTTCCAACCGAAACGCATTACTGTTTCACAGCAGAAATAGGTGGGGTGGTGGTACCCGCCCGCGCGGACTCACAAGAGGTCCTACCACCAGTAATTACGCAAATTATAATTTTGCGGGTTTGATTTTTATTACACGATGTTATTCCTTCACCGTGGAAGTCAATTGTGAACATTTGTTGAGTACGCATTTCATTAGAAAAGTTGGTACCCGCCTGAGATTCGAACACCGGTGCATCGCTCAACACGAATGCACTGGACGTCTTCTCCGTTCGGCCGCGAAGACTTCAAGGTGGGGTCAGCACAGCGAACTTTTCTATTCCATTCCCTTTTATCAGCCGTCATCTCACACCCTCTCCTCACTCTCTCATATCGTCATTCACACACTCCATCCATATCTTCTTCGGTTGACCTCTTCCCCCTCTACCTTGCACTAAAATGTTAACTGGAAGGGTGTATTGTGAGCACGGTTTAGTATTGACATTCGACTTTATTCCGCACTGCGATCGTATTTTTCCGTTTTGAGGTGGTTAGTAGAATTTGCTTTGTAATGTGTATGGGCTCCGGTAGCCATTTTACAACGAGACGGCTGTAAAATGGCTGCTATACGCACGTTAAAGAAGATTTTAAACAAAACGGATAACAGCACATAAAAACTACAAAAAAGTATCCGAACTATTTGGAGTTTTATGTGGCTAATTATTCCTATTTTTTACTAAATGGTGGTAAGGTAGAGTTGGAAGGCCTTTTGCATAAGTATGTACTAGGAAGTTCTAGGTTTACTGCCCGAGGCGATTTTTTTTTTCTTATAGCCAAATAATTAATTTAAGTCAAGCAAATCAGTTTTACTCTAGTGAATTACTGAACTTATCGAAACAGAACTTTTGCGTTACGCTCTATACGAAGAGATTCCTGAGCCGAAGGAGGACGTACCTCCGGAGAAACAAATTCCACCAATACCAGCCTTCGAAAGATACGCGACCATCAGTAAAACAGCGCGAGAAGTGCGTCGGGACAGATACGAAGCTAAGATGCAGAAATTGGTAAATAGCTACTGAACTAAATTACTAAATAGCGGTAGGCAGTGGCTTGGCTAGCAGTAGGCAGCGGCTTGGCTAGCGGTAGGCAGCGGCTTGGCTCTGCCCTTGGCATTGCTGTAGTCCATGGGCGACGGTAACCAGTCACCATCAGGTGGGCCGTATGCTCGTCTGCCTAAAAAGGCAATAAAAAAAACTCTATTCTATAACTGTGAATCGGTTTTTCATAGCATAACGGTGATACGCGTCTGTGTCTTTCCAGCAAATCTTTGGTAGTTGTAGGAGTATTCCCACTCCGACGCCTGTAGTTTCTGTCATTGCAACTAACCTTGGTCATATATACATTTAAGCGTGAAGAAAAAGCAGACAGGGATAGATTGGCAGCAGAACAGGCTCGCTTAGCAAAAGAGGCAGAAGAGGAGAGACAGAGGATCGAGAAGCAACGACAGGACGAAGAGAGAATGGCAAGAATACAAGCTGGGGTAATATAAGATCATATTTGTCGCATTATTCATTTCAACATTTTTTTCGAAAGGAGGCTACTTAACGCGAAGTGAGGCATAAGAGACAACACCATCAAACACCAATCAATGCTTAAACTAAATAAAAACAGCTTTTGAAAGTATAAGGTATAGTTTCCAACGGCTCCCCGCCCTTCAAACCGAAGCGCATTTACTGCTTCACGGCAGAAATAGGCTGGGTGGTGGTACCTACCCGTGCGGACTCACAAGAGGTCCTGCCACCAGTAAAAATTCAACTCCCATATACCATATCCGCGCGGCGGGTAAAAAATAAAAAATAAAAAAATCAATAACTGAATTTATATTGTTGCTGTAAACAAGTTTCGACCAGTTTTTTTTTTCCGTACTGTTGGGGTTTTTATGAATTGATAAGAAATTGAGGTTTGCACCCAATCTAAGCCGATAGCGATGTGGTGATCGTCCGCGGTCACTGGTCGCAAGCGATACTTCTTAATTAGTGAACTATTTTATCTTAAAGTTTTATTATCAACAGTCAATTACATCATCAAAAAATCTGCTGTTCAAAATGTGGATTACATTTGCTCAGCCCCTAAAGGAACTCTTTGCAAATTGAAATAAGTGCGTTTATTGAAGGCCTTATAGCTTCTAAAATCATAAAAACTTAAAGTTTGTAGGTTCCTTACAATCATTATGAAATAATCATAAATTTAGAAGCCATAAGTAGGTATATCAGCTATTACTGAAAATGGGTCATGGATGATCCGAAACAACCCGTGTCACATTTACACAATATTTAGATTATATTTATATATTAGCTTTTCTCTGTTGTTTTATGTTGATAAAAAAATTAACAGTTTTAATTATAATATGTGATCCTCTTTCACAGTTGCCAGCTGATCCTGAGCCGGAAGAAGGCGAGGAAACAGAAGGAGAAGAGAAAGCAGAAACTGTAACTACTGAAGAAGTTCAGGTAAGTTATATGTCTTTGGTTATATTAGATTGTTATAAAGAAATCCTACCAATCTCCTGCCTATTTATTTTGCGAAGTACATAGTTGTGGTATTGTTTGGTAATTCACTTGGTAAGGTGGGCTTTAATAATCGCTTAATATCAAACTAAACCAAGACTGCAGATGATGATGGAAGCCGAGGTTAATGTTACGCCGTAACATCAGCAAAAATGTTTTCCGAAAGTTTTAAAATGCAATGATGATGAATGAATTTAAGTGGATTTTTAGTGGATTTCAATACCCCTCCAACATTCATTAACAATTGAAATACAAAAAGTAACTGCATTTTAGATATGATCCTACATGTGTGAAATGCACACATAATGATAACCAAATAAAATTTACATCAACCAATCCTGCTACAGTTACGTTGGATGGTGAATACATTGACAAGATTTGCGTTAATATAAATAAAACCATGTAAATATAAAGCAATTTATGAACTTCTTTTAAAAGTTTTCTCTGATAAAAATTTAATTTGTTGAAACCTTTTTTTTTAAATACATTGGACTTAGTTAATACGACTTTATGTTGCTAGAATTTTAATGCCGACAGTTTTACAGCCCGAAGAGAAAGTCGAAGAAGAGGAAGAATTCCATTCTGATGTATCCTTTGAAGGAGAGGAGTACATACCTCCGGGAGGCATGCTGGTGCCAGGGCTGTATGCGCCACCTAACGAGATGGCGAAAGCAAATGGAATAGCGTACTTCTACCCCAAGGTCCAACAGCTTTTACTTGACCACAATACCTCACTGTAGCTTCTGCCCCCAACTTCTAGGACTGTACACCTGCTGTCCCAACCGCCAAATAAGAAAACATGACTGCTTTTTTTTCCTACCTAAGCCGATGGCCTTGAGAGGCCATTTCAGCGTAACCCTATAGTAGGTGAGCTCACGGGGCTCAAACCTGACGACGTTGCTAACACTAACCCTAGCAAAAGCAGTGCTTCGCAGAAACCACCGGATCGGAAACGCGACTCACTGCGAAGATTGTCACTGAGACTCACTGAGATTAAGACGTCTGTAGTGATGACGTAGTCTGTAGAAATGAAACAGAACAGTGCTTCCTCCTACCTGACTCGCGACCATCACCAGTAAACGAGTGATGTACGTAGGTAGCTTGCGGTATACTCACGGATCCAAATCTGCTAGCAATGTTTTGGTAATTGTGGCGTGATCGACGGTTTTACTATTGCTGACGAAGGCAGAAGACCATACAGCCAATTTCATGACGTGGCAATCATTATTCATGAACATCAGCAAGCTTAGGATGAGTTTTCAAATTGTTGGGACCAGCATGACGGTACCGACGACACTCTTGGCATTACTGACGTCATCATCTGGGCCCTATGCTCGTCGATCCTTGAGCGCAATAAAATGAAATAGAGCTCGCCACTCGTGGAATTATAATCCAAAACATAATTGGCATAGAGGACATAATAATTATAATATAATCTTTGTAACATACCGATTTATTAAATTAGGTCGTTCAAGAAGTGACGGAAATTGAATCCGAACATCTTCCCCCGCACGTACTGGTCATGTTCAGCGTGGACAAGAGACAAGACGTGCAGGACGTCATGAATCAGTACGCGGACGAGATACTCGCTGTTAGTAATTTTTTGGACACGTTCGTGCCTTCGCCCGCTGTAGCTTGTAACTTAACACTTTCGCTGCGGGCTTTTTGTCAAAGCTCTTTAACCGTCGTGTATAAGGCTAAAAGCAATCTTGACGGATCTTTGACGGAAATGAGTGCCAAAACGGTGCTTCGTTCATAAAAACATACCTCTCTCCTTCATCGTTCCCTTACTGCTGAGGATCACACGTGACTTTACTCCACGGTGTTCGGTCATGGGTGGCATGGACCCCATGGTATAGACCACTACCAACCTCTTTCCTAAGTAAATCTGCCCAATTGGCTGATGTTCTGCCCACGAACGCTTGCCTTCTATGCGACCCGAAATTATGAGCTTCTCTAATTCGTGTTTGGGAGACAGACCACTTACCAATAATTATTAGTCGGCTCTTAAAATATTTCTCTAAAAAGGAACCAAACTTAACTGAACCTGAAAGAAGTGACCTAAAGAAACCAGATAAAACAAAAGTACCATTTTTTTTTACTATAAATAAGGCATTAAATAAAATAATGTATTATTATTGTTTAATTGTTTATTATGAAAAATCTTCTGTCTTCTTCTTCTGTATATATAAAAAAGAACTGCTGTTCGTTAATCTGGCTAAAACTCGAGAATGGCTGGACCGATTTAGCTAATTTTGGTCTTGAATTATTTGTGGAAGTCCAGAGAAGGTTTAAAAGGTAGACAAATATGAAAAAGCTCCGAATTAAATAAAAATAACAATTTTGTTTTCCCTTTGATGTGTCCCCCGTTGGACGGATTCCTTTTGTTTGATTTAAGTTTATTTTATACAAAAGTTTAGGTCTTTCATTTATCGATTGAGGCACTACGAAGTCTGTCGGGTCAGCTAGTCTTGAATATGATTTTGCAGACGGGCGTCTTCGTCGGCGATGATCCATTCACGGCAGAGCACATCGCATATACAATCAAACAATACGACAAAATGGAGCGACTCAGGAGACAGTACGAATGATCAAATATTTATATACATTTTAAGTCACTGGTGGTAGGACGTCTTGTGAGTCCGCACGGGTAGGTACCACCGCCTTGCCCATTTCAGCCGTGAAGCAGTAATGCGTTTCAGTTAGAAGGGCCGAGCAGCCGTTGCAACTATACTGAGACCTTAGAACTCATATCTCATATAAAATATTAGATCATTCTGCGTAGAATATTTTGTGAATTACAGAATAATAGTAATAAGCCCATCGATGTACCTGCAGTCAATGATCTGGAGCACTGCCTTTTATACATATATATTATGTATAATGCATCGTATGTATGCATTATTGAAATGAATTATTTATCAAGAGTGACGTTTATTCCCTCAGTAATGATACAAGAAAAAATACTTTGCGAACCTCTGAATGCTATTTTCCGAGCCTTTTGCGATAATAGCATTACGATCTGAATAGTTTCAAAGAAATATTGCGCAGTTTCTAATTTTGTTGCACCTACATAAATAATTTCTTAAAACCATGTTAGAGCTGATTTTAAAAGAGATTAGACAAAGAGGACTGTGTAATACCTTTTTTCCTACCTAAGCTGATAGCCTTGAGAGGCTATTTCAGCGTAACCATAACTAGTAGGTGAGCTCACGGAGTCAAACCTAACTACGTTGCTAACACGAACCCTAGCAAGAGACGTGCTTCGCAGAATTTACCACCGGATCGAAAACGCGACCCACTGAGAAGATCCGGCGAGAAACTCAGTGGGCTGTGTCTGAGGGTTAATTTACTCGTCGAGCCCTTCGTCGCAAGCCACGGATTCGACAATAATGATGACCGGTGCTTGAGGTACCTAAAAGCACCGTTAGTGGATCGGGAGGATCCGAAATGAAGTGTTTTGGGCGACGTCGACTGCTTTCCATTCTGTCCGCAGGATCGGGAATGTGTAATACCAGTAACACCACCTTCCACAGTAAAGATAGACTGGCACTGATGGTCTCGCGCAAACGCAGTCTCCCGCTGCTCCAGCTTGCGGGTTTGAATCCGTGCTACATCAGCGCTGACGCCGAGTCTGGTGAAAGGGACTGTCTCGCTCTCTTCCCGGTTGGATACGGAGATGACTACGTGGAAGTCCAGAGTATCAAAGAAGAGTCGGTTGCGGTGAGTGAGGGGTTTTTACTTAACGTTTTTTTTTATTGCTTAAGTGGTTACTGGAGCCCATAGACATCCACAACGTAAATGCGCCACCCACCTTGAGATATAAGTTCTAAGGTCTCAAGTATAGCTGCAACGGCTGCCCCACCCTTCAAACCGAAACGCATTACTGCTTCACGACAGAAATAGGCAGGGTGGTGGTACCCACCCACGCGGACTCACAAGAGGTCCTACCACGTATGTGAGGGCTCCGTCATTGAGATCTAAAATTTGTCATGATAAACAATGACTAAAATAAGATCAATAAATATGAATAAGTCCAAATAAAACTATTGAATGTTTCTTTCTCTTTGTGCATTTCTCAATTATTATTTTTTTCATAAAATTGAGAAATGCACAAATTTTATGAGAAATATTTTTGTAACGTTTAACAATTTTGACTATGTACCAGTTATTCAGACTAGCCTCAAATAAAACCTCTGTTTCGTTTGAAGTGAAGAATCAGACTTACAATTGTATTCTTGTAGGAGGCTGAACTGGAACTACAACCAACCGAAGCGGAGGTAAGCAATTGAAAAAAATACATAGTCTAAATGAGAATGTTGTTCTTATATAGTAATACTAGCGACCCGCCCTCGCTTCGCTTCGGAAACTGTAATTTATTATTGATTTCTCCACTATTTAATGGATATTATTATACATATAAACCTTCCTCTTCAATTACTCTATCTATTTAAAAAATCACAACAAAATCCGTTGCGTAGTTTTAAAGATTTAAGCATACATAGGGACAGATATAGGGACAGAGAAAGCGACTTTGTTTTATACTATGTAGTGATTGATGATTTAAAGTACTAAACTATGCTATATATATATATATATATATATATGTGTCAGCACAAGCGTCAGGGATGGCTGAGCAGTAGGTTCCGTCATCACTCGTATTTGGTTGAACACAGTTTATAAAAAGTCAATAAAACCTTTTGAATAACAATTATTGAAACTCAACTCACACAACTTTCACAATGACAGGATAAACCGACAGTTTCGTTGCACATAACGACAGACCGACTGACTGACTGACTGAGACGGACGGAATGACTGTCTGACACGGAATGCCACGACTCTGTCCACGTACCGCCATTTTATACTGTGGCGTTACGTAGTCTACCCTTCATTTTGTGATATTTATCAAAACAACATCTCATCATTTAAAATAATAATCAAAACCACCGTCTTAATATTACTAAAAGTCGTTATCCACGACAACTAAAAGTCGTTATCCACGACATATATATATATATATATATATATATATATATACTAATACGTAAATTACAGTGGTTTTTACGGATGTTCCGGTATAATAATTATATGAAAAAATATTATATGAATGTTGGACTCCCTACACTAGTTGCGGGGGCGTTAATGATGAGAATCTTTGTGGGGGTGAGAAATAATAATGTTAATTGAAATGCCCAGCGAAGCGGACGGGTACAGCTAGTATTTTTATGTAGTTATTTATTATTATTGATTGACTCTGATTTCTCCAGGTCGAAGTCGTAGAACAGCAAAAAGAAGCAGATGAAGACGCTGATGATGAAGACGATTGAATAACGCTATCTTAAGTTCGCTTTAATAACCTAAAAGAACAATAAAGCATGATTCGAAATGTACTTAAGTACTTACTTTGACCATAATTACTGACACGTTCAAATATACTAACATATTATAGCTGTTATATATAATAGTTTACATAAAACGTATTGAAAAGCAACGCGTTTTAAATTTGGCATTTGTATTATAGATTTCGTACCAATTTATTTCGTCCCTCGGTGGACTTTTTTTTTTATTGCTTAGATGGATGGACGAGCTCACAGCCCACCTGATGTTAAGTGGTTACTGGAGCCCATAGACATCTACATGCGCCACTCACCTTGAGATATGAGTTCTGAGGTCTCAGTATAGTTACAACGGCTACCCCACCCTTCAAACCGAAACGCATTACTGTTTCACGGCGGAAATAGGCGGAGTGGTGGTACCTACCTACCCGTGCGGATTCCGCAACGCAACGCAAATTATAATTTTGCGGGTTTGATTTTTATTACACGATGTCATTCCTTTACCGTGGAAGTCAATCGTGAACATTTGTTGAGTACGTATTTCATTAGAAAAAATAAATCTCATTAAATTGCTTAGTCAATCAATCATTTCGTACCATTACGTGCTATCTTCAGAGAGATTCGAAGAATTCGTCAGATCCTTTATAACTACTCCTATGAAAGGTTTTAAGGTTTGAAAGGAAGAAATATATAGAAATATTTTTCGGAAAATCGGTAATACGATTATTAGCCTATGTTATTAGTGACTGGCGTTTTAATTAGCATTAGCTGTTACGGTTCAAATAAGCCTGCGTCGTAAAATGTTTGATTGTTTTCAAATATTAATTAAGGGCGTCGTATTAGTAACATTACTTAAGTATTTTTTTATGGAATCACTGTGGAATGTGTTTGGAATTAGATAAGTTTACAGGATACCTTTTAAAATAACGATAAGTTTCAGATAAAATGTTCATTTTGATAACTGTTACCATTGTGTTGTTATCCTTTGAACGTACGGAATGCTGTGGTAGTGGTGGAACTACTACAACACGTCCCCCCAGACCGGGTGCGACTACTAAACATAGACCTGGAAAGCCTGGTCCGGGTGGAACTGGCAGACCTAATGGTTCTGTAGGAGCAGATGGAAAACCTGGACTGGGTGGGATTGCAGGTCCAGGTGGAACTGGTAGACCGAGTGGTTCTGTAGGAGCAGGTGGAAAACCTGGACTGGGTGGGATTGCAGGTCCGGGTGGAACTGGCAGACCTACTGGTTCTGCTGGAGCAAATGGAAAACCTGGACTGGATGGGATTGCAGGTCCGGGTGGAATTGGTGGGCCGAGTGGTTCTGTAGGAGCAGGTGGAAAACCTGGACTGGGTGGGATTGCAGGTCCGGGTGGAACTGGCAGACCTAGTGGTTCTGTAGGAGCAGATGGAAAACCTGGACTGGGTGGGATTGCAGGTCCGGGTGGAACTGGCAGACCTACTGGTTCTGCTGGAGCAAATGGAAAACCTGGACTGGGTGGGATTGGAGGTCCGAGTGGAACTGGTAGACCGAGTGGTTCTGTAGGTGCTGGTGGAAAACCTGGACTGGGTGGAGTTGCAGGTCCGGGTGGAACTGGTAGACCTACTGGTTCTGTAGGAGCAGATGGAAAACCTGTGCCGGGTGGGATTGCAGGTCCGGGTGGAACTGGTAGACCGAGTGGTTCTGTAGGAGCAGGTGGAAAACCTGGACAAGGTGAAGTTACAGGTCCGGGTGGAACTGGTAGACCGAGTGGCTCTGTAGGGGCAGGTGAAAAACCTGGAGTTAGTGGACCAGATGAGCCTGGTGGTTTGGGTGGATCTGATGGAAATACTGGTTCGGGCTTACCTGGTGGATCAAGTGGTTCTGGTGGGATAGGTGGAATTACTGGACCAGGGGTATCTGGCGGAGTAAGTGGTTCTGGAGGGACGGGTGAATCCAAAGGCTCTGGAGGAACGAGTGGAATAACGGGACCGGGTNGTGAAAAACCTGGAGTTAGTGGACCAGATGAGCCTGGTGGTTTGGGTGGATCTGATGGAAATACTGGTTCGGGCTTACCTGGTGGATCAAGTGGTTCTGGTGGGATAGGTGGAATTACTGGACCAGGGGTATCTGGCGGAGTAAGTGGTTCTGGAGGGACGGGTGAATCCAAAGGCTCTGGAGGAACGAGTGGAATAACGGGACCGGGTGAAGCCAGCGGATCAGGTGGATCTCCAGGAACAAATGCACCTAGTGAAACGGCTGGTGGAATTTCTGGATCAAGTAGCGCTGGAAGTTCGGATGAAGCCAATATACCAGGTGGCTTTGGTCCGGGTGAAACTGGTGATCCCGGTAGTTCTGCAGGAGCGGATGAAACAACAGAACCGGGAGGAGCTAGTGGTTCGGGAGGCACTGGCGCTTGGGGTGGAATCAGCAGACCGAGTGGAGCTTCAGGTCCGTGGGGAACTGGCGGATTTGAAGGAGCGGCTGGATCCAGTAGGCCGTCTGGAATCGGGGGACCGGGTGGAGTAATTTTTTTTGTAATAAATTTCCAACTATACAAAGTAGCATAAATATTCTTATTTCTTATATTTTTTTATTATTCTATTTCGTTGGCACTTTTCTATTTCTTCAATATTAGGTATCAAGAGGTGAAAGGCTATTTAGTTTAAAAGCAAAATTTCGCTCAATACGCGACATTTACCTTTGTAATTAAAGGTGCGTTTTATTTGGTATTAGCATCAACAGTTCGATGTTTTTAATTGCATTCCAATTAAGCTTACTCCATTGAAATAGCTGAATAAGTTTTTTTTCTTTTTATATGTTTTATCCACATTTTAAACCGTAAATGGCTCTCCTGTAAAGTTATAAAAATTTCGCCTCCCCTCGTTATAATAATTTCAATAAGGAATCTAGCGGAGCTGCACAAGCTCGTTATAAGTTCATCAAATATTATCTATATATTAATACGTGAAGCAAAAACTTTGTATCCCTTTTTACGAAAATTGCGCGGACGGAGGAGTATGAAATTTTCCACACACATAAAGAACACATTCACATAAAGAAAACATTACACACACTACATACCGTGTATTTGACGCACACACGCATGCATACTATTTATTGTCAAACTTTTGTTCTTGACGTCTGTGGTCAAATTGAGAATAGATTAAATATTGTTTGTCTTTATTAATATATTTTATAGTGTAGTCTTGGCGAAATTTGTGATTATAGAAGCATAAAATACAATCATAATAGTGTACAAACTTACAATTCCAATTAATTATAGTCGAATTTCGACTACTGCGGGACCTCTAGTATGATAAAATTCATTTAAGTTTTTTTTTTTTTTGTGTCTCGAACTGGGCACAGGATATCTGACTGTCGCTTCATCTCAAATAGAACTTCGATCACCTATAGTCACGGTATATTCGTGTCGACTATGTCTACAATTTCCCGAAACATTCCCGATAGTAGGTAGTAGTTGTTTCAATATCCGTTTTTTACTATAAGACGACAGATTACGCTACTAGTATTGGCATCCCATTCGAATTGTCGATAACATTTTCACGGATAGTTTGGAACTTATTGATCTACGCAAGGACTTCGCTTCTCTCTCTCTTTTGTTCCATGTGTTCCATAAGTACTTCTCTGTCGAATTGTTTGGGATGATCCCATCAAGTCGTATTTATTATCGCACGCAATCAGAGCAGAGTTCATCCATACTACCTAGAACCACTGCGTTTACCAACAGTGTGTTTTCATAGTTTTATACCAAGTACCATTCGGCTTTGGAAGAAACTCATCTCCTCGGTATTTCCCAAGGGTTGTTTACGAATAGTTCTCAGCGGTAGGCAGCGACTTAGCTGTGCCCCTGGCATTGCAGAGGTCCTTGACGATAACCACTCATCATCAACTTACAAAGAAAAAAAGCTTATTTCGTCAGATTAAAAGCACTTTTAACAGGAATGAAACTTTAATATATATTTTTCCTATTAAGTATAGTTTAACTTGACTTTTTCGATTTCATCGAATCGTAATTTAGAACCTTAACCTACTTTCGTCCAATTCGTACGACATACCGTAAAATTAGCATCGATTCTTATTCTCTTAAGATACTTCTTACATACCCATTACTATATATGTAAATATATATGTGGGATTCTGATTGTTCTTATTTTCTTTTTATGTCACTTTTATAATATTGATAGATGTCACTGTGAAGTAAAATTAGATGAGAAAGGAGTTGTCAAAAGAAGTAGTAAAGGATCGTACGACGTTAAGATTGTTTTAATTATTTTGTGCGAATTTCTACGGTAATCTGCACCCTACCATTCATAAATCCCACATATATACCTACTAATAACACTCGTATTGCTTGGTATTACCTATATTTTCAAAATAGGTCCTGTGTGCTTAGTGCGAGTTTTTTAACGTTCTCGATAGCGTAAAAGTTAGCTCGTATTTGTATGGAATGGGATCGTTTGCGTACGTTTGCCGCTAGGGGCGCTGTTCCAACTGCATACAAAATTGGGTTAACTTTTACGCTATCGAGAACGTTAAGAAACTCGCACTAAGCACACTGAACTCCTTGGTGTGTATATATTAGTAATTTCAATCAGGTTTACGATTATTTATTATTTAATATTAATGGTTTTACAACAACCAGTATACAATGTTCTTAACTATTAAGTGTATTATCTATATACAATATAGTTATCATAAAGAGGGAAATGAAGTAAAAAAGTTAAGAGCACCATCTCAGAGTATTAAAAATTGATTGCCGAAATGGAGCAAATTAAGGTGGCGCTGTAGTAGCAAATGGAAAGATTTAAAAAACAGCGTCATAAATTACCACACTTCACTTCAATCAAGCACACTACACTGTGCTTAAAACTTTGAGGGAGTTTATATAGAGTCCCTTCTTTATTTCGCCGTAAAGTCGTGTTTTATGTAATTAACACCACAGTTGGAACATTATAAATTTTATTGTTGTAGCGGTATAAACAATTCTAAGTAATTACATTATATTAGTTATTTAACACATTAAAAAATATTTTTACGTTTTAAATATTCGGCGGTAAAAAAAGGTCCCGTGTCACAGACTATATTCTTTTTCCCACCTCTCGGGTGTTCCGGCTTACGCATCATAAAAAGGTGCGTTCTTGAACGCCACAACTTCTTTATCCGCATATCATTTCCACTTCCTATACTAGCGCTATTTCGGTGAGTCTTCCAACAATAACTTGCAACTGCTTACTTACCAAACAGCACTTTCCTTACCTCTACCCTGTATAGGTGCTCTTTATTATTTTTTCAGCTGTCAAACACAGCTGTTAAATTCAAATAGCGTCGCTTTATTACAGATAAGCTAAGAATAACTTCTACAATAAAAACTTCATGCAGTAAATAAAATGTTATTGACTACTATCGGACTTTAGAATCTCTTCAGTAATTCCAGAAGCTATGCTCTGTGTAAAATAGACTTATTTACAATGTTAATAACAACTAGATGTAGATTTTGATGCTTACAGGGAACTTGCCGAAAAAGTATATTAAAGATCCACTCAATAGGAATGTTGTGTATGGTTGGGGCGGTTGGACTCCGTCGCCTGTCGTTCAAAAGCAGTGGGCTGAGTGGCTAGACAACTACAAGAAGACACTGAACTCAACGAAAGGGAAAGAAGACGTGTACGACCCAGAGGCCGGCGGGTCCAGTCTTTGGAAAGGTTTAATAATTGTTAAACATTTTAAAGACAACAGACAAAGGTCTCTTTCGTAAGTTACCGTCGTGCACAACATCAGCACAACTAGGATATTAACGCTATATACTACTTTCAAACGCTTCTTCAAAAATGTTTTTCAATACTTTCAAACCGAACCAAATTTAGTGCAAGCTTTTTAAAACTCACTAGGGCAGTGAAGGGAAACATATTTAGAAGACACGTTGTATCGTTAGGTAATCCTGTCGTGGCGAATTAGATTGTTGCACTATTAGGTTTAAAGTGATCGTGTTTTCTCTTTTCTACCATTGCACCAACCAGCACTAGAGCAAAATCAAAATGCTTAATTTCAAGTATTTGCTGGCACTTTCAAATGATCGTAACCTTTCCACCGATTTGCAATACAATTTCAACACCGAGAAGAGTCGATTAGAAACTGGGTGTTTGTCTTCAAAATACATTGAATACAAACACTATACCAATTTTGAAGGAAAAAAAGAGTTGGCATTTCGCCCGCCTCTTGACCCAGACGATCAGAGCATCGAGTTATTTTGTCGTTGATTTGAGGGAAATACATATTTTCGATTGAACATCTTTGTATTAGAACACGTAAAAAGTAAAATAGCTAAATTTAAAAAAAAGGGCGTCATCTTCGTCGTCCTCTAAAACAAACCCAAATTTATAGATGCTTTATGTTTTTGTTTAGATTTGGGTCCTGGTAGTTCTGATTTAGCTCCACCATGGTCCTACGCCCCCCGTAATATCGGCCTACCCGACTACTGCTATCAAATACCAGAACGAGGGTATTGTGAAAAAAACATAATCAGGTAATAACATATCATGCGTAATAATTTGTAAGCTTAACGTTGCTTCTTTATCGTATTAGGTTCGAATCTAGGTTGACCCCTCGAGGTTACAAGAAGAGGTTGGAAAAAAAAATTAAGGTCGATGACACATTTACTGGTGATATATCAGAGTGAAGACTCAAGAAAAAACGGTAAACATTCCATAATTAGAGCTATTTTTTATTATTTTATCGCATTATTTAGTTTCTAACAGACTAAAATTTAAAAAACATGAATCTTATTCAAAATTTTGTCAATTAGCGTTATTACAATCTACTGAACGTTGCAGCCAGTTATTCGATCGAAACTTTCTCCGTGAAAAAATTCATTACTGTACTTAAATAAAAAATGATTTTGGTACTCTTAACTAAATAATCATAACATCTAGTCTAGAGCTTACTCTCAAACAAGAGTTTTGAAGTTTGATCTATGGGTGTGATGAAGATAGCACAGTGAAAATACATACGAGAAAAACCAATTCTAAATTCAAATGTGATATTTTGTTTTTTATCAACGCCAAACTGTGTACTGACAACACTATTATTAGCTTTAAGCAATTGAAGAACTGTTTAATTCTAGTAAGTTCCAACCTTATTAACCTTCTTCATTTAAACAGGTGGGCGTTTAACCCGTTTCGTAACGAATGCGTGAAGTTCATATACAGCGGCTGCGGCGAAAACCAAAATAACTTTTCAGAGAAACTTCGCTGCGAACAGAGTTGCATGAATCCCCCAATATTTGGTTGTGAAATGGATCCCGAAATCTACGATACCGGATTCCAATCTAGAAAATGTAATTAAAACGTGAATGTTAAACCAATTTCCGTTGTAAGCATTTTAAATAAAAACATTTGTCTTCATTGTTGTTTTTACAAATATTTAAAACACAATTTTTCTCTTAATCCAACCGCGCCCCCAATTAGTGTTATATGAAATATAGACAGGAGCATTTTATGAGTATCCTACTATGCCATCGCCCATGGGTATTTATTGATAATAGAGCGTATTGTATGCCTGCACAGGTTAGTATCACCATCCTGCCTATTTCTTTTACAATGTATTTAAAAATGTTAAGAGATTTTAAAGAGATATAAAAGATTATTTNCTCTTAATCCAACCGCGCCCCCAATTAGTGTTATATGAAATATAGACAGGAGCATTTTATGAGTATCCTACTATGCCATCGCCCATGGGTATTTATTGATAATAGAGCGTATTGTATGCCTGCACAGGTTAGTATCACCATCCTGCCTATTTCTTTTACAATGTATTTAAAAATGTTAAGAGATTTTAAAGAGATATAAAAGATTATTTGAGGGATTATAGATACAAATACAACATTTTTTAAACTTAACAAGCGTTTCATTAATCTGATAGGTATCTCAGATAGGTTCGTCATTTAAAAGAGGCCGTTGAAAGGAACGCATACGCTTAAAATGAACAATAGCTGCAATAATCACATTTATGACCCGTTGCCAGCTTGATGCTGAACACAAAGCTGCCTTATCTCACTTCATTTAATTCCATTTCTTTACATACTACAATACATTTATTTTATTTATGCAAAGTACCTACTTTTCTTATACGGAACGTAATATTACTAAACAACACATATGGCTTCTGGCTGTGTGACTAAAATTAGGCTTTATGGGGTACATTCCCTTTGACTCTGTGATAGACGAATCAATAACGAGTTCAAGACAGTTCAAGTGACAGTACGCGGACACTGGACAGTGACCGATGTTTGCCAAAATTCCAAGAAATAAAACTAAATTTTATCTTGGATACCAGGGTTGTTACGGATGCAAAAATTTAGATATCCGCGGATGCAGATGCGGATGCGGATTATTAGAAGTTCACATCCGCGGATGCTGATTGGATGCGGATGCAGATGCATTGCGGATGCGGATGCGGATTTTGGGATTATAAAAGGATAATTATTAAAAAAAAAAAAACTTTTAAAATCCCAAAATCCATGAATAAATAACTGAAAATCAATTTAATTTTAGCTTTTTATTTATTAAATCATATTTTTAGAACAAAATTATACAAGTTTTTGGTTTTACTTATGACACAACAGTATTTTAAGCTTCGAGTTTCATAATAAAAAATCTTTGTTTAATAATTAAACTTAAAGATTTGTGAATTACATTTAATAAATAGCAATATTGCAGCCTTCTCAGCTTCCAACCTGTTTCTTAGTGGATTATATATTAACCCAGCTCCACTAAATAGTTGTTCGCTGGGAACACTGGCTGGTGGAGGTGGTAAATATCACCATGCTAATTTGGAGAGATTTTTTTTCCTGCCTGCTTCATCATTTTCTTTCTTCAATTCCTTTTCCTTATTCGCACTTTGGAATAAACAAAGCTCATCCGGGTGTATTTATTTCAGGTGATTTTTCAAAGAAGTAGTAGTGCGTCCCTTCCACGAGTAACTTTTATTGCATGTCTTACACTCCGACTTCTCCGGATCATTTTTGTCTATTGCATAATAAGTCCAGATACTTCTTTTTATTGGTGGCGACATTTCACTTAATATGTATATCAAGTATTCATTAAACACGCAAAAAACTATGAAGTAAATCAAATCAAATCAAAACGCTGACTGTAACTATAATTTATTGACAATGAGAAAATACACAACAAACAAAACCTGTAGGATCTTGTTACCAATGTGCGCCTTCCTATTCGTCAGCTACCGAATAAAGTTCGCAATTACCAAACAAACGTGAAGCACGTGCCACTCTGGCTCCGTCCATTTTCTTTACATGTAGTAACTTATTGAAGTGAATCTGCATCCGTAAAACTCCGCATTGATTGATGCGGATGTGAATGCGGATGCAGATGGCTGAATTAATGCGAATAGTCCGCATTTGCGGATGCGGATGCGAATATTCGTAACAACCCTATTGGATACCATTAAGTTTTCTTTTCCAACGTCAGTCGGTAATACTGAGTAACACAATTCGCAAGTGTCGTTAAAATTTTCAATCGTGAATAATGTTCTAAAACAAGAGTTAATAAGTACGTTCATAGGAAGAAGATAAAAATAATAAATTCAGCAGTTGATCACTCATTCTTAGAACTTATAGGACAATAATAATGATTTACTAAGGACCACATAGGATTTCTGCGGACTTCGTGTATTCGAAAAACTAAGTGTCTAACAGGATGGATTGCCATTCCGTTAAGGTATTAATGTGGAAACACCTCACGGTGCGTATGAGGAGGTACTTTCACACCCTTGTAGAGCTTCTGTCGCCAATAGCATTGATTTTGCTATTCAGTGCTCTAAATATTGTTAAGACACCTCCCGATCATGTTGTGTCATCAGCTCAATACAACGTAAGTATTCTATACTACGCAAACTTTTAAAATAAGAAAAGCATTTAGATTTAGTTATAGCCTGACGAGATTAGCAGTTATTTTGTCAGAGTTGGGAGAAAACTAGTCAGCAATAATGCTGAAGAACGATGTTAAGATATATATATACTACAATATTAAAACATACGTTAAGTCAATTAGCAAGTGTGCTTTACTGTATGTTTGTAAATTAGACTCAAAACAAGAATGAACCAACTCAATGATTTAATTAATGCAGCTGTACTTTTCAATTTATTTATATTGTACTTCAGCCTAGTACAATTTTTTTATGTACTACGCCATCAGAGTAGAGTTCATCCATACTCTCTGGACTGCTGCATTTATCCACACTGCATTTGCAGTGGTTTTTTCTGCCACTTACCAACTGACTCTGGAATGAACAGTGTTTCCTGAGCTCTATGATATTTCCTTCTGCAAATGAGGATTATGGAGAATCCTCAGCAGTGGGCAGCGGCTTGTCTGTGCCTAGAAATTACTAACATTTATTAAGTAGTGGTAATTACTTACCATCAGATAGACTGTATGCTCGGCTGCCTGCAACGGCAAAAAAAACAAATAAAATTGTAGCACTTAAATTTTATTTCATGCAAAAAGGTGCAAACTTTTATTTTACAGTCAGAATATCATTCTAAGAACTTTGAACGACCAAACTGCATTCATTATTATCCAGAAACGAACCTTACAAAAACACTCATGGACCAAGTTGCCAAGAAATTCCACATAGAGAAAATAATTTGCTCAGGTAAGTTACTTATTATTCATTAAATTAGACAAACCAAATTAAATAAAAGCTTATGAATAGCTTAGTAAAGATTATTTTTTATTTCAGTAGATGGGTAGGCAACCCACACATTCACGGCCCACCTTATATTAATAGGTTACTGAAGCTCATGAGCTCACAATGTGAATGCCGCTGAGTCTACTTGAAGTAGGAAAATATGCAAACATAACACTAGTGTAAATAGATAATGCTTAAAAAGTCAGAAGAATTCCACTAAGACAGAGCTGTACCAAATTTCTGAATAATTTAAAACCGTCACTGCTAATTAAATATATATTCATTAATTCATTGGACCTTAAACCTCAACATTAATTTTCTTTATGGTTCTTTTCTTTGATTGATATCATTAGATTTATGCTGTAAAAAATTTGATTTAATTATATCTATGGCTTTTGAAAACGAAAGTTTCTTTATTCAGGATCTTATAGATTTTTTAAATATTTTTAAGGTGGTTTCAATCGGGGTTACTGTCCGATACAAAATGAGTCTTTCTTCAAACAGATGGCTTATTCCCTTCCATACAAAGATGCAGTCGTCATTTTCAAAGTAAGTACAAAAATATTAATTTTATGTGTTATCTTTATTATGTCATTTTATGGCTATTGATATTTTTACTTATGAGAAAGAATAATCAAATTTTAAAATATATGCAACCCAAAATCAAAGTAATATGGAGTAGTGAAAGTTTATTTGGTTTTGCGACATTTTTGCAACTAGAGTCATTTACAGTTAAACATTTTTGAAAAAATATCATGATAAAAAAACATGGGATGGGGTAAGCATAATTGAAGTTCAATGAAAAACATGGAACTTTTTATGCTAATACCAAATAAAACGGACTTTTAATTACAAAGATAAGTGTTGCTTAAATCAAATAACCTTTAACCCCCAAATTATGTTATGTAAATGATGGTTGAAAAAATTAAAGCAAACCAGTTATGTGTTGGTGGCAGAGCCGTTATACTATACATTGATTTTTAATATACTACTATTGATACATATTTTTTACTGGTGGTAGGACCTCTTGTGAGTCCGCGCGGGTAGATACCACCACCCTGCCTATTTCTGCCATGAAGCAGTAATGCGTTTCGGTTTGAAGGGTAGGACAGCCATTGTAACTATACTGAGATCCTAGAACTTATATCTCAAGGTGGGTGGCGCATTTACGTTGTAGATGTCTAAGGGCTCCAGTAACCACTTAACTGATTTAGTATTATTCATAATTCAGAAAAACGGGTCATTTAATTTACCCGTAGTTGGAATATACCCATAAACTAACCATGATTGGTAGAAACAGAAAAACAAAATTAGTTTATAAAGGTTTTATTTTCCAATTTGTATGACACCTGACCTGAAGTATTGGAGCTTATGTATGGTAAATTGGGAAGCATATATACATATATTATATTGTTTTTTTTGTCAAGGACATGTCATCAGACGAGTGGCCGAAGAATCTCATCTATACAATACGTATGAAAAGGGAATTTGACACGGACCTGATATATCCTAAGGACGGCAGGCTGATCCCGCATTCGGCTTTTAGTAAGTACATTATTTATATTGTTATTATTCATTTTTATTGTTATTACTCATTTTAATTGTTATTACTCATTTTTATTCTTTATTAATCATTTTTATCATCATACTAATTCACGTCGCAAGAATGGTGAGCTTATGATAAGAATGTTTAATTGAAATGGTATCTGAGCCTTGTAGTTACATAACAGGGCAAAGCTACATCACGACCGCTCACGCGATCTCAAGATATTTCTGACGAAAACCAATGACAGCTGGTCCTCCTAATTAAGATTATATTTAAAAACTAGCTGACCCGGCAGACTTCGTAGTGCCTCAATCGATAAATAAAAGACCTAAGCTTTTGTATAAAATAAACTTAAAAGCATTTTCATATTTATCTACCTTTTAAACCTTCTCTGGACTTCCACAAATAATTCAAGAACAAAATTAGCCAGATCGGTCCAGCCGTTCTCGAGTTTTAGCGAGACTAACGAACAGCAATTCATTTTTATATATATATAGATGATTCGAATCATTATCATCGAGCGTAATTGTTACGGAAACTGTTTTGTTAATAAACAGTTCACAAATAAAGTTGAAAATAAGCGTACAGTTGTCATGTTAAAATCATAAATCCTTACGAATTCGGCACCCGTTTTTGCGGAAAAATCACAACTATTTTTCAGACGCTTTTATTATCCGCGCGTGTATGTGTATGATTTATATGATTGATTATTTATTTAGTTACTTTCGTATATAACTATGATTTTCGTCCACTTCAAAATGTTGGACACATTATCAAAGACAAATTGTATTAACAAATTGTGTATAGTCACCAATTATTATTAATTTAATAAAAACAAAATCATTTTTTTACGAATAATTTACCTACTTAATTGATAACTCTATTCATATTTTCTATTACAAAACTTAAATTTGATAAACCAGTCAAACTTAACTAGTTTTTTTTTTTCTTATTGCTTAGTTGGGTGGACGAGCTCACAGCACACCTTGTGTTAAGTGGTTACTGGAGCCCATAGACATCCACAACGCAAATGCGCCACCCACCTTGAGATATAAGTTCTAAGGTCTCAAGTATAGTTACAACGGCAAATTTTAGCGAATCCTACTTTCCTGTCGAAACCGTCGCTTGCGACGAAGGACTCTGCGAGTAGATTAATCCATAGACACAGCCCACTGAGTTTCTGGCCGGATCTTCTCGGTGGATCGCGTTTCAGATCCGGTGGTAGATGCTAAGCTCTACTCTTGCTAGGGCTTGTGTTAGCAACAACATCAGGTTTGAGGCCCGTGAGCTCACCTACTCGTTCTCTGAATCTAGTATAACCGTCGAGGTTACTAGAATTGGTAGGAAAAGAAAAAGAAAAAAAAAACCGTACGTAATCAAATATTTTCCGCTTTTTAGTTCGGCTACTTACATAAGGTGGATTTTAAATTGATTTTTTTTTGATTGAATTGTTTTGTTTGCATATGTTAGTTGAATGTTTTAAAACTAATTTTTATTTGAAATTAATTTCACCAATTTGACATTTCTGTTCACCAGGCTTTGAATACAGACAATTCACCGCTCTACAGTGGACGATCGACACCAGTTACATAGAGGTGCTGACCGGGAAAGACATTAATATAGTAAGTTCTTCTGAATTGCATCTAATTTGCAGTCATCTATCTGTAANGCATATGTTAGTTGAATGTTTTAAAACTAATTTTTATTTGAAATTAATTTCACCAATTTGACATTTCTGTTCACCAGGCTTTGAATACAGACAATTCACCGCTCTACAGTGGACGATCGACACCAGTTACATAGAGGTGCTGACCGGGAAAGACATTAATATAGTAAGTTCTTCTGAATTGCATCTAATTTGCAGTCATCTATCTGTAATTTTACTAAGTATGCCGTTTGGAGCTTAAATGACGCGGCTATATCTCAATCACAGATCTTACCGTCCTCTATATAAATAAAAAACGAATGGTCGTTTGTATGTTTTTGTCTTCTATTCGTTTCCAAACTATTTATCCAGTTGCAAGGTTTCCGAGGCGATCGACGCGATGAAAAGCTGTGCGCGACTTTTTACTAGAAATCGATGCTTTTCATGCTTTTACTTGGCAATGGACTTTTATTGAGACTAGTGGTCGCCCAGCGGTCGAAATTGGACCATAATTATTTATAGAAATTATAAGTTTGTACACTATTATGGTTCTGTTGTCAAATACTTACTTCTATAATCACAGATTTCGCCAAGACTACACTTTAGACAAATAATATTAAAGACAAACAATATTGAATCTATTCTTAATTTGACCACAGGCTTTATGCAATATGAAAAGTTTGACAATAACCAAATTGTACCTATGCGTGTGTGTGTCAAATACACGGTAATGCGTGTAATGTTTTTTTTTAAATTAATTTAAAAAATATTAACATTCTGCACTCCTTCTCTAAATTCTCTATAAGCGTGGGAAATTTCATACTCCTCCGTCCGCGCAATTTTCGGAAAAAGGGATACAAAGTTTTTGCTTCACGTATTAATATATAGATTATATCTTCCGTTACTTTTATTCGTTTTCAAATGAACAAAACAGTATCGAATTTATATTTAGCAGAACTTGTACACGCCAATGTTTTGGATAAAGCAAAATAGTTGTTATTGTATTCACTGAACGATAACGCGTACGTCATACGATATGTAAGAGCGGATGTAATGTTTAGCGTACACACACACAATGTGAGAATGGCTAATGTTCTTGTATGACGTACTTCTGACAATCGGGTATGAATTTTTTTAATGAAGTACGTACTTGATTCTCGTTCACAAATGCTTTCCAAGATGAAGGATAAATAGCGTATAATAAAAACCGAACCCGAAAAAATATAGAAATTTGCCTAATTACTATACAGTTGAGATAGAGATCTCAACGCTGATGGTAAGTGGTGACAGTCACGTTGTGATGACTATGGTACTTAATGACATGTAGGCCGTGAAATCGCTTTACCTGTTTATGCACTGAAAAAATAAAATACTGTTGAAATATAATCAAGTTACAGTGGTTATTTTTGTTTTTATTCTCAAAAGACATCAAATACATGACCAAATTGTAGTATGACATACATATATAGGTCATGGTTGAAATCATTTGAAATTCAAAAAGCCTTGCTGCTTTGTTGGCTTCAAACGGGCGTCGATTAGTCACAGCGGAACAATACGTATTGTGTGTCTACACTAGAACTAGCCGGTTACATTGAAAGCCATAAAACGGACTTTGCTTCACTACGGACGGAGGGCGCTCTGCCCGGTCTCCGTCATTTGAGGACCGTCCACTCCCACATGCCCCACGCCCCCGAGGCGCGTGGACCTCGTGAGAGGGTCGGTCCCCCGACCCGGATACCGTGCATACAGCCTATGCTCTTTTTTAATACGCTTTGATTAGCTTTAGACGTATGTATGTACGTAATAATAGTTTAAAAAAACCTAACAAAATACGCTTTTATAGAAAATCCAACTAAAAAATAGAAAATAAATTTTAATAAATTAGAATTAAGAATAGTGTAAGCTAAAATTATTTTATTGTAAAAAAGCGTGGGGTGCTTTTCAGGATATTATTATATCAAAATAACCCTTCTACTCATATATGTTCATAAAATATTTATAACTACTTATGCCATGCAACCCACGCGTATTTTGTTAGTTTTTATAAACTATTATTTATTAAAAATGTAACAGTCTGCATAAAATACACTTAAGACTTCGAGCTCATATCAGGCCGCACAAGGCGAGTCGAGCGCCGGAGCTCATTAAAAAAGTCTCAGTCATTTATTAGACCTTTTTTTATTTATTTATTTATTGCTTAGATGGGTGGACGAGCTCACAGCCCACCTGGTGTTAAGTGGTTACTGGAGCCCATAGACATCCACAACGTAAATGCGCCACCCACCTTGAGATATAAGTTCTAAGGTCTCAAGTATAGTTACAACGGCTGCCCCGCCCTTCAAACCGAAACGCATTACTGCTTCACGACAAATAGGCAAGGTGGTGGTACCCACCCGCGCGGACTCACAAGAGGTCCTACCACCAGTAATTACGCAAATTATAATTTTGCGGGTTTGATTTTTACTACACGATGTTATTCCTTCACCGTGGAAGTCAATCGTGAACATTTGTTGAGTATGTATTTCATTAGAAAAATTGGTACCCGCCTGAGATTTGAACACCGGTACATCGCTCAACACGAATGCACCGGACGTCTTATCGCTTAGGCCACGACGACTTCTGAAACTAGCTTTTAGAACTTTAAGAACTAGCTTTTACATGCGACTTCGCGTGAAATAGTTCACAAATAATGCTTTATTTCAGAACAAATTTGGATAACATAAAAAATGTTATAGTGAGCCAACCTTAACATATAGACATATGCTGTCACAGACTTTTTTTTAAGATCTTTTAAAGGGGAACAATTCTGTCATATATTATTTTAACGAAACTTTAACCGCTTCGGCAGCGCACGCAGTGGAAGCTCTCCAAAGGGGAAAAACCCCGATTTTGAAACATTATTTATTGGTGCTCCGCTTGTATTAGTCTTAGCGTGATGTTATATAGCATATAGCCTTCCTCAATAAATGGGCTATCTAACACGAAAACAACGGGTAGGTATCACCGCCCTGCCTGTTTCTACCGTGAAGCAGTAATACGTTTCGGTTTGCAGGGTGAGGTAGCCGTTGTAACTATACTGAGACCTTAGAACTTATATCTCAAGGTGGGTGGCGCATTTGGTTGTAGATGTCTATGGGCTCCAGTAACCACTTAATATCAGGTGGGCTGTGAGCTCGTTCACCCATCTAAGCAATAAAAAAGAAAAAAACTTATTTAGCCAAGTTACTGACCCCAACCAGTATTAAATGTCTATAAGCATCCACCGTTTCGACAGGACATGTCCATGCAAGAGTTCCCGTATTATTCGTGGAAGAACAACGACCCGAATATAACGACGGGCATAGCAAGCATCTGTCAGCTGTCTCTGCTGCTGGTGTTCGTGTTCCTCATGTCGAGACTTTTGAACGAACGAGCGACCGGCATACAGGTAAGTGCACTCGCCACACTGACATACGACCGTTGCACTGGAGGACTTTTTGGGCGGGAACGCGAGGTGTGAAGTTGTGTGATTTGTTTTATTCTGTCTACTATTTAGTGTTTCTTCAGGTTTAAATGTGTAATAACGGTGGTTTGTTAACTGTTTCATGTCTGTGAAAGTGCACAAATGTGGGAAAATGAAACAAAGCCGCAGGGACGTAACGTCTCGGGATCCTCCAAAAAGTCCACTAAAAAAGTCTCAGTAAATGACCACCATTTTACTGAGATTATATTTCATCTCATCTCATTTCATTTCATCCCAGTTGATTGATGTCTCAAATTAATCATCTTCATCTCATTTCATTTCACTCCTTATTATCATTTTTTTCATAAAAATAAGAATATAAATTAAAATAAGACATGACTTAAAGGTCTTTCTTAGTTACCAGGTCATAAAATCCCTTAAAAAAACAATTGCACTGCTTAGGCTTCAAACTTGAAGTGACGTCACAACGCTGCAAAATCACCGTGTGATTCTTGCCGAAGCAGTTCACCGTGAATATAATTCCTCTTAAAATGCAAACTGCCGGATTATAGAATGGCTCTGGTGACGAAAGAAGCGCTGTTTAAAAATATATTTGAGTATCAGAAACAGTCCAAAACACGCGCTCACGTCCTCGCGGATCCATCAGATCCAATAACTCTTGTATTAGACGCCTTCAGCTCTTAACTCTAGGAGCAGACTTAGGGACCCCAGCAACCGTGCAACTAAACCATGCATCATCCCGCTGAGTTTCTCGCCGGATCTGCTTAGCGGGCCGCTAATCCCACTCTTCCTGGCTGAGCTTTTGCTCGCCCATTTATCCTGGTGAAATTGGAAAGGCCTCCGGGCCACCAGTGACACTTCAATCATGTAAACAATTGCCTTCAACATGCCAGTTCTCGTTTGGGTAAAGTCAGTTTCACTCGCCCTTTACACCGATTCGCAATCGGCACAGCCGATTGACACCGTGTAGTGTTTGCGGTCCGTAAGGTGGTGGTTACTGGTGGTAGGACCTCTTGTGAGCCCACACGGTTAGGTACCACCACCCCGCCTATTTCTGCCGTGAAGCAGTAATGCCTTTCGGTTTGAAGGGCGAGGCAGCCGTTGTAACTATACTGAGACCTCAGAACTTATATCTCAAGGTGGGCGGCGCATATACGTTGTAGATGGGCCCCAATAACCACTTAACCAGGTTTTTTTTCTTTTTTCTTTTTTCTTTTTATTTATTGCCCTTGTAGGCAGACGAGCATCCGGCCGACCTGATGGTGAGTGGTTACCGTCGCCCATGGACTTCAGCAATGCCAGGGGCAGACCAGACAGGTGGGCTGTAAGCCCGTGCACCTATCTAAGCAATAAATCCTCAGGAACTAATGAAAATGGTCGGAGTGTCGTCGAGCAGCCTGACCGCGTCGCACTTCCTGAACGTTCTGGCGGGCGGCGTGCTGTACGCGGGCGTGGTGTGCGGCGTGCTCACGGCGGACGTGGCGCTGTTCGAGACGCGCGCGGCCGCCGCCCTGCTGTGCGTCGGCCTGCTGCTGCACTTCGTCAGCGTCGTCGGGGCCGCCTTCGTCTGCAGCTACATCGTGAGAAGCAGTGAGTGTCCGAGATAATAACGTGACATTTGTGACGTCACGTTGCGTTGTCGACTGTGTGACCTTGAAGACCGCGATCGGTGGGAGACTGGCACCGGTCATCGTTGTCGTTCGACGAGTAAATTAACCCACAGACACAGCCTCAGTTTCTCGTCGGATCTTCTCAGTGGGTCGCGTTTCCGATCCGGTAGTAGATTCTGCGAAGCATGGCTCTTGCTAGAGTTCGTGTTAGCAACATCGTCAGGTTTGAGCCCCGTGAGCTCACCTACTAGTTAAGGTTACGCTGATATAGTCTCTCTAGACCATCAGCTCAGGTAGGAGAAAAAAAAAGGGAGACTGGCAATGGGTCCTACTGAAGGACCACCCTGCACTCTTCGTGCGATCGTCTGGCGTCCGCCCGGTATACGTAGGACCGGCGACCCCTCTGAGTCGGACAAACCCCCCCTAACTTATCAAATAATATATTAACATTTTGAGATCTGTAAAGTACAGGGTGGCCCATAAGTCCTTTGATATGAAAAAAAAATTATTAAAATAAGACTAATTACATTATGAATTAAATTTTTATTTACATAAAAAGCTTAAAAAACGGGAATTATTTTTTGAAAATAACATCTCTTAAATGTAATCCGTTGCGATCACGGCACTCTTGCAAACGACGTCTAAAATTGTCGATGACTGCGCGGCACGTCACTGCTGAAATGCTTGTCATTTCTCTGCGGATGTTTTCTTTTAGGGNTACGGGGTGCTGGCATACCCGATGCACGCGCTGCGGGGGTTGACCATGCCCGGCGCGCTGAGGCTGCTGACGGGGCTGCTGCCGCACGTGCCGCTCGCCTGGCTGCTGGACGAGCTGAGCGTCTTGGACGGAAACGGTTGGTAGTAGTAGTTTTATTTTTCCAAATGGAAAGGCAAAGGTATCCATACCATACAGCCTAATCTTTTATATATATATTTTATGAAATATGAAACATGAAATGAAATGACATGAGATGATATGGGATGGAATATAATCTCAGTAAAATGGTGGTCATTTACTGAGATTTTTTCAGTGGACTTTTTGGAGGATCCCGAGAAGTTAGGTCCAGCGGCTTTGAAAAACGGTTGGTTCAAATCTTCTTCTTCTTTACATTTTGGCTCCGGCTCGGTTTGTGCATTAGCCAACGTCAAGGAACATTAACATGTATTACTATGTTATCTACTATATATCGTTACGGCTTGGTCTAGCTCAGAGTGAATAATTGTTTAGAACTGTACGTTATCTTTTAATGGAATAAATGGCCCGACAAGTAGACGGCTCGCTTGCAATTGCGCGGCTGCACACAACGATGTTCTTCTTCGTTTTGTTTTTTTTTAGATTAGTTAATTTTCTCATCTCAATCAGATAAATAAGAAAAAAATTAACATTTTTCATTTAGTGACTGATTTTGTGAAATATATAAACGGCTTTGGTATGAAATTGATGTTTTATAGTAAATTTATCACAGATTACTTGGTTCATATTTTCAAATATAATGCAAGGCTATCTTTAAAACTAAGAATAAATATCCATCGGGACACCCAGGGTTGCCGGGGTGAAACCAGTGGCTTAGCTAGGTAACCAAGGGCCCTGGGGCAAATTAAAAAATGGGGCCCCACTGCCATGTAAACTGATTAGGTTTTACCAAATAACAATATGTAATATACCAATACTTTAAAAATGATAAACTACTTAACCTTTTTTTTGTGCACTGCAAGGCAGGTAATAAAAATATCAAACAGTAACAACATAAATTACAATTAATACTTGGTGTAGGTTTGGCTAATAAAACGCCCGATCCCCTCCGAGGTCAGAACCCGGATGAGGTAAGGGGGTTAGCGCGGTCAACACTACAACCAGACGGCGCAGCTCACCCCAAGGGCGCCCGGCCGACGGTGCCTTCGAGGCGAATCGAAGGCTCTGAAACGTCGGCCGTCTCGGTACGGCAGCCCGTCAGGTCGCCCAGACGACGCCGCTGTTGACCCGGAATACCCCGCTGGACCAGAACCGGCCTGCCGGGTCGGCCGGCCGAGATACGATACACCGCGTCGGTGTATAGTGTTAGCAACACTCCCGGCTTGAACCCCGTGAGCTTACCTACACCTCAAGGTGAAGCTAAAATAGCCTCCCAAGGCTATCAGCATAGGTAGGATAAAAAAAATCTGTTGATATGTTAATTTTCCACATATTTTTCATACAGGTGAGTCGATCACAGTGTCGTCGATAATGAAGTCCCACACGGCCGTCAGCTACTCCGTGTTCGTCAGCCATCTGATGATGCTGGCCCAGATCCTAATATTCTTCTTCCTGAACTGGTATCTGTCTCTGGTCAGACCCGGAAAGTACGGACAAGCTTTACCCTGGTACTTCTTGTTTAAGGTAAGCATTAATATATAGTAGAATAAACCATAATCAATCATGATCGAGTTATATTATAACATCCTATCGCTTTCGGTGTAATTTTTTAATTATAATAACAGAGGTACCGATAACATTTTAATATTTTAGTAACAAAACTTTGCTAATAATGAATATTTAAAAAAGAAGACATGCTCGCTGAGTTTCTTGCCAGTTCTTTTCAGGACGGAGGCTAGTTTTTGTAAACTGGCGGTAGTTCTTTTTGACGCTCAACAAGTGTGTACTTTCATTTATGATGAATAAAAAAAATTTTTTTTTGATTGATTGATTGTTTCATTGATTAATAATGTTAGCTGAATACTATTGGATCAAGGGCTTATATGATGATGAGTTATTTGAAGGGATTGGGGATTGTGTATGGTCTATCATAACTTCAGCAAACGGATAGATAATACACTCATGTGCCTAATGAAGAAATAAATAAAAACAAAATTTAATTTGCTTATTAAACTGTTATTTATATACTTATTTATGACTAGCGACCCGCCCTCGCTTCGCTTCGGATACATGAAATTTTATTATTGATTATTTACGACATCATATTAGAAACCTCAAAAATAACAGTATTTCTCCACTATTCAATGGATGTTATTATACATATAAACCTTCCTCTTCAATCACTCTATCTATTAAAAAAAACGCATCAAAATCCGTTGCGTAATTTTAAAGATTTAAGCATACATAGGGATATAGGGACAGAGAAAGCGACTTTCATTTATACTATGTAGTGATATGCTATTTTAATGAAATAACTATTTTAGGTCTCCGGGGCTAATTTAGTACATAAACTTGAAACGACTTGGGGCAGAAATGAGACGTCTCCTTTAATTTGCTTATTAAGATATTATTTATATACTTACTTATTGATCCACAACAGAAACAATACTGGTCGAAGAACGAAATAGGGCCCAAGTTCGACTCGGATGCCGAGGAGCAGGTGCCGATAGTCAACGACAAGAAGTACTTCGAGGAGCCGCCGCAGAACGCCGAGGTCGGCATCCGGATCTGCAACGTGTCCAAGGTGAGGGCCTCTCTGTCGCGGATCCGGGGGGGGGGGGGTTGAACACTCCACCTCGAGACTGACTCAGGCCTGTAGCTAATGCACAAGCGACCAAACCTGTGGTGCACAAACCTTTATTGCACCTGTCACATTTGTGCTTATCCATTATGACGGCGCTGTTATACGAAATTGAGAAAGGATCTTTTTAATATTTTTTTTAATCTATACTAATATATAAATCTACAGTGATTTTTACAGATGTTCCGTTATAACTACTGAATCGTGCATCTGATTGACTTGAAACTTGGTATCCATGTACAAAATACATGTACTCAATGGATAGGTTAATATTTATATGAGTGTTGGACTCCCTATACCAGTTGCGGGGGCGTTAATGATGAGAATCTTTGTGGGGGTGAGAAATAATAATGTTAATTTTAAATGCCCAACGAAGCGGACCGGTACAGCTAGTAATAAGATAAAAGTATAAAGAATTACGACGACAATGACCGGCAACCGTGCCGTCTGGAATTGGGAAGAGGACTGAATGGATAGGAGGGGCTTGTTCTCGAATGAAGGATCATGAGTGCTGATGCTATTCGGGAAAAGTGATGGAAGCAAAGCTAGGAACCGGAGGGTATCATAACAGCGCGCTTACTAGAGGGCGCTATGGTAGAGACACCTTTTTTTTATTGCTTAAATGGGTGGACGAGCTCACGGCCCACCTGATGTTAAGTGGTTACCGGAGCCCACAGACGTCTACAACATAAATGCCGCCACCCGCCTTGAGATATGAGTTCTAAGATCTCAGTATAGTTACAACGGCTGCCCCGCCCTTCAAACCGAAACGCATTACTGCTTCAAGACAGAAATAGGCAGGGTCGTGGTATCTACCCGTGCGGACTCACAAGAGGTCCTACCATCAGTAATACCTTTGCTAATACAGAACCCTCCGTGTATTGGTAGGTAATGATTGTTGTTTTCGAGCAGGTGTTCCAGAATCAGAAAGCCCTCGACAACGTGTCGCTGGATGTGTACAAGGGCGAGATCACCGTGCTGCTGGGACACAACGGCGCCGGCAAGACCACCCTCATGTCCATCATAACCGGTGAGTGGCGCCATCTGCCGCGCTCTCTCCGCAACACTCTCGGGAACAGTTGTGCGCCACGTAGCATCCGGCTCTGGAATGATCTCCATGATGTTCCTCTAGCGCTGTGACATGTCCTTCTTCAAATAAGGTATGCGGAGAGTACTCAGCGGTAGGCAGTAACTAGGCATTGCTGCCTTCCATGTACGACGGTCACCACTCACCATCAAATGGGTCGTGTCTGCCTAGATTTGACACTTTTTTTTTACGTTAACGCCTTATTATTTTCTTCGATCCTCAAAGCTATGTGCATTGATAGTATGAACATGCCACATGCCACTTTTTATTGATACTAATAACTGATGTATACTAGATTTCATATTACATACAATAATGTCAGCCGATGCCGGTCATCGTGCTTGTCGAACCCGTCGCTTGTGACGAAGGGCTTGACGAGTAAATTAACCCTCAGACACAGCCCACTGAGTTTCTCGCCGGATCTTCTCAGTGGGTCGCATTTCCCATCCGGTGGTAGATTCTGCCAAGCACGGCTCTTGCTAGGGTTCGTGTTAGCAACGTCATCAGGTTCGAGCCCCGTGAGCTCACTCACTATTTAAGGTTACGCTGATATAGCCTGCCAAGGCTCTCAGCTTAGGCATAAAAAAAATCAACCGACGCGCGAGGTCATTGCCTTGTGGTTTCGCGACGCGTTCCATTTCCTTGAAAATGCGGGTTATTATAAAAAGCCACCCTGCTGGTTTGTGCCGCGAAGCTGTCCTGCACTCCGGTGTGAAAAGTACGACAGTCGTTATACAATACTATTGAGACTTCGACCTCATGTCTCAAGGCGTATGATGCTGTGATGTCCATGGGCTCCCGTAGCCCCTTAACACCAGGTGACTAATGGAGATCGGAACGCATCAGGGCAATACAATTATTGCTTAGATGGGTGGACGAGCTCACAGCTCATCTGGTGCTAAGTGGTTACTGGAGCCCATAGACATCTACGACGTAAATGCGCCACCCACCTTGAGATATAAGTTTTAAGGTCTCAGTATAGTTACAATGGCTGCCCTTCAAACCGAAACGCATTACTGCTTCACGGCAGAAATAGGCTGGGTGGTGGTGCCTACCCGCGCGGACTCACAAGAGATCCTACCACCAGTAATTACGTAAATTAAAATTTGCGGGTTTGATTTTTATTACACGATGTTATTCCTTCACCGAGGAAGTCAATCGAGAACATTTGTTGAGTACGTATTTCATTAGAAATAATTGGTACCCGCCTGGGATTCGAACACCGGTGCATCATTTTTGGCTTCGCACATTCTCTAGCGATTATAAACCTAAGTGGAATGAGCAGGTATGATGAGCGCGACCGAGGGTAAGGTGTACGTGAACGGCACGGAGACTGCCTCCCAGCAGAGGGAAGTCCGGAAGCACCTCGGGCTCTGCCCCCAGCACAACCTGTTCTTCCCGGACCTCACCGTGCTCGAACACGTCATGTTCTTCACTATGGTAACTATCTTTAGTTGTTGTATCGCTCTAGATCATTCTGGATTCTTCTGCTAATTCTAATTATGTCTATTATGCATAAGCATAGCAAAGAGCGCCATGTCTCAACTCCATAGAACAGGAAAAATATCTCTTAAAACCAAAAAGAGACTTGTCCGAACTCTGACGCTCTCAATCCTTCTCTATGGTGTTGAGACGTGGACTCTGAAATCAGCTGATGGCCACCGCATTGATGCCTTCGAGGTGTGGTGCTGGAGGAAGGCGCTACGAAACCCGTGGACAGCATATCGGAATAACGCATCCATATTAAGACAGCTTAATATCCAAACCAGGCTCTCTACCATCTGCCTCTAGAAGATATTTAAGTTCTTCGGTCACGTTGCCAGAAAGAGCGCTGACAAACTTGAAAAATTGATGGATGGCAACATTATAGGCAAAAGATCTCGTGGCCGCAAGCCAATGCGCTGGTCCGACAAAATCAGCACTACTCTGGATACCACCGTCTACGATGCCATACACAGCGCCGAGAACCGAGGAAGATGGCGAAACGTTTTACTGGTGGTAGGACCTCTTGTGAGTCCGCTGGGGTAGGTACCACCACCCTGCCTATTTCTGCCGTGAAGCAGTAATGCGTTTCGGTTTGAAGGGTAGGGCAGCCGTTGTAGCTGTACTGAGACCTTAGAACTTATATCCAGAGGTGGGTGGCGCATTTACGTTGTAGATGTCTATGGGCTTCAGTAGCCGCTTGGCACCGGGTGGGCTGTGAGCTCGTCCACCCATCTTGGAGAAAGATAATGGGAGGAGATGAAGATGGAAGGATAATGGGACAACCCTGAGACATGAAGAATGCGACTCAGGGAGGAGGACTATTGTAGTAAAGTGGTTAAAGCACGACATCCAACTCCTTAACAAAGGCTTTCTGTAAGAAATGTCACAGCACAAGACATCTTCGTTACTTGACAGTACTTAACTTTGCAATAATTTTTTTTTTTCGTTTAGCTCAGGGGAACATCCTTCAGAGAAGCGAAAGCGTCTTCGAAAGCTCTTCTCGAACAGTTGGGTATCGCGGATAAAGCGAACAGCAACAGCTCCGAGCTGTCCGGCGGCATGATGAGGAGGCTGCAGCTGGCGTGCGCGCTCGCCGGCGACGCGGACGTCCTCATCCTGGACGAGCCCACGTCGGGGCTGGACGTGGAGACCAGGAGGAGCCTGTGGGACCTGTTGCTTGTGAGTGCACTGTTTGACCAGTCTTTTACAATAATATATTGGCATCACAAAATAATGGACTCGGACAAAATAATGCGCTTAGCAGAAGGAACTATTTGAAGCGAACTTGGACCAAATCATCGATATTGTTACGCGCTACAAATTAAAACTGTATTAGCACTTAGAACACTTTAAAATTCTCAATTCACTTCTTCCGCTTTTCTTCAGGTGATCCGATTATCCAGTAGCTCAGATTACTAACTGACTGCGTGCCATTTCTGCAACGCTTTTATAGTCGAGACGACATCCCTAGAATTATCGAGAACATTCCTCACAAGTCGAGTAGTCTCGATTTGTATTTCCGCTATGTGACAATAGATGGCGTTGTACTCTTCGAGCGTTCTAGATGTTACTAGAGCCTTTGATAGTTTGTTTCGGCTATTCGGCGATAGATGGCGTTACTGTTAATAGCGTAACGATATTATTAGTGCATAAAAACGGACCCTCGTCTCCACCCATTTGTTCACTAACGACTAGTTAGCTGTGAGGAGTGCCGCGCCAGGTCACGTGCTCTGTGGCGACTGTATCTTGTGTTGTCCCATAGAGCGTGCGAGGGTCGCGCACCGTGCTGCTGTCCACGCACTTCATGGAGGAGGCGGACGCGCTGGGTCACCGCGCCGCCGCGCTGCACCACGGCCGACTGCGCTGCCACGCCTCCACCATGTACCTCAAGAAGGCCATCGGTATGCTTTGTTGTCTATGATCACTCTCGCTGCTTATCAAATAAGGATTCACAAACTGATTAGAAACTCTGCCTATGTAATATTTAACGTGTAACTAAATCTATATACGTGAAGCAAAAACTTTGTACACCTTTTTACGAAAATTTCACGGAGGGAGGACTATGAAATTTCCCACACTTATAGGGGATATAGTGAAGGGGTGCAGAATGCTAATTTTTATTTTTTATTTATACATCAATAATACATTAAATCAATAAGAAAACATTACACACACTACCATGTATTTATCACACACACATTTGTTTTTTGTTAAAGTCTGTGATCAAATTGAGAATAGATTAATATTTTTTATCGTTAATGTTATTTGTCTACAGTGTAGTCTTGGCGAAATTTGTCATTATTTATAGAAATATAATAAGTCTTTGAAAATAGGACCATGATAATGCTTAAACTTATAATTTTAATTAATTATAGTCGAATTTCGACTACTGAGCGTCCACTACTTACTCTAAAATATCTATCCTATCTCTAGTTTTATCCCTATTGAATACAGAATACTTACTAATTTAAAAACGTTGCGTTTGGTTAAGTAAGGACACTTGAAAGCGTTTTTTCATAAAAATTTAACAATAAATAGATAGAAAATTCAGTGAATAAAAATACAATAATGGTCCGTGCCACATAAAAATATTAGTCATTCTTATAACAAGTCGGTACAAATAACACAACCTATACAGTATTATAGACAGAATTATAGTCGAATTTCGACTACTGCGGGACCACTAGTAAGAATAATTCCTTTTATTTAATTACTAATCTATAGTAAACTTAATTATCATCATCATCTCAGCCTGTCCATTGCTGAACATAGGCCTCTCTGATTAATGTCCAGTCCTTTTATTAGTTATACTTAATTATCATCATCATCATCTCAGCCTGTCCATTGTCCACTGCTGACTGTAGGCCTTTTCAGTCTGCCCATTCAGTGCCTAACTTAATTAAACAAAAATATATTTCCAGGTACGGGATATCGGCTGTCGTTCACGACGATCGGGCTGCCCAACGAGGCGGCCATCACCGCGGCCGTCGCGTCGCTGGTCCCCGAAGTGACCCTCAAGGAGAAGTCGCTGAACACGCTCGCGTACAGTCTGCCGGCCGCGCACGCCCACAGGTTCCCGGACCTCTTCCTGGCGTTAGAGTCGAACCGATCTAAATTGGGCATCGACTCCATCGGCGTGGGCATCTCTACGCTGGAGGAAGTATTCCTGAAGTGAGTTCTTAGATTTGATAGGAAAAAAAATATATATGTGTGTGCACGTCACACACGGTAGAAGTGAAATTTATAAATAAGACTAGCTGACCCAGCAGACTTCGTAGTGCCTCAATCGATAAATAAAAGACCTAAACTTTTGTATAAAATAACTTAAAACAAACAAAAGCAATCCGTCCGACGGGGGACACATCAAAGGAAAAACAAAATTGTTATTTTTATTTAATTCCGTGCATTTTCATTCATTTATCTACCTTTTAAACCTTCTCTGGACTTCCACAAATAATTCAAGAATAAAATTAGCCAAATCCGTCCAGCCGTTCTCGAGTTTTAACGAGACTGACGAACAGCAATTCATTTTTATATATATCGATATAGATATACTGACTATCCCACTACACAGGAGCATACATATGGACAATGTTTATTAGTCAATAGTGGGGATGCTACGAAGAGTCACACAAAAAGGAGACAGAGAACGTCTAATGTGTTCTATCTCATTATCTCGCCGGCTGAATCCTATACATTTATGTGTTTGTGTCTCTATGGACTTATTTTTTCGTTTCATCTAGTTTCAAATCACAACGATTCTAAAGAAGTTTCACTTCAAAAAATTGAATTCGGCTTTTAAAAATCTTCTAATCTATTTGATAACAAAGTTTCATATATGGATTAAAACACTTAATTAATAAGCATGATTTAATATGAGCGCACGCTTAACCGAATACATAAGAAAAAGACAAGAAGGAAGTTGAGTAAAGAGCGAGATAGCTACATTTTATTATAGAATGACAGGTGTTGAATGCGTTTAGGAATTGGTTTGATATCTCACATGAAAAAATAAAATATGCACTCACAATTTACTGAAACACACACAAAGTATCAATAACCAGTTGGTTCAGACCTGTACCATCGATCTTAGGTTTAAAATATATTTATTTTCTCATAAAAATATATCGAGGGATGAAAGGCTATTTGATTTAGGCAACAAATTTTCCAAATGTACAGAAGAGCCATTGAAAGTTTAAAATATGAAAAAATATCGCTACAAAAAACATGTTCAGCTATTTGGATACAGTAAACTTATGTTTTTTTTTTTGTTTTCTAAGATCGTTGGATGAGTTCATAGTCCACCTGATGTTAATTGATTACCGGCTTGTGAAATTTTGATTGATCTTGTTTCAGACTTTGCAGCGATGTCGACACGACCTTCGCCGACGCCAACGGCGACACCAGCGAAACTGCGGACCGTTCGTATCTTTATCCGCTATAATATTATACATCTGAAAAGGGTCCAGTCACCGTTGTCGTCGAACCTTTTGCGACGAAGGGCTCGGAGAGTAAATTAACCCACAGATACAGCCCACTGAGTTTCTCGGCGGATCTTCTCAGTGGGTCGCGTTTTCGATCCGGTGGTAGATTCTGCGAAGCACTGCTCTTGCTAGGGCCAGTGTTAGCAACACTCCGGTTTGAGCCCCGTGAGCTCACCTACACATCAAGGAGAAGCTGAAATAGCCTCTCAAGGCTATCAGCATAGGCAGGAAAAAAAATATCCTCGTTTTGTTCCCAGACTACCAGGAGCCGCAGAGTAAGAGGCTGACCGGCTTCCCCCTGTACCTCAGACAATTCAATGTCCTAATGAAAAGGCAGTTCAACTACATAATGTCCAAAAAACTCTCATTTTTCTTACTGGTGAGTGCTTTTTAATAGACCATGTCAATGTCACCCTGACGTTCGACTCGGTCGCATCGGTTCCAACCTTCAACACCGACCCACAATAGGCGAATGCATGATCCACTAAAATTCCATAAATATCACAAAGTAAATGCCGCCACCCACTTTGAGACTTAACGATTGTATACCGGCTGTCACACTTTCAAACGAGAACGCACTACTGCTTCGCGACAGAGCTAGGTAAATGGCGGTTCGTACCTGTGCGGGCTCACTGTACGCACTACCATAAAAATACGCAATAATATGTAAAGATGCAAATTTATTTATTTATTAAGTTGCACCAACAAAGTGATCATCAATACAAAACATTGACCAATTGACAAAAGTTCATGGCAGATGTCACCTCAATTATAGGTGCAATCGACAGTGCATTATCAACAACAAAAAATATATATATAACTAAGATTTGATTACATTTGATTGATTGCTTTAGATCAATTTATATTTAATTGGGAAATGATCCGCGACAGATTTTTCCTGTAAGTTGTGAGACAATAAAAAAAAAATCTATTTCACTTAAAATTAGTTCAGCGCAATACGTAATACGTATTTTCCTAAAAAATTGATATTCGCCCGCGGGATTCGAACACCGACACCGTCGAATACGAGCACTCCGGGCGGCTTATCTTTTAGGCCACTATTTCAGGTCGATATCTCGATTCTATTATATAACTACTATTCTACTATTCAAACGCAATCGACTCTCGACCACGTGTCTCAAGTCGCCACGTCCAATTTCACTCGGACAATCAGTCGCTTCTAGACCTGTGATATATCACGTTCAATTTCAGCAAGTCCTGATACCTATGCTAGTGATCGGCCTGGTCACGGAGTCCGTGAACCACGACTACGGGTCCACTCAGGCCGACGTCAGCGCGCCCATGACCCTCGATCTGTACAAGGACATCGACGGCCTCAAAGCTTTGTACAACGTGAACCAAGAGGGAGTCAACTTCAAAGCGATCACTGACGCCTACCCGCACGTCAAGTTTGAGGAAAATACAGACATCGTCAATAGTAAGTGACTTTGATGTAGACATACAAGTATTACTAATTTATTTGGTTTATTGCTTAGACGGGTGCATGAGCTCACGTACTAGCTGATGTTAAGTGGTTACCGGAGCTCATAGCTACAACTTAAATGCCACCCACATTGAAATATAAGTTCTAAGGTCTCAGTATAGTTAAACCAAAACGCATTACTGCTTCACGGCAGAAATAGGCAGGGTGGTGGTACCTACCCGTGCGGACTCACCAGAGGTCCTACCAACAGTAAAAAAATTACTATTGGCGGTAGAACACGTGTGGACGGATGCCCATACACATCATCATCAATATCTTTAATAAACCCTTTTTTATTGCCCTTGTAGGCAGACGAGCATACGGCCCACCTGATGGTGAGTGGTTACCGCCGCCCATGAACTTCAGCAATGCCAGGGGCAGAGCCAAGCCGCTGCCTACCGTTAAGTAAATGACTCGTGCTCAATTTTCGCGATAATAGAATCACATCGGCTCCTTGACCCCGACCAGACTTCGAACTTGTTTGTCAAGCTAGGCATGTTGGCATACGCGTTGAGAATCGATAACAGTGAAAAACTTTAATGAAACAATTTTTTTCTTCTTCTTTATTTCCAGCAACACTGGGCTACGCCAAGTATGATCCAATGAAGTACATTAAATACGTTCTGGGTGTTGAACTTAATTCCACACATGCAAAGGTATTTAATAATTTTTTTTTTTTAGTGTGGCAATCGTCTTCCTTCTGGCCTTCATAGCTAATATTGCCAGAATTTAATTTGAAAATTAAACTATGTAAGATTATGTGATATATTTTGTGATTTGATTTCTGTTGACTGTTGAAGGACCACAGTCGAGTAAATTTTAATTGAACCGAGTTAATGGATAATTACCCAGAGTTCAGTGCTTTTTTTTAATGATACTTTGTACCAGCACACATATTCACTCCATCGAATATTAAAGAATAATAAATGCTAATTTGTAAAAATTAAAAATGAGAAGTTCAAATTCCTTCAAGTTCAAGTTCAAGGAAGTTCAAGTTCCAAATGCTTTATAATATCTTACCACGTCTTTATAAGTAGGCACAGGAGTACACACAGTTAGTCATTCATGCTGGCTCGAAGGGTGGGACAGCATTATGCACAGCGGACATTTTCGCGTCCGTCTTTTAGGAAGGCAGTAAAAGTACTGCCTGCCAGTAGTCACGTCCGCCCTCGCTCCATTTCTTTCTTTTGTTTCTTTTCGAGTCCTTGTGTCTGTCTTAGTAGATGTCTAGTCGTTGTTGGTCTTATTTCTTGTAAAAGAGGTCGAACGCCACGACCTCGGTATTAGCAGATGGACCGTCGTTGTAGGTCTTATGCCCTGTCAAAGAGATCACACGCCACGACACTGGTATTAACAGATGAACCGCTTGCTAGTCTTTTTTTTATTTTTTTTATTGCTTAGATGGATGGACGAGCTCACAGCCCACCTGGTGTTAAGTGGTTACTGGAGCCCATAGACATCTACAACGTAAATGCGCCACCCACCTCGAGATATAAGTTTTAAGATCTCAGTATAGTCTCCCAGTTTACAGTAATAAAAAAGGCTATACCCAAGATTTCATATACGTTTTCGTCGTCGAAGGCATTGTACACGACGACAATCCGGCACGCCGCTCCGATATCGGTGAACATCCTGACGAACCTGCTGGCGACGCTGCACGCGCCGGCGGCGGGCGCGCGCACGCTCACCGCCGTCAACGAGCCCGTGCGCGCGGAACTGGCGGCCGCGCCCTCCTCCGCGCCCTCCATCAAGGACACTAAACAAGTCTTCGTCGTCCTCCTTTGGATATTTTTAGTGGTTTTCAGTGAGTACCATTTTCATTTATCTTCATATTACAAAAGCTATCTAGGTAGGGGGTAGACAGATTTTTCTGCTCAGATTATCGGACTGTCTTTTTGGCGGGAACGCGAGGAGTGAAGTTGAATTACTTGTTTTATTTTGTCTATTCAGTGTTTCTTCAGGTTTAAATGTGTAATAACGGTGGTTTATTAACTGTTTAGTATCTGTGAAAGTGAACAAATGTGGGGAAATGAAACAAAGCCGCTGGACGTAACTACACGGGATCCTCCAAAAAGTCCACTGAAAAAAAACTCTGTAAATGACCACCATTTTACTGAGAATAGATTATATTTCATATCATCTCATCTCATATCATTTCATTTCATCCCAGTTGAATAATATCTCAAATTAATCATCTTTATTTCATTTCATTCCATATTATCATTTTTCATAATATTAAGAATATAAATAAATTAAAATAAGACATGACCTAAAGGTCTTAGTTACCAGGTCATAAAATCCCTTAAAAAAATGATTATCGGACTTCAGTCTACCTGTAATTATTGCATTTGCAATAGTACAGATTTTTTTTTTTATTGCTTAGATGGGTGGACGAGCTCACAGCCCACCTGGTGTTAAGTGGTTACTAGAGCCCATAGACATCCACAACGTAAATCCGCCACCCACCTTGAGATATAAGTTCTAAGGTCTCAGTATAGTTACAACGGCTGCCCCACCCTTCAAACCGAAACGCATTACTGCTTCACGGCAAAAATAGGCAGGACGGTGGTACCTACCCGCGCGGACTCACAAGAGGTCCTACCACCAGTAATTACGCATATTATAATTTTGCGGGTTTGATTTTTATTACACGATGTTATTCCTTCACCGTGGAAGTCAATCGTGAACATTTGTTGAGTACCTATTTAATTAGAAAAATTGGTACCCGCCTGAGATTCGAGCACCGGTGCATCGCTCAACACGAATGCATCGTTATGAAAATTATTTTGAATATTTATACTCGGCAAAGACTCATTAAGTCATACATAAAGTCCGCCTGTGTACGACTTTTGTTTTGTGCATAAAGTATAAATAAAAAAATTATATTATAAGCACCCTAATTTTATTATTAAAAAAAAAACTATATAACCTAGACAGAAATCACTTTAATTATAACTAACAACGTAAATTAACTAAATTTAACAGAATGCAACTAAATTTTGACAAAAACTAAACTTTGACAATAATAACTTCGACAGTAATAAAATACAACGATTGTGCAACGATGTGAACGTCCGTCCGTCCCGGCTGCCGCAAGCAAAAGATAAGGATGTCTTGTGCCAACACGCCTCGAGCCCAGACGCGCACCCCCCCCCCAACAACATCACGCCACGCGCCTTCCCGACATCACACCATCATTGACGTCACTTAGGCCACGTCTCCAGTGTCATCATCAGCTTCTAACAATAAACACTCGACTCCCCAGCGATTCTATCGACGACCATAAACGCGGTGTCGCTGCCGTGTGCGGAGCGGGAGTCGGGCGCGCGGCACACGCACGTCATGTCGGGCTGCCCGCCGGAGCTGCACTGGGCCTCCACGCTGCTGTTCCACCTGGCCGTCTGCACCGCGGCGCTGGTCGTCCCCACGCTGGTCATCGCGGCCACCGTCGAACGAGACCAGACCATCAACCAGCCTGGCTTCTTGCGTGAGTACGAATTTTTGGCTGAAACGCGAGGGGTGAAGTTGTGTGATTTGTTTTATTTTGTCTATTTAGTGTTTTTTTCAGGTTTAAATGTGTAATAACGGTGATTTATTAACTGTTTAATATTTGTGAGAAGGCATAAATGTGTGAAAATGAAACAAAGCCACTGGACCTAACTTATTTTATATTATATTTTATCCCACATCTCATTTCATTTTATATTACTCCGTATTATCATTTTTCATAAAAATAAGAATATAAATTAAAATAAGACATGACTTAAAAGTCTTGTATTACGAGGTCATAAAATCCCTTTAAAAAAAAAATATGTGTAAGTACGACTTGCAAGTCCTGCGGTATTCTCCCTCTAGTTCCTATTCTTATTTGAATTAGACGCGAGGCAACTCTCCCTTATAGTTTGGATAGTGGGATTGCTGTTATGCCGCTTGAAGGAAGTGTTGTTAATGGGTTACATCACGTCAGAGAGGCCATGACTTTATCTGCCTTTATCTGACTTTATCTTATTTTTTAGCATGAATAACCAAAAGGATCTAGTACTAGAAAACGTAATCTTCTTCCTAACGTTTTCCCGGTCTAATGCCACGATCCGCTTTCCTACTTAAACTCCTCCGCTTTGCCCGGTTTTCGGCATCCTTCTGACTGAAGTTATTCTCCTCCATATCCTCCCTAACCATATCCAACCAGCGTTTCTTGGGCCTACCTCGGGATCTTGAACCTCTTGGGAGTACTGGAAAGAGTAATAAATGATTTTATTAATATTATTACTGAAGCGTGAAATGAAGTTTTTTGAAGTGAAACTTCTAATGCGACTTCCATAAAGGTTGGTTTAAACGTTTAACGCTCCTGAGGAGAGGGAATAGAAAGAGACAGAGCGAGAGTGAATGTGTGGCACTCGAACGCATATGCATAGTATATCTGTTACAGGCCAGCGGGAGCGTTGGCAACGAGTATTTATATATATATATATTTCTATTTTAAATATATGTAATATAAATGTTGAAGATGTCACATCTCTTATACACAGCCTTCCCTATTACAAGAGCAATCTGATTTAAGGATGAAAAATGAAGAAAACCACAATAGTACATACACATCGAAGTAGAAGTTTCACTTCATTCGCGTATACCAAGTTGCACGTGCACCGTTTTGTTTTGTTTCACGTAGAATTATATATATAATATAAAATAATGCCGTATAATATACATATATAAATATATTTATTTTCAGTAACGTTCTTCCTAATCTTGGAGCTCGGCGCTATGGCTTTCTTCGCGTTAATATATTTAGTGAGCTTCCACTTCAACGAGACGTCGGCCACTATCGTGCTATCCGCCATCGTTATTATATTCGGTGAGTGTGGTTCGTGACATGTATGCCTAGTTAGTTTTTTGAAATCTCGATCGCCTAAAAGTTAACTCAAATTTTGTATGCAGTTGGAACGTCTGCCTACGTTTGCCGCTAGGGGCGCTGTTACGCTTTTTTTTCCTACCTATGCTTATAGCCTTGAGAGGGTATCTCAGCTTCTCCTTGTAGTGTAGGTGAGCTCACGAGGCTCAAACAGGGAATGTTGCTAGCACTGGCCCTATCAGGAGCAGTGCTTCGTAAAATCAAAATTTTGAAGTCGTCGTTTCCTAACGTATAAGACGTCCGGTGCATTCGTGTTGAGCGATGCACCGGTGTTCGAATCTCAGGCGGGTACCAATTTTTCTAATGAAATACGTACTCGACAAATGTTCACGATTGACTTCCACGGTGAAGAAATAACATCATGTAATAAAAATTAAACCCGCAAAATTATAATTTGCGTAATTACTGGTGGTAGGACCTCTTGTGAGTCCGCGCGGGTGGGTACAACCATCCTGCCTATTTCTGCCGTGAAGCAGTGATGCGGTTCAGTTTGAAGGTAGGGTAGCCGTTGTAACTATACTTGAAACCTTAGAACTTATATCTCAAGATAGGTGGCGCATTTGCGTTGTGGATGTCTATGGGCTCCAGTAACTACTTAACACCAGGTGGGCTGTGAGCTCGTCCACCCAACTAAGCAATAAAAAAATCTACCACCGGATCGGAAACGCGACCCACTGAGAAGAAGGTCCATGGGTTAATTTACTCGCCGAACCATTCGTCGCAAGCAACGGGTTCGACGAGGACGGTGACCGGGCTCTTACGCTACTACGCTATATAGTCACACAGAGCTATACAGTCTATCTATACTAATATTATAAAGAGAAAAGATTTGTTTGTTTGTTTGTTTCGAATAGGCTCCGAAACTACTGGACCGATTTGAAAAATTCTTTTTCAATTAGAAGCCGACATTGTCCCTGATGAACATAGGCTACTTTTTTTAAATTTTTTTTTATATATTTTTTTTGGTTTCATGTGTGTTTTAATGTTTCCGAAGCGAAGCGAGGGCGGGTCGCTAGTAATCTATATAGTGACAAGAAACACAATACTTTTAAATTTTAATTAAATCACCAGATCATCGACTTAATTGGCTATGGCCGGTGTTTATGATACGCCGAAACGAAATAATACACAAACATATTTAGTATTCGTAATAATACATACTTATCAATGGTTGGAACAAAGGATTCTCAAAGTGGTCGACATTATTGAAAACTGATATTAAGGGTTCGGCAAGATCTAGTAAAAATAGACCCCTATTAATTAACACATTCTCTTATTTAAAACTCTCAAGATACTGTATAGATTTTCTTATTTGTACCAACTTAGTTATAAGTATAGTTATAAGAATGACTAAAATTTCCGTGGCACAGACCATTGTTGTATTTTTATTCACTGAAATTTCTCTCTATTTATTGTTAATTTATTTTTGAGAAAATAATTTTAAGTGAGGACTCACTTAACCAAACACAATGTTTTTAAATTAGTAAATATTCTGTATTCAATAGAGAAAAAACTAGTGATAGATTTTTTAAAGTAATTCGACTGAGGTATAAGTTCATTTTGGGATCTCTTGTCCAAAATGGCTTGGGAATCCCCGCTTCAAACCGATATATACTAAGATATCATTCGATGTCACAAAGGGGCCTTGCTAATTCTAAATCGAACTGTTATTGAGTGGTTTAACTCTATCAGACCATTACCAATAACAATCCTTTGACAGTATACACACAACAGACTTATAACACTCCTATAACTCTATTATAAATAGGACCGTAAGTTAACCATTGAACATAAGCTTTTATATTGTTCATCTGGGGGCAGTCAAGCTTCAGAACTTCTGTGTTTTGGATTCAGCGACATCTATTGCTGATCAGATAAAATTTGGGGACGAGTGGAAGTTTGTCATTTTCAAATATTTCAAAATGCTCTACACTATGCGCTCTGTAGCATTGTGCGGGTGACTTTTGCCTGTATGACGTTAACATCTGTCAGTACCGCATGACTAGGGATGTGATGTTTAGCAATTCATTTTTATCGCTGACGATACTCGTAATAGTTTGTATTTAATAAATAATAGTTAAAAAAATTATTAAAAATAAACTTTTATAGAAAATATCAATAGGCGCATAATATTAATAGTTATAAATATTTTGATAATATCCCGAAAAGCACCCCACGCTTTTTTTTATAATAAAATCATTTTTTCTTACACTATTTTTAATTCAAATTTATTAAAATTTATTTTCAATTTTTAGTTGATTTTTTTTTTCATAATCATCTAAATCAATCGTTAACTTTTCCGAGAAATAGGTGATCGACGCGCCTGGTGTTTTTTCCCTTCTTGGTTTTGACGCAGACCCTTCGGGTCTCAGGAAAACAAAAATCGCTAATCCTGATTATCCTAGTAAGGATAACGGATCGAACTATTTAAAATATTGAATTATCATCGGTCCTTAATAAGTATGCCAAATTTCGAGTTAATCCGACGTTTTGAAGGGGGTCAAAATCATGTTCAAAGATTCCATTACAGTTCAGTGATATTTGGTGATTCGGTGATTTGTTACCTACAGTTACATACATACTACCATACGTCTGAAGCTAATAAAAGCGTATTAACTATATCTCTTGTTTGACTTTCTTTTTCATTTTTCTTCAGGCATCTTCACGCCCTCAGTGAGCGTCATCTACACGATCCTCGATGATGCGAAGGGTGTCACCTACTACGTGTTCTCGGTGATCAACTACGTGGTCCCGCCTCACACCGTGATGATGGCGAGCGTGCTGGCGGGCATGCGGGCCGTGAACAACGCCATGTGCAAACTGGACTCGGAGTTCTGTTCCATCGCCATCGGGAGACAGATGACCACCGGTACTGTGTTAATGAAGTTATAGCTGCTGGTCGGTTATATCGTGTTGAATCGTGGCGAATATAGGCGAAGCGCAGAGCGACATGCGTTCGTCTCGGTGTTGTTGCCTCGACTGGCGACCGGCTTCGGTAACCGCAGCATTCACTGTACATTCGTTTGAGTGGCGAGATGTACAGGGCTGCACTAAGGAGACGCCGCCATCCCGGGATTCTGCGATTCTGTTTCAAATAGGGCAGCACGTCACAAAGCTTAACGTATATTTGTTCTGTTTGTACGTGAGTTGAAACTATGCAATAGGGTTAGCGTTAAAATCAGTAGTTGAAAGTTTCAAGGTAATGTTATACTCAAATGTGGGAGGTAATAGTTCGAAGACTTGCACTAAAAAAATTATATTACATACACAACCACCAGAAGTGGAACTTCTTCTTTTATACTATAATAGATATATTTTCCATGCTTTTTGAGATAAATAAATCGACATTAAAATGTGACAATCGCTTTTGACCTTGAAAATTTTCGTAGCACCCAAAGAAGTGCCACTTCTATTCCTGTTTTTAATCCTTATCAAACACATTAAAAGACTATTCATTAAAACAGTTTCAAAGGATCTGGATCCGACGTGCTACCTATGCTTCAACGACATCGCCCCCACACGCTTCGTTATAATGCTGTTCGTTCAGTTCGCCTTTTTAATGGTAAGTTTTTTAATGTTCATAAACAGTCTTATCATGTCGACCGCACTCCCCAATAACTCATTCATATTATGATGGTTTCCAATACCAACTATTACATTTAAATTACTAATGCTTTGAAAATAAAAAAACAAAATGTGTGCAATTCACACGTGGTAGAAGTGAAACCTTCCAAAATTAAAATACAATTATCCTAAACGTCTTAAGTATATGTAAAATTTTGTCATTAGTAAATAATTGTAAGGTAGCGCGCTCTCTGAATTGATATTTTAATTTCACGTATAATCTTAAATTAAAATTCACTACAAGAGCTTTCATACACACGTTAGTATTAAAAAATCTCACAGATGGCGCTGTATTAAATAGTATGTATATTTCCGTCTCATTCTTTGCTGGCTTCATCCTACACATTTTTGTATTTGTGTCTCTTACCTGTCGTTTTTTCCGTTGCATCCGGTTTGAAATCACAACGATTCTAAAGAAGTTTTCACTTCAAAAAGTAATCGATCTCTATACGTAAAAATCCGAGTATCGTTGTTTGTCTGTGATGAAATTTTGAACTAATGAACCGATATTAATGAGAATTACTATACTGTGTATAGTTCGGTCCAACTTAAGAGATAGGGTAGAGAGATCTATATTTCCGCTTTTTCGACAAATCGGACAAATTCGACCTACATATTTGCTCCGGTGCACAAAGAAGTGCCGCTTCAATAATATCTAATGTTGTCACCTACCATATCGATACGAAAATGACGTCGGCAGAGCCTGGTGCTCCTTTCGGAGCGGGGCTGGCTGAACGGCTGCTTCGACGCGCTCATGAACCGCGCCTACCCCGCCGCGCCCCCCGCCGCGCCCCCCGCCGCGCCCCCCGCCGCCTCCCCCTCCGACCTCGTGCGCGCCGAGGCCGCTTACGTCAGCAAGGCGATCACACTGCGTACGTTTTCTTTTTTTTTATTGCTAGATGGGTGGACGAGCTCACAGCCCACCTGGTGTTAAGTGGTTACTGGAGCCCATAGACATCTACGACGAAAATGCGCCACCCACCTTGAGATACAAGTTCTAAGGTCTCAAGTATAGTTACAACGGCTGCCCCATTCTTCAAACCGAAACGTATTACTGCTTCACGGCAGAAATAGGCAGGGCGGGTGGTACCTACCCGTGCGGATTCACAAAAAGTCCTACCACCAGTAAAAGTTATTCCCACCAGTTATTCCCATAATATATTGTAAGAATCTCTTTATTGTGTTGTAGAAGTACCTTGTTAGGAGGTATGGAAATGGTAGTGCAAGGTAGAGGGGGAAGAGGTCGACCGAAGAAGACATGGATGGAGTGTGTGAATGACGATATGAGAGAGAGAGGAGTGAGTGTTGAGATGACGGCTGATAGAAGAGAATGGAAGAGAAAAATTAGCTGTGCCGACCCCACATAGTGGGATAAGGTGGAGAAAAAGAAAGAAGAAGTACCTTGTTATAGTAGGGTCATCTGTAATCGAATAAGTTATTATATATATATATTATACATTTTGTTACCGGGGCCCGGTTGCTTATAGTTTTCTACGAGAGAAGTTCTATTTTTTTATTTTGTTTTGTGCGCAGCAAGCAACCAAATCAAGGACGTTCTGTTAGCGGACAACCTGCACAAGAGGTACCCCAAGATCTTCGGCAAGTCCTGCAACGCCGTCAAAGGAGTCAGTTTCTCGGTTAAGAAAGGTGCGCATTAATAAGGAACGCGTATCTGTATTTTGATTCCAGGATAACCAACGGTTCGCCTTGACGACTCGTGGCTCAGGCGTTCTAAGGATAGTGCCGCGTGTCTGGTTGTAATATTGACCGTGGAAACGCCCTTACTCTGACCGGGTTCTGACCCCGGGTGGAGATCGGACGTCGGGTGTAAGAGTGTAGGGGAGTGGTCCCCCTAGGCGCGGAAGCCTTCCATGAGGTTCGACCCCGAAAAAAAAAAGGATCCCCAACGGAAACACTTACAATATTGGGGTGTGGTTATCCGCGGAAAATTTAATTACAATTTGGGTCACCCAAAAAGTTTAAATTCCGGACCGCTACTAATATGTGATACGCTGTTCGCAGGAGAATGCTTTGGCCTCCTCGGCGTGAACGGAGCCGGCAAGTCTACCACCTTCAAGATGCTGACGGCCGAGGAGTGCGCCACTCGAGGCAACATCTTCGCGAACGGCTACCACCTGAAGCGCAGCGTCGGACCGGTCAGTGTTGCCGTTTCAATGAAACATATCATGCCGCAATGCTGCCATCTATAGAAATGTCTCTTACTGGCATAAAATGTAATCCATACTTTGAGCACTGTAAGCTCTGGGGCGCCATTGAGAGACTTTGGTTCTCTCTCTCTCTCTCTCTCTCTCTTTCTTTCTGTCTCTCTTTTGTAATTATTCCCGATGATCTCTTTATCGTTCCGCCCCCTTCACTGGAGCAGAGTTCATTCACACCCTTATGGTACTGCTATTTTCATCCTCGCTTATGTTTCCAGTTATCTTATTTCCCACGTACCATTCGGCTTAAGAATGGACCCTTCTCTGCGGACCGAGCACTGTGACATGTCTCTTTTTAAACGTGATCTGTGGAGACAGAGTGTTCACCTGTAGGCTGACTTGAATGCGTCCCTGGTGTTACTGATGTCCATGAGCTACAGGAACCGCTCGCCATCAGATTATGACCGTCTGCATACAAAGGCCAAAAAAAAAATTAAGGACATTTTCATGTATATTTCAAAATTAAGTAAAATTACTGTACGGTTTGTACATACCTACGTCAACAACGAACAATTCCTCAGAGCACTCGATCGAGCATACGATAATTCCAATTGTTGTTCTTGCCAACAGTACCTCCGTTCCCTCGGTTACTGCCCACAATTCTTCGGGCTGGACGACTTCCTGACCGGCGCCCAGAACCTGGCCTTGCTGCTGACCCTACGCGGACTCGACGTCGTCGACGTGAACGCCGAGGTCGCGTCCTGGATACAGATCGTAGGTCAGTACCGTCGGAGAAACTGTCGTATGTTCGTTTTTTTTTTATTGTTTAGATGGGTGGACGAACTCATAGCCCACCTGGTGTTAAATGGTCACTGGAGCCCATAGACATCTACAACGTAAATGCGCCACCCACCCTGAGATATAAGTTCTAAGATCTCAATATTGTTACAACGGCTGCTTTACCCTTCAGACCGAAACGCATTACTTCACTCGCATTACTGCATTCACGGCAGAAATAGGCAGGACGGTGGTACCTACCCGGGCGGACTCACAAGAGGTCCTACCACCACTAAATCGTATCCCACAAATCTGTTGTTCAAAACAAACGTAGTTAGGAGACATATCTTTATTTCTCCGTCCGCACGTAGTTGGATTAACTCCTTAGATGAAAGTGTGAGAATAAAAATTGATCTTTTTTTTTATTACGCTAATTATTCTAATTGACCCAATTTAACAAATTATGGTTCACTACTTAATTTTTTTTTATTTATTTAAGGCTATTGTTAATTCTAGATTTTTAATCCATTTTCGTTATCGAACATATGGATAATCAATATATATTAATACGTGAGGAAAAAAATTTGTACCTCTTTTTACGAAAATTGCGCGGATAGAGGAATATGAGATTTCCCACACTTATAGACAATATAGAGAAGAAGTGCACAATGTTAATATTTTTTTAATTATGCATTAAAAATACAATAAAGAAATAAATAAAACATTACACACATTATCATTTAATTGACACACATACACACGGATATATATTCTTTTGTTTATTGTTAAAGTCTGTGGTCAAATTGAGAATAGATTTAATGTTTGTCTTCAATATTATTTGTCTATAGCAGCCTTTCCTAAAGTGGGCGATAACGCCTCCTTGTGGGCGCTGCAGGCCTAAAGGGGGGCTGTAAGAGACCCAGAAAAAAATGGGGGCGTTGTGTAGAGGTTTTGGTGGCGAATTGTAATTTCATCTAGGAGGACTTTTAGACACCGACTGAGTTCTCGCTATAGCGGTTTTAAGTAGTTGAAAATATGGAGGCGCTACAAAATAATTTATTCTCAAAGTGGGCAGTAGACGAAAAAAGTTTGGGCGCCCCTGGTCTATAGTATGGTTTTGGCGAAATCTGTGATTATTGTAGCTTTTGACAATAGAACCCTAATAATGTCCAAACTTATAAGTGGGCGACTACTAATATACACAATATGTTGGGTAGGGCTGGAGAAGTACATGCACCGGCCCGTGTCGGGCTACAGCGGCGGCTGCAAGCGGCGGCTGGCGGCGGGCGCGGCGCTGGCGGCGGGCGCGGCCGTCACGCTGCTGGACGAGCCCACCGCGGGCGTGGACGTGGCCGCGCGCCGCCGCGTGTGGGCCGCGCTGCGCCGCGCGCTGCACCGGGGACGCGCCGTCGTCATCTCCTCGCACAGGTCACATGCCACCCGACAACTTTACTCCTTACTTCAATAATGCCAACTATGTATTAACGATAGGCATAGCTGGTATTGCTGAAGTCCATGGGCGACGGTAGCCACTCACTATCAGGAGAGCCGTATGCCCGTCTGTCTACAAGGGCAATAAAAAAAATAAAAAAAGATATTCCATTTATTATTTCCTCGACAATAAACACTTACGATAAATTAAACTATGTAATCTATACTTCTATAGATCCTAATATATAAATCTACACTGGTTTTTACGGATGTTCCGTTATAACTACTGAACCATACATCCGATTGACTTAAAACTTGGTATCCATGTAGAAAATACATGTACCTAATGGATAGGCTAATATTTATATGAGTGTTTGACTCCCTAATATTTTTTTTTAAATAATAATAATGAAAATAAATAATAATGTTAATTTTAAATGCCCAGCGAAGCGGGCGAGTACGGCTAGTAATGTCATAATTATTAATAAAATTGAATAATAATAATATGAATTTTGGAAAACCTCATTCGAACTCTTATGTCAAAGGCATTAGTGAACAAGTCTATTATGATGTATTTGTGTTAATACCGAATAAATTAATAATGTTCAATTTAAAATAAATAAGATTACATGGTCTGATTTTTTGAGGTCTGTAAAAAATATATTTTTAATTTAAGTGATAATTAGAGGTCGGATTGGATAGGTAGATTGATTTAAGGTCGTTGACGTCAAACGTAGAGGATAATATGGATATACCTCCAAAATACCGGAAATTCGTATTTATTGTGATATTTGTTCCGGAATTTCTAAATTAGCATGCATCTGTGTTTAAGGTGAAAAACGTATTAATAATATTTATCTATGCTACCAGTGCTAGCTAATGGTGAAAGAAATCAGTATTTTATTTTATACTAAAACGCCTTGAAATAGTTACACCGTATTTTGTTCCTTTCTGTTGAATTAGAAATGACGCTTGTCAGTATGAGACAAAACTTAGACAGGCCTTTTTGTTACTTTATCTCATAAATATAGAAATTGTATCCGATGAGGATTAAAAATATATTTTTTCAATTTAAAATAATAATCATTATGGATAAAATGGCATGTCCATATTATAATACCTTGACGCAAGTATATAAAATCAATCCACCTACTCCGACCACTGATTATAATATGTGTAAAAAAACTGTAAAGAAAATGTAAAAAGTAAAATATATATTGTTGCGCGCTTTCAGCATGGACGAGATGGACGCGCTATGCTCTTCGATAGCCATCCTGTCGGCGGGCGGCGTGCGCGCGCTGGGCTCGGGCGCCGCACTGCGCGCCGCGCACGCCTCCGGACACGCGCTGCTGCTCAAGATCGCGCACGCACCTGCCGCAGACGGTCAGCACGCACGCCGCCATTACACTATACTATATATATCAACAATAAATAATAGTTTTAAAAAAATGTAACAAAATACGCTTTTATAGAAAAACCTATTAAAAAATAGAAAATAAATTTCAATTAAAAATAGTGTAAGAAAAAATGATTTATTGTAAAAAAGCGTGGCCTGCCTATTTCTGCCGTGAAGCAGTAATGCGTTTCGACTTGAAGGGTGGGGCAGCCGTTGTAACTTGAGACCTTATAATTTAGCTTATATCTCAAGTTGGGTGGCGCATTTACGTTGTAGATTTCCATGGGCTCCAGTAACCACTTAATACCGGGTGGGCTGTGAGCTCGTCCANGGAAGAAAAAATGATTTATTGTAAAAAAGCGTGGCCTGCCTATTTCTGCCGTGAAGCAGTAATGCGTTTCGACTTGAAGGGTGGGGCAGCCGTTGTAACTTGAGACCTTATAATTTAGCTTATATCTCAAGTTGGGTGGCGCATTTACGTTGTAGATTTCCATGGGCTCCAGTAACCACTTAATACCGGGTGGGCTGTGAGCTCGTCCACCCATCTAAGCCATAAATAATATAAAAAGGTAATTTTTTTATTATTTTTTCATCGTTAAACAAGATTGACATTTTTATCGAATAATAGTGAGTTGATCCAATGTTCGGTATACTATTAAATTGAAATTTTACGAAGTTATAATATTGTGTTTCAGAAGTGGACGGTGCCAAGGGTGAGCTGGACCGGCTGAAGGGCGTGCTGCACCAGTCCTTCGACTGCACCCTCAAGGACGAGCACAAGGTGGGGTGGTGTTCCTCTGAAACAATTGCATAGGATACATTTGCGAACTAATTGGAAGTTTGCGAAGGTCTTTTTCCACGACTCGCCTTCCTTGTTTTCATATTTTGACGCGTTTCAATAAATTTAATGTCCACGTGTGACGCCATTTGATTTGACCACCGCTCTCCTAAAAGCAGTAGTACAAGTAGTAATCGAAGTAACACTACTACTACTACTACTAGCTTTAATGTTAATAACACGAACTTTACTTTTGGTAATTGCAGTAGTAGTAGTAGTAGTAGTAGCAGTAGTAGTAGCAGTAGTAGTAGTAGTAGTAGTAGTAGCAGTAGTAGTAGTAGTAGCAACAGTAGTAGTAGGAGGTAGTAGTAGCAGCAGTAGTAGTAGAAGTAGTGAAAATGTGTCAAGTGACTGCGATTGCAATTAACTAAAAACAAATGTTAAATACTCTATCTTGCCCACAGACGATGCTGCACTACCATATAAACGAAACAATGAAATATTCGGAACTCTTCACTCAGCTCGAGGAACTAAAGGCCAACTTCCCCGGGCTCGTGGAGGACTATTCGGTCACGGAGACCACCCTGGAAGAGGTGTTCCTGTCTTTCGCCAAAGAACAAAATGAACCCGCGTCCGTATGAACCAGCCTCAATTTAAATAGCTCATTACCGGCTTTTTTTTAAGGGCTTTTGTGACTTGGTAACTAAGACCTTTAAGTCATCTCTCATATTAAATTCATATTCTTATTTTTATGAAAAACGTTAATATGGAGTGAAATGAAATGAAGATGATTAATTTGAGACATTAATCAACTGGGATGAAATTAAATGATATGAGATGAGATGGTATGGGATGAAATATAATCTCAGTATAATGGTGGTTATTTACTAAGACTTTTTCAGTTGACTTTTTAGAGGATCCCGAGGAGTTACGTCCAGCGGCTTTTGTTTCATTTTCCCACATTAGTGCACTTTGCACATATATTAAACAGTTATTATTACACATTGCAACCTGAAGAAACACTAAATAGACAAAATAGAACAAATCACTTAATTTCACTCCTCGCGTTCCCCCTATGTCACATATGATGTNATTTACTAAGACTTTTTCAGTTGACTTTTTAGAGGATCCCGAGGAGTTACGTCCAGCGGCTTTTGTTTCATTTTCCCACATTAGTGCACTTTGCACATATATTAAACAGTTATTATTACACATTGCAACCTGAAGAAACACTAAATAGACAAAATAGAACAAATCACTTAATTTCACTCCTCGCGTTCCCCCTATGTCACATATGATGTATTCGTGTACTTCAGAGGCACAAGATTATCGTCTATCCTCTTCTAACGCTTTCGTTAAGAAGAAGATGCAATGGCAGTCTAGATCCGATCCAATCATCATCGAGATCACCATCGCTAACAGATTCAAATTACTTTGAAATCCAGTTACCACGATTCCTAAAAGAATAAAATATATATATATATATATATATATATATATATATATTATCTATCCACATACTTTTAACGTTAATAAACCACCGTTATTACAGTTTTAAGCTGCTTATCGTTGTAATGTGGTTGAATAGCGTGTGCTATATGTTCTCCTTCCGTAAAATAAGCTAATATTACGGCTTTTGTATGAATAATGTTATATAGTATCCATCGCAGACACAATATACCCGTAAACTACATATTATATAAATTATATGACCACAATAAATACATTCTTTTAAATATTAGATTAAAAGCAAAACAGCTAGGTATGCGCTTTTCGTTATGTGTCGATAGCGTGCTGTAAATATGGCTTTGCTATGTCTGCTTTAAATATTTACCACTCTGAAAAGAGTTTTAAACTACGATTAATATTTTTTTTTTTATTTGACAAAGTAATGTCGAAAACTCTGATTTAATATGTATAACATGTTAAGCACACACTTAAAGAATTGTATTTTTTTTTCTTTCTTATATAATAATACCTTAGTTTATTTTACCACAGACTTATTCAGTATTTACTCACATTTAACATAACATCACATAATATTTTTCATTGATTTTAATAACATTTACAATTATACAATGTTAGAGATTTCGTGTGATTTAATGAAGCTATTTTTATATCACACAACGTTATAACATGATATTATTGACAAGTCCAAATAAAGTAGTTGAAATATTACATTGGTATAAATCTGCATTCAGGTAACGTGTGATGTTTGTATGCTCTTTTTTTTTGTAAACTTAATTTGAATTTTAATTATTTTTTAAACCTGAGGCTATTTATCACTTCATATGTGAGTCATCTATTATCAAAGGTGGCAATCTGTGCATTTGGACAAAAAAATTTTATTGATATGACAATACAGATTGATTTGAATATAATCGTCTCCTTCAAAGAATACAGTTCAAAACCTGCATTAAATAAAGGTTAATAGTTAACCTGTTATTTATCTAAGATGTCGTTCCGAAGAGTTTTGTGACTGCCAATGGAATACAAAGTCAATAAATCGTTTTTCTGATTTACCAATCATTTTCCAAAATTCAGATTGCCGGCTTTGATAATAGTCGACTCATGTATTTGTTGAGTCAACAAAAAGCTACAGATTAGATTTTATACTTAATTTTATTATAATTACAGGGCTGATAAATAATATAAGTATGTATGTAATGTACTCAGTAATTCACACTGTGTATACAATGTACAAGCGTCTTGGTGGGTTTCATGAGGCTGTTACGGAAGTCATTAGCCGGCATTGCCAAAAAGCTTATAAGCTAGGAATATAATAAAATAAATATTTAATATTAGACACACTAGCAGTCTGTGTGTTGTACCGTGTTCTATGCAGCAGCAGCGGACATGTCCGTATAGGGATTAATAATTTAAAGGGATTGATAATACAATTTGGATGTTTGAGCCGATCTCAAAACGTTTTCAAAACACGCAATGAAATCTGAAATCGGATGACGTCCGAAGTCAACGACCTCGTGTGCCATGTGAGAGCGGTCTGCGCTTTCCATTGCGCCTTCACGGTATTAACATATCGAGGGGTGAAAAGCTATATTTCGTTTAGGCGACATTTATCTTTGTAATTAAAAGTGCATTTTATTTGGTATTAGCATCAACAGTTCGATATTTTTAATGGAACTTTAATTATTTTTACTTCATTGAAAGAGCTGAAGAAGTTTTTTCTTTACGATATTTTTTCAAAATTTTAAACTTTAAATGGCTTTCCTATAAAGATGCCAAAATATCGCTGAAAACCAAATAACCTTCCAACCGTCGATATAATTATTACACTCTTACACTTAACCAAAGTATTAATTGGACCCATTTATGCAAATAAGAACCAACCCACAGCAGGTTAGTTTCGGGAAAACGAGACTTTTGTAAAGAGTGTGCAATATGCATAGATAGTATAAAAATGAATGAATACTTTTTAAACCTATTTGAGATACTGTAGCCTATCTAGGAATATCAGATTTATATAGTTTATGTAGTCAGTATAAAGTAAATCTTTAAAAACCCGGTTGGTTCTGTCTTGCAAAAACATATTTTGTTGCTTAGTTCCTTCTTGCAAAATGGACCTAAGATTGCATCTGTGTCCTTAACTCAATTTCACTCAAATTGTGGGTTGGTTCTTGTTTGCATAAATGGGTCCAATTAGCCTAAGTACCTTGTATTTACTGTAAACTGAACTTGTCCCCATCGCTGCGAGATACAGAAACATAAAAAACTACGCATTCCAAAATTTTTGTCTTTATTAAATATATTAATTATTAAATAAAATTAAAAAGAAAAGTGCCTATTCTATTATAATAAAATCTTTTTTTTTAAGAGATAAAAAAAACTTGCGTTCTTTACATTACCGGATAATTCACTAATGTGATAATAACATTAATATATATACATGTAATGTAGTAATTTTTAGGGATAAGGAATTTGCCTATATTAATCAAAGTAATAATGATGTATTTTTGCCTCCCAGTAGTAATTATTTAATTTGGTATTCTATACTAAAATTGAAATGTAGTTATGTACAACTATAATAATATATAGTGAGTTTCAAATAAGAATGTGCACGTCAAGGACCTTGATCTGTCAAAGTCCGACAAAAAAGTATGGACAGCAACAAAAAAAAAATCTTCTATTTTTTGGGATTTTTTTCCTTAATTATGAAGACTATTAATATGTTTGTCTTAATGAACCATACACGTCTATATAATTTTCTTGATATATTGAGTACTGGTCGAGGTAAATTAAACATGAATTTAGATTATAATATGAAAAAAACATATATTTAAAAATCAAGGCTGCAACACTGTCAGGCCCTATGCATGGGCGACGATGATGATGATGATTACTCAAACAGTGGGACGAGTGGAATCGGCAAACTACAAGATTTGGATTCTAAATTAATATTTAAACTATTGACTAGGTACTTATTTTTTTCGATTTGACAGCTATGACGTCACAATATGGCGCAGGTCCATTCACACTCTTATTTGAAACTCATATTAAACATACATACTGTTATACTATAGCATCGCCACGTTCAAAATACTACAATTTGGTGTGCTCGGTTTTAAAAAGTTTTTCCTCTAATACAATGATTATTTGAATTAATGTAAATTTGAGCAAGATAGAAAATTTGAAATCTATTTAGTCTTGGGAGTGCGAAAGAGACAGCTACATGTTCCTGATACGCGCCTTTAAATATAATAGCTGAGCTGTTTCGCGCGCAATGTGATACAAACGAAAACTACCCTCCTGGATACTGAAGCGGTATTGCTTTTGTATCGACTTTCCTAAATGAACTTTATAACTATTTAAGTATATGTAAGCATTAGAACGAAATCTGTGTCAATTATATTAGTGCACAGACTAGTCGAACAAATAGGAAAAGTTGTTTTAAAAACATTCCATAACCCGCGTCATACTTTAATAACACCAATAATTAATTATTATAGTATAATAATTATATAATTAAAGTAATAAAAATACAGAGTACATTATTGGATTGATAAATTGTCAATTTTAGATGCTTGCAATTTTTATGCTTTTGATGTTTCGCACATAATATCTGAGAAGTTTCTTAATTTTACTTTATATGTTATATTATATTATTTAAATTTGCACAAGTTCTAAACCGATCGAAATGGACGTGAGATTCTTTAAGCTTCGAATCCGCTATGATTTGATTTACAAATCTAGGTTCAATTGGTGGAACCTCCCGTGGTTTTGGTATATTGATGATAACATAAAAAATGAACAGCTTGGACGCTCTTAAGCCCAATTCTAAACGCTTCTTAGTATATGGTAGTTCTCAGGTTCTGACTAAACACAATATGAGCTTTCTTTCGGAGTACCTGAACCTCATTGCTTAATGCTTTCGCGTGGTGGACGCTGGAGATCCTGGCCATAAGATTTACAGTAATGGGATTTAAGGGAAGAGAATTATACCCTATAAACTATTTTTTGGAAAACTGGAATTAATTAATCAGTGCCGATATGTGATCTATTAAAATAGCACAAACAAGTAAAACAGTGAAAAGTAAACAAAGTAATCCATTCATTACAAGACTGACAGAAACTAGACTACGATTGTAGACACATCCACTCATAGTTCAAACAGGTGAATCCACTAACAATCACACAAAATGCTACTTACTGCATACATATTTTCAATAAAAAAATCGGCCTTAAAAATCACCTATATAAAATGAACAGTAACGCTTTTTACCAAAGTTTTTGAACGAGTAAATTAAAAAG